CAGATTTGCTTGATTAAGCATTTCATGCGTATTTGATCTCACAAGATGCTATCTTGATTGCTAATGTAAGCCGTAACTACCTATAACACCTATTATGAATATTCACAGACTAATTCAGATTTTAGGATTGGGTTTTCCCCAAACCAAAAACGAGATTCGTCCATCGAGTGATGTTGAATGTCAATCGCAACTGGCTGAATAGATTTTATTCCTTTGCCTGAGACTCGGTCGAGGCAAAGGAGTAAAATCTATTCAGCCAGTTGAGGTGTTCTGCGCCAATGGAGGAGTAGTGGCGCGACCTTTCGACCTGCGCGCGAGGCGTGGCCGCGCCCGATTGGCTCGCCCCGCCCCCCGCCGCGCCCCACGCCTCCTCGCGAGAGCGCGCGTTTCGTACCAGATGAAACTCCTTTGTACCACAGATTGTGTATCGTTTTATCTATACGATATGACCAATAATACCAATATGCCAATATTGTTTGGGACTTCGAGGTTGGGTGGAGTGAATGAGTCGTTGTAAAAGTATGAGATGAGTCTCTATTTTCATGGCTGTTCGAGAAAACTTGTAATAGTGTATTAGCTCCTAACTAAATCCAATTGGAAAAGTTACAATGTTGAATTAAGTTATAAAAAATTATATTAATCATTTAATTGTTACAATAATACCTACGTAAGATATTTATAAATACAATAGTAAGATAGAGTCATCATAATAAATAACATACAACAAAGATTATCTTAGTTTGTAAGGATAGTATGAAAATAATGTCATCAACACTTAATTCAATTAAGTAATTAATCTAACGACTCAAGACATCAAAGTGACTCGTCAGGCGATTCTTTGGTTAATTAATTTTAATCAGACAATTATGAAACCCTTATAAACATAACAAAACGGAAACAATTTCTTCTCATCTAATTTACTTTGTAAGTGGTCTATCCTCTATTTAGTACAAAGAACGCAAAGCTATTTTCTCACTCACAATGCGTTGAGTGTGTCCTCTAGCGCGGAAGGTCGCAGGGTCAGCTCCCGGGAGTGCTTTTTCTGTTTCCTCACAATTTATTGCTCTTGTTTTAGAAAAGCGAGGACTTGTAATTAGCCACTTTTGCTTCATTAAAATATTTCTATTTGTTTCACTGACAGCCGCGTGATTTGTTCGCGCTTTGTTGTTTATTTTCTGACGTTTCTGTAGTTTGTTACGCGTGAAACTACATTGAACGTGTTTTTAACTTAAAATGGGGTGTTAGTTTCGCATTGGAATGCCATTGTGTTTTAAATTATTTTACTATTGAGTTCGCTTCAATTAAAACTAATTACTTAACTTCAAAAGTTTTACAGGACGTATTATCAAGCGTAAAACTTATGCCAACTTGCTCTTTTATTATTTGAGAACCCCTTGGCCTGGTATATTTATCATCTGTTCGCTTACCAGCCTACACTACTATTCCACCTGCACTAGCGAGTGCAAGTCCGCGGGGCAAATATAACATTGAATTTATTAAGCATTAGGATTCGTATTCGCTTTTTCTTTTCTGCACAGTTTAAAGTTTCTTTAAATCCTGCTTAAAGTTACAGCTGGAAAATCTATTATTTAGTCAATGTTTATTGTTATTACATAAAATATTATAATTCACTATAACTTTCATTAACTAACAGAAACAATGTCACAATAGCAACCTTATCAACCACCATCATCCGGCGCCGAAGGGAAATGAATGGATGTGTACATCTGACATTGTAACTTCGGCTCATATCGCACTTCCCACGAATCGTAAATATTTATGTATTAGGGGGAAATAATTGACGTTTGTAAAACATACCTTATTAATATTCAAATGCTTAACCACGTAAAGGACTTTTAAATGCCCTATTTATCATACAGGGTTCAGCACTTTTTTAAATTATATCTCAATTCTCGAAGGAATAGTTATAGGATGAAAAAGTAGGCCAAGATTAACTCATGTACCTACAATCGAAAGAAACAGTAAAGAACGTGTACTAAAGGTGCTAGCAGAGTCCACGGATGCGTGAAAATTGCATCACCGACAAGAGCAAAGTTCTTCAATTATGAAAGAATATCACTCGATTTACAATAACAAATATAGTCGGAAGTTTTTCAGGGTGGACTAAATTTATTTTTCATTGTATAACAATAAATAATTAATTACTGAAAGCTGAAGGTCTACCTACTTTACCATTCGCTTCTATTTCGCTGAACTCTCGCTTAGGAATATTCCGTTTCGGCTCGCGCGCTCGGATAGCGCGTGACGTGTCACGGCGAGCGGTCAGCACTCGCAGACAATAGCGCGCGATTACTGACCCCGCGCGCACGCCGCACGCACACTAGCAAACATTACTTACATGCACCCATTGAGTGATCGCTGAAAATATCATAAAGGTCAATTTATAGACCCACATGCAAAATAAAGCACAAAAGCACATGCACATAATGACTGAAAATATCACAAAGGTCAACTTAATACACATATTAAGTAGTTTTAGTACAAATATCGCTGTAAAAGGAGCTACTTTGCAACAAAAATGGATAGTCTGATCTGCTGTCGACTGTACGTACAGTGTATATGCACCTAATGACTGATGACTGAAAATATTATTAATATCTAGGTATTTATAGAATAGACACACCAATTTCGCATATGTTTCAGTTACTCGTAAATACGAGAAACTAAATAAATAGGTACTCTACGTGTACTTTGGAAATAGTCTTAACATTTTATGGTTAAGGTATTTTAAAAAGTTTTTAAAACATTCACATGTAACCATATCTCTGAATCACTAGCCATACACTTGAACAATAATGAAATTGATAATAAAAGCTTTCCCCTTTCGTAGCACGGTGTCTAATACGTTGATGTCGTTTTAACTACGACTAGGTTACTAGTGGTCAATGCTACGAATACTTTGTATGCACGATAGCTGTTTATGAAAATTACATGGAAACCATGAATACATTATTGCATGGAACTATACACGTCCATATCTTAATAAATTGCCAATACAATAACTAATAACCCTATTTTACAAAAACGATCACATTCTCAAGTTTTTGTACAAACTTATATGAATATTATAAGTCGTTACAATCGACATATTATTAAAAGCTATGTTTTAGAAGATCAGCCTACATCAGATTCTTGTAACAGCCATACACACACATTACAACTCCTCAACGCACATAATATGTAGTTGTCCATTTTTTCTGAAGCGTGAACGCCACAATGTAGAGTAATCAACAATGTTGTGGATAAAAAAAAATCTCACCCCTTTCTTGCAACAGTTCTTTATTGCTGAAATCTAAATCGTTTTCCAAACGAGACCCTCAAATACCAAGTTCATAAAATTGTGCATAGGTGCAAAACGAAGGTACTCTACTTCGAAGATGTCTTTCACCCTTTTCTTGCAACAGTTCAATATGGAGCTGCAAAACATCATCTTCTTTCAAACCACCCTCTTGCAACAGCTCTCATTAACGAGCTGAGACATCGAAATCGTTTTCCATACGAGACCCTCGAATTCGAAATTCGTACAGTACCTACCTAAGTAACGTCGTGCATAGGTGTGGGTGTACGCGGAACATAGAGACTATATGTATTGACGATGTCTTTCACCCTTTTCATATAACAATTCAGTATCGAACTGAAACATCTTTTTCCAAAGCAGACCCTCGAATTCGAAATTCGTACAGTAACGTTGTGCATAGGTGTGGGTGTACGCGGAACATAGAGACCATATTGACGATGTGTCTTACCCTTTTCTTATAACAGCTCAGTATTGAACTGAAACATCTTTTTCCAAAGCAGACCCTCGAATTCGAAATTCGTACAGTAACGTTGTGCATAGGTGTGGGTGTACGCGGAACATAGAGACCATATTGACGATGTGTCTTACCCTTTTCTTATAACAGCTCAGTATTGAACTGAAACATCTTTTTCCAAAGCAGACCCTCGAATTCGAAATTCGTACAGTAACGTTGTGCATAGGTGTGGGTGTACGCGGAACATAGAGACCATATTGACGATGTGTCTTACCCTTTTCTTATAACAGCTCAGTATTGAACTGAAACATCTTTTTCCAAAGCAGACCCTCGAATTCGAAATTCGTACAGTAACGTTGTGCATAGGTGTGGGTGTACGCGGAACATAGAGACCATATTGACGATGTGTCTTACCCTTTTCTTATAACAGCTCAGTATTGAACTGAAACATCTTTTTCCAAAGCAGACCCTCGAATTCGAAATTCGTACAGTAACGTTGTGCATAGGTGTGGGTGTACGCGGAACATAGAGACCATATTGACGATGTGTCTTACCCTTTTCTTATAACAATTCAGTATCGAACTGAAACATCTTTTTCCAAAGCAGACCCTCGAATTCGAAATTCGTACAGTAACGTTGTGCATAGGTGTGTGTAGCAGAACAAAGGGCGCGCCGTGAACCGCGACGGTCGCGCTCCGGCGCCGCCCGCGCCCGCGCACGCCGCGATTGTCCTGATTTGTTTTACCGACGGCTTTTTGTCTGACACCATAACGTGTGCTGTTAAAAAGCCAGACGACTTTTTTAATACTTCGTCCGAATACGTTTTCATTAAGATCTGACCTTGGACGAAGATCTAACTTGTAGGCGTTGACAAATCATTGAGACTTCATTCAAATTGCACGTTAGTTGTCTTATGCACTAAACGTATCTGATATTATAAAACCTTAAATCATATTTGTAATTTTGACTTCTTGTATTAAAACATCATTGCTGTTTTAGTTTAGAAACTGTTGCCTGTTCTGCTATTCCCTTTAATCAAGAAGGTAATGTAAAGCTATGGTCAATCGTAACTGCAAGACACATGGCCCGCAAAAGAATCGTTCGTGAAATATCTCAATCAACATAAACAACTCAGCTCATGTATAGGCCTCTCCAACTAATTAAGCGAACTCTGTAGCATCATTACTTTGTTGATGTATTGTCTTAAGTTCCTTATTTAATTTCCAGGCGGGTACACAACAGGAGGTCCCCGCGAGACCCCCGGCTACGGCTACACGGAGGCGTCGGGCGCGCAAGGAGCCCCCGCGCCCACGGCCGCGTCTCCTTTAGAGGAGTACTACCAGCCGGAGTACCCCGCGCCCCCCGCCGCGCCCCCCGCGCCCTCCTACCTGGAGGACTACTACCACCACCCGCACGCGCACACGCAGCCGCTGCTGCCGCACGAGCCCAAGTACCAGCCGCATGCGTACTCCAAGCCCTATCCCAGAGGTCAGTCACAATTGTTTACTCATTCACATGCCTAACTAAAGCTCTGTATCCACTTAGTGCTCAGGCTTGCTTCAGGTCTCTTCACTTGAGCGGCTTGGCCAAATGAGCCGCTCATTTGCTTGATAATGCTCAAGTGGATACAAGGCTTTGATCCATAAATGTGTCTTGGCATCCGACAATAAGAATCAACTCCGATCTATTCTGCGCCACCTCTCGCCAATTATCGACGTGGAGATCGCGCAGGTCCTTAGCAACTACGCCTCCCCAGTGTTATTTGGGACCCATTCTAGTTAAAAATAACTAAATAGCGAGCACGTTTCTCTCCGAATCGGAAATGTTCCGATATATCCTATCATCATTAAGTTTCACTATCGAATATAATAATAAATAAGTATCTTAATATCCGAATAGGAGAGCCTCTTCCAAAAGTAATTCACAAAGTTCAAAAATAACCAGCAATTAAGTGCGGACCGCGGCGACCAATTAGCGCGCTGCAACGCGACGCCGGCTAACAGACAGATGAAAGATCCAAATGTTAACGAGTTTGTCCCGAAATCTGATCCGGACATCAATTTAGCACAGCGCTCCTTTCATTGTTGTCATCGGCCCGCCGAGCTGGAAATTGTTACATTCATTCCAGACATTTTTGGCAAATTCGTTCGTTATTTATACGAGACATTCAGTCTTTCGACATGGTGTTTTACAAGCACATTTTAGAGATCATGAACTTCTCTATATTATCTGTAGTATTGAATTCATATCCGTATAAGTCACGCGGTCATCCCTTACTTTCGGCGTTTAAATATTCTCTTTTACGCTTTTACCACTAGCTTTTCTATGATAGCCTAGGTAATTCTATGTAGAGCTATAAGGCTCTAAGGTCATCTAGTTTTCCAACGCATTTGTGCTCTCAATCTTTCATAAACTGGCTACTTAGATACTTATTAGGTAACATCATATATAAACCTACTAGCTGACCCGGCGAACTTTGTTCCGCCTTAATGGCAATAAATAAGCAGACTTTTTTTTTGTTTCGAACGGGAAAAAAAGTATCCTATGTCCTTCTCCTGGCACTAAACTACCTCCCTGACAATTTTCAGCTAAATCAGTTCAGCCGTTCTTGAGTTATAAGCGAAGTAACTAACACGACTTTCTTTTATATATATAGATTATTAGCACCGTTTGAAAGAGCTCGTGAAGTACTTTCAGGATCAGTAACCAGTTTTTCGATATCTTGTATAGTTTAGAAATAATCGAGTGAGATCACTTATCGTTTCCACCCTGTATACGTCTACCAAAAACTTAGCTAAATGCGACCTTAATAACACCAATTCTTTACAAATCTTTAATGTAATAAATTGTTTTCTCTTGTCCCAGGAGCGGGCGGCAGGTACGGCGGCGAGGGCTACGGCGAGAGCTACGCGCCCGAGTACGGCGGCGCGTGCGCCGAGTGGGCCGAGTGGCCGAGCGAGCAGCACGCGCTCATTCCGCAGGACAAGCTCGCCTACCCCGCCTCGGGGCCCTGCTTCACCGGTGCGTGTACACTACTAAAACTTACAAGTTTTTATACCTACGTAAAGTTATGTGGTAAAGCAAACCAGCTGGGCTAGGATGCGCTATCTTATTGATGATTTTAGACGACAAATGTATGGGCTTATCGTGACTTACTTGACTTGTCCTATGTCCCCTAGATGGGGCAGAGGGCGTCCACAACAGTCCTCCATCTCGTTCGGTCTTGAGCTTCGCGCTTGATCTCGCTCCAAGTCTTGCAAATGCGATGCGTGCAAATTCGATAAAATGCCTCGGTAAAAAAATATCGTAGCGCGGTTAGGTTAGGTTAGAGCATCTTATTTTCCCTTATGACGCAGTATTGGACATAAATAATGAAGTATCATGTAAACACTATACACTACTTCATTGCTAGTTGTATGCCTTGACTTGTTCAATTAAAATAACATTGTATTTAGACCTTCGCCATTATTAATACATTCGTAGCACGTAGTTGCTACGACGGTGCTACGAAAAATCGAATGTCACAAAATCACTGCAAAAAGCTTTAAGATTAGTTTAAAGAAACTTGTGACTTCTTAAAAATGGCTGAAACCAAAAATATCGCTCCTCCTTTAAGATAGATTCTTACGTTAGTTGTTCGAATGACTCCGTGTCTAGTATATCGTAAAGCAACTGTACATGACGTGCGCAGGTTCAGGGCCCATCCAACTATGGCAGTTCCTGCTGGAGCTGCTCACCGACAAGAGCTGCCAGGGCTTCATCTCGTGGACCGGCGACGGCTGGGAGTTCAAGCTCACCGACCCCGATGAGGTACGTTATCTTTGCTTTTGAATTTGCAATTATTTCATCTAAAACAAATGAGCTACGTAGGTAGATGTTCGATAGGTACACATTCTTTTGTTTTTTCTTTCGACTAATGACTGAATTCGAAACCGAAGGCGTTGAATACAGGCCGCTATCATTGTGGAAATCATTGGGGGAGGCCTGTGTTCAGTAGTGCAACAGTGGATGGTCCTATGGCTGAAATGATGATAATGATGCTGAATCACTGAATAGTAGAAAAAGCACTTCAACTTTTTTTGTTCCATAGAAATTAAAGGATTATATTTTTCCCGACTGCGCCAGAAAAAGCGTTTTGTTTTTCGAGTGTATGTATGTATTTTGTAAAGATAAGTTGATAATAAAATTCCATTAACTCGATGCAGGTGGCAAGGCGCTGGGGGATCCGCAAGAACAAGCCCAAGATGAACTACGAAAAGCTGTCGCGAGGCCTGCGCTACTATTACGACAAGAACATCATCCACAAGACTGCCGGCAAGCGCTACGTCTACCGCTTCGTGTGTGACCTGCAGAGCTTGCTCGGGTAAGAACTAAGAACTTTACGATTTATGTAGTTTTATACTTTAGATTTTAGATCCAGCTGCAAACTGTAATGAGCTTAACCCAGGCGGGATTAATGACTACATTTGAATGTGAGTGATTATTAAAGGGATTATGGTTCTCTACCATAGTGGAGGAGGCTCATGGTCCAGTAGGCCTAAGATACGCGCCGTGATAGGCGGTTATCACGCCATTTTATCGATTTTGTCCATACAAATTGACGTCGATAAAAGTTATCATAGCGCGCATCTTAGGTCTACAGCAGTGGACTGTAAAGGGCTGTTAATGATAATTATGATATTTGTATGTGGAACTTGACATTCACTGGTTGGGTTTTTATTGGCGGTCAAGCTGTAGATCCTAGTTATACAGGAATTACAACGAGAGGAGGGAATAATCCCATAACCCCAGACGGGGAAAAAGCTAGCGCGAATACTCGCCTTTTTTTCTAGACTTCATGCGTACCTACTCGTACCTAGTTTCAGTAAAGATGTGTACTTTATCTAACTCAAGTGAATGTAGTGTGTGCTGGCTCAATCAGTGTTTTATACTGTTTCAAGTAGAGTATGAATTAATTCCGATTATTACAGTTTGTTTCTGTAAATTTTTTTCCTGATGTTCACTTAACATAGAAAGTTATAAATGCATTATACTTAGATGTCATTTCCATAATAATATTTCATGTCAACTCTACTTTAAAATGTATTAAGGTAGCTCTACTTAAATGAATGTGATAATATTAAACATTACCCTACATTACCTAATATGCATAATATATTTTCCTGAAAAACACCTCTGCTGCGCGAAAAAGAACAAAATAATAAAATAAAACCCAAATCGGTTTCAAATGTTTCAAGTTTGCTTATAAAACAGACAACATTCTAACGTGATATTTTTATTTCGCAGTATATCACCGGAACAGCTGCATGCGATGTATGAGCCCAAAATGGAGAAGAAAGACGACGACTGAGAAGAAACGCGCCGCCACCCACCCTCACTCGACACACCATACGATGTACTTCGAACAGCTCTATCAATCTCTTCGCATACAACACTTCGTAAAAACGTGTGACGATTAGCTGTCTAACAACCATGTGTATAAGAAAATAAATACTTGCGAATAAAACACAAGACAGCTTGCGTTGCTCGCTTTTATGAAGATTTTTCCGACTGAAATGAATTTACACAAAAAATACCGTACATCCTTGTATGTACTTGTTGCCAGTTTTCGATTTCACTTTTCAGCTACATTATGTAGACCAAAAATATTATTAAAACTTCATCAGAAACATGGTACATAAGACCAGAATATTTAATAAGATACACGATAATTTTAAAACACGTATCGATACGATTTTGAACTCGTGAACTGAATCTTCCTATCAGTTAGTCGCGTTTGTATTTAATCTAAAATAATAACTACTACAACAGGTTCTTTAGCTTTGTTTGTATGAAAACTTTCACCTAATAATGTCGGATTTGATCTCATACACAACCACCAGTGGATTTTATATTATTAACTACTAACCCATACTCAAGGTTCTATTTCATGAGGGGCTGCTCAGCGAGCGATAAACACAATTTCATCAGTTTGTCAAATGCCGCAGGTATTGCTAACGAGTCCTTCGCTGTATCGCTCGCGTGCACGCCGTTTCACAACACAATTTTATTACTAAGTACCTACCTACCAGAATAACCAACGGTGCCTTAAATTTGCTGTTATTGTTCGTTTTTGCAGAAAGCATTCATTATCATTGTTTTAATGTGGTAAGCGCCAGTATTATGAGGCACTACATCTATTTAATGATATTACTTGTAACGAATCGTAGTCAAGTGCCACAAAGGTACTGCATCTTTGGTATCTACCCCTGAAATTAAAAGTCAATTTTGTCGAAACTGAAAACTTTAGTGCTAAAATAGAAAATTTCGGCTATAATTTTAACGATAACTGTAAATATAAGTTAATTTTGTTACTTTATAAAAATAATTAGGTATTATATTATAATAGGTAATAAGTGTTGTATGTTTGATTCGCAAATTGTTGCAATATGCGGTTAAATTAATGCATAGTTAAAATGACAGAAATAGAACGATTTTTAAATATTTAATACCCAAAAGTCCAAAGATTTTTTAATCTCAAATTCCCACCAATTGGTAAACATATCGTTAAATTACCAAAGGGGACTTCTCATCTGTCTTTTATTCCAAAATTTCATTTTCCTCATTTAAGTTTATTGAACATCGACACCATCGCCAGTGCAAACAGTTTCACTGAGAATATCCAAACTGCAAACGAAAATGTTAACAACACCGGGTGACGTCACTTGTCGCTGATCTCGTGGTAAGGGATTGTATGTCTTACTAGTTATGAAATTAATTAGTTGTATTATTTTCAATTTTTGTAGATCCTAGCATACACCGAAGATATTTCGATAAGTTTTATTTTGTAAAGGTATTTCTCCTCCATCAATATCATACTTTTTTGTCATGTGCAATTCGGTCGGTGGTTTATTTTTAATTTTTTCGTAAGGTGCTGTTTTCTTAATTTTGAGAAGTCGAAATTTTGTTACAAAAAAGAACAATGTCTTCCCCGTCTTATCAATTGTAGGTCTAATGTATACTCCATAAATGCGTAAGTTTGTAAGTATGGTTGATTCGCAGTTACAATACCTATCTTCGAGCCCTATTGTTGTTGATACCTACCGCGATGAACGTTCAATGCCATTTTAAAGTGAGACCTATAGTAGTTACGGCCAAATTTTTGAATGTATAAGTGTCGTTGTATGTATTGATGGAAGATATAAATTTAAATATATATATTTACGAAATGACTCATTGTTTTCTTTCATTTAACTATGACATTCAATCTTAGCAATCTAAAAAAGCTAGATAAAAATAAAAATCACCAGAAAAGTGAGAATACAAATTACCGCTACTGAATAACTCAAAAGAGTAGGTAGAGTTCTCTCTATCAGAGTAGGTAAAGTCCTGGGTTCGATTCCCAGATAGAAAAAACTTTTTTTTTACACTGCGTATTTGTTCCGCAAGGTGGCGCATCGTGAAATCGGTCGTTGTGATAGCGATCTCTCTTGGGCACAGCCAACATGGTTTTTTTATTTTTAAGGAACGCGCGCTGGTAATTTAAGGAGCTTTTCCAGCTTCACCGGGCAGAGTGGCGAGTACAGAAGGTACTCTAGCCGTTTGGCGATCGTCGGTGCGCGTGCCGACGAGGCCGAGTGTGGGCTTCGCGAAGCGAAGCCCAGGCTCGGACACTGGTCCGGGGGACGGATTGGGGAGAACCGGCCCAGTACATGTGCCAACATGGTGCCGATACCATCTTACAGTGGGATGTGGGCCACAGTTCTAGCTACCAATTTCCGGTCATGTCATCTCTTTCTATCACAAAAGAATTACTTAACATTTGATGAAAGCGAAAGCAAAAACGGAAATGGGTAGCTGGAACTGTGGGCCACGCACGGTTCATATTTTGCTAAAAACCAACTGAAATGTTAACTACTAAGTTACCAACCTTAGTATAAAGCAATACAAATAAATCTAAGTGCAGAATAAGTTACCCGCCACTACTCCTCCTTTAATCCAAAGTTACACAAAGAAAAAAGCACTAACGTAATTTACATTAAAACTTGAAAATTGCTAATGCTAACTAATGTTAAAAACTGACTTCTTGGCTGTATGGCGTTATGTCTTTGCCTTTTCCAGAAAAAAGATACTTTTTCTCACGAAAGCTGTCACCTGTCAATGTCATTGATTGAACGGCTGATTTGAGGTTATATTTTACTAGATTTATTTAATTTTCACAAAACGAGTGAAATTATTTAGCAATGAAGCTTTCTCAGGTCTTATATCGACAACATATTGGATTTATGTTCAAAAAACATTGGATGATACAAGGCAAACGCGTACCTGTGGACACTGGTGTCGAAGACGCTTTGAAAGCAAAGGGGATCCCTGTGGAAGATGCTCTAGAATTCGTAAAAGATAAACCTGAAACCCATGAAAGGTGTGTTTGCTTTATTAACTTTTGTGAATAAACAATATATAAAGTCTGCTATAGACTATTTTATTCGATTTCATTTAAAATTTACAAAATTATTTCAGATTAAACATTGTTGGACAGTATGAACTGCCTCTGCCCCTTGATGAAAATCATCCAAATTACAAAGAGAAACCTTGCTACACTCTAAAGAACACTAATGTTCTTCTTGAAGGAATTTCTCAAGCCCAGGTTTTGACTAAAACCATCATTGCTGAAGACAAGTTACCTGTAAAAATAGAGGAGCTTGCTCAAATCGCAGCCCCTAAAGCGATACATGAGAATGTCAAAAAAGCAATATTATCAGCCAATGTCTTTGACTGTGAACAGGAAAAGTTGCCTAAAATTAAAGATCCGGCGCGTCCAGCATATAACTTCCCTAGGATACTGGGTATCACAGACAGAAGGCGAAAGTAAGTATTCTTCCTTAAACTAAATATCAAATTAATTTTTCTTTCCTTTCTATTATCCTATTTTTCTATTATCCTTATTAATTGCATTACAGCCAAATTCTAACAAACCGGCTTCTCCAACTGATAGAGAAAAGCAGTGACACAGAAGTCACGCAAACAAAGTATGTTGTCAATGATGTTAAGGCACACACAACATTTGATAAAGAAGATGACCTATTCCAATTTCAAGACATATGCAACATTCTAGTGACTAGTAATAAACCTGTAAAGCATGAGACAGAAAGAGACATACCATTTGTTGAGATCCCAGATTTGTATCCTATAAAACACACTATTACTTTGGATATGGATCATTTTTACAGTGAAACTAGTAGATATCGTAAGTATTGATGCCTCTTTCATTTAGTTTTTAATTTAACTTTATAAAAAAAGGTTTAGGTATGTTTTTAAGATCACATTGATATAATGTGACATTCATGATGTACTGGCACTTTAAATAAAAGTTTGAATCTCTTTTTTCAGCTATCAAACCAACTGTTAACATGCGTCACCCTCATACAACATGGCTGCATTACAATGCCACAGAGGTTGGCAACCTTTATGAAACTCCAGTCACACAAAGCCAGATCCTTGGTCGGTCTCTTACACATGCTTTTACTGTCGCCTCTGCATATGCAAAACAATTGCATGGGGTAAGTTGTTTATCATTGATGAGTGCATTTTTAGTGAGTTCTGTGCAGTATATTATCTATTTATTTGAAACTCTTCCCCAAATTGTGCTGTATAATTTTCGTATTTATCTTTTATTTGACAGTTCTTTTAATCTTTTATTTATTAAGATTTTATTTGTTGTTGTTTCAGGAAAATGTGAAAGATTTACCTGAACCAGTATACATTAATTGCATTCAAACTGATGGACAAAATTATCACTTTGGTGTACTTGAATTGAACACCTTGAATGTTGATGGAAATGAAGGAACTAAAAATTTATGGTACTGCAAAAATAACATGCAACTGTATGGCGCAAGTAAATACTTTGGTGGTATGCCTGTATTAGAAAACTACAACCCAAAAGTGTATGGTTACATTAACGCTTTTTACAATTGCTAGGCTAATTGAATATTTAAAAAATAATAGAATAGATTAAAATAATGTTATCTAATTTCTCATTCTTTTATTTCAATGCTTCAAAATAGTTCTAAAATGATGTAACTTACTTACTTTATAAATAGAAAACAAAATTTAAGTAAACTTCTAATCATTCTTTAATCACATTTTTAAGGAAAATACTTTTCCGCTGTATTTTTATAATCTCTGTGAATTTTAATTAATTGTATGGAATAAGAAAGTAAATCATCAAGTTATGTATTCATGTATATATCGCATTATATTTACAAGAACATAAATACACATATTTTGATTAGAATACACAATGCTTACACATACAGAGACACTTTGTACATTAAATAACAGTAAGATAGGTGTGGAACGAGAGAACGTAGTCAGTCAACAAGCTCATTTTTCCAGCGTGAACTTTTGCAGTCGGCGTCTTCGCAGTTCCTCCGCATCAGCATCAGTCTTGTCTCTGGAACAAGAGGCTCTGTCATAATCATGGTCTGTCTCATTTTTAGTTCAGCATCAGCATGCTATGAAGCAAGAAAAATAACTCTAGAGCACCAATTTTTTGTGTTGACGCCGATGATCTGTGCGATGTTACATGCAGTCACTGAGTCAACAGACTAAACATTTGTGTTGCAAAATAGCACCTATTGTTACCGCTTAAGACGACACACTGTTTAGCTAGTCACATATAGTTCCAACACAGCGCTCATGGACGTATCACTGAAGCTCCGTGAATACTGACATGTGTGCATTGAATCACGGACGCAACATGGAAGTTCTGGTTCTGAACTTAAGAGTAGGCGCACACCGTTGATTTTAAGTTGGCCGATAATTGTGCCCGATTTTAAATTGTATGAAGAATCGGCCAAATTGAATCGGCGTAGTGTGCGCACTCCTATACATGCCCATACTGATCAACTGCCCGACAAACTATCGGCTGACGAAAAATCAACGGTGTGCGCCTCTAACGAACACGTTGACGGAACTGTAACGTCACTGATATGTATTGGCGTAAGTATATTGTGAACACCATCTCGGTTACTTTCTCCTTCCCCCACCCGTGCGTCCGCCCATACTTCGGTGTGGGATCTAGCGCTTCGTCTCGGTCTATTTCCTCCATAATGTACTTACGCCATATGAATCGATTATACGACTTACCCAGAGTCGCCGTCAGCGTGCGGCCTGTCAATCAGCGGCTCAGTCTTGACGCCACTCGTGGAGGGGACTGGCGAGGGCTGGTGGCTGCTGGTTGCTGCCTGGCTCGTCGAAGGCTGACTCGACGTCGACGGCACCACGTCTGGCTCGCTCTTCACATTTGGCTTCGTATCGGGTTCATCTTTTGTTCGACTGCAAAAAAAATATCAAAGAGATGTTATTTACATGTATTTTCTTGTCATTTTGCATAATAACAAACATGGTAACCTGTCTCAAGAACTAAGGCCGTTTTTTAAAGAAAGTTGTGGCGTAAAAACATTAAATTTAATCGATATTCAAGAGTTTCAAGAGTAAAAAATACTATTGTCATCAAACAGTACTTTGAGCGGTGTAAGAAAAAAATATGCAGTGGCAAGGGCAACTTGTCTCAAGGACAAAAGGCCATCATTGTATTAACAAAACAGTTGTTTTTTGCACAGCATTGGAATAGCAACAGTTACACGACCCATCTCGACAGTTCGCGTGCGCATCGATTCTGAAAAAACCTTTTTCTTTCTTTTTGGGAATACCTTTAGCACAGCGTTGGAATAGCAACGATTAAAGCCTGGTCCGTGAGCACGTAGAATTTTGTCGAATGACCCCAAGCTACCCATCCTTATCGCTCGCGCGTAATTATGTTGCTGTCGCGCTCGCACGCTCACTGCGGGCGCCCGTCGCACAGTCGCGACAGCAATATAATTACGCGCGAGCGATAAGGATGGGTAGCTTGGGGTCATTGGACGAAATTCTACGTGCTCACGGACCAGGCTTTACATACCCCATCTCGAGCGTCTGCGTGCCGATGGTGACGTGGTTCTGCGCCACCGAGCCCACCACGGAGGAATACTGCTGCATTAGCAGCACCGACGCGTCCAACATCGATTGGATCTCGCGGAGCAACTGCAACAATACACAAGTCATTTTAAACTTTTGTAGAACACCAGCAGGAATAAATAGGCGGTTTCATGGTAGTCCTCTCCCATACTGGAATGATTTTGTTTCTCATGCATAACATAAAATAACTGGTGATATTGCATCTCATAGGATATTAAAATTTCTTAGCGATTAAAATCGAACTGCCTAGGGCGGGAATCGAACCCACAACCGTTCGAGGGTTCGATTACTTATTGTTTATTGAAAACTCATAAGATATGTAAAAGAACGGCCCTTGTTAAATGGTCCGCTGATGTAACGGCAGCTCATTTTAGGGTTGCTTGCTACTTGCTACGCCTAATATAATACGGTCGAGAATCATTACACTACTTGCTATAAAGAGTATACCTTTAACGATTAAGGGCCAAGTATTCGCAAAAAGGGCTTGGCATGAAAACCACAAGCAAATACCCCAAACCCTAACTATCAAAATAGAAGAAGAAAGAAGTTTCACCTGTAGTCTAGCTTCAACGGCCCTGCGTTCATTGCCTTCCATTCGCTGTAGTTCAGCCATGCTGAGGTTGCCGAGCGACGCGGGCCGCGGCGGTGGCGGCGGCGGCATGCCCCACGCCATCATCGCTGGAACAGAATATGATAGTGAGGTCCTTCCAAGTTTGTATACGTCGCTAAGATGGCGCAACGACCCAAAGCGAGACTTCCCGTCGGACAATAACGCCCGTATTCACTAACGATACTTGCTTAAATGAAACAGCAAATCGAACGGACAGCGTTGAATACAGCTCTGTGATTGGTTTGTGTGTCACCTTGTGCGTCCACGCGCATTGTGAGATCTCATAGTAATGTTTGTGAATACGGGCGTAAGAAACGACAACCAATGACAGCGCCGCGTTCAATTATTATAGGTGGCGCGCTAGTTTGCATACTTTTTACGCAGTCGCGTTGCAATTGATTTTACACCAACTTGAAAATCTAAGATTATCGCTGTAGTACTTGGGCTTTTATTATTTTGTTTTAAATGATGTTTTCTATCGACTGTCCTGCTAGAAGATATCTAGAATTTTTGACAGTGATCAAGTCAAAAAACTTGGTGTAACTTGTTGTTACAGCTCTATTTTCTGACTTCGTTTCTGCCAAAAAATCTCTACTACTGGACAAAGTTCTCCCCCAAGGAAATCCACAACTGCCAGTCATACGCTGCCCGCATCCAAGTGCTTCTCGCGACTTTAACCAACTCCAGTGGGCGTAGTGTGAGTTTACATCAAACGCATTCGACATCGACTGCGTTAAAAAAAATATGCATGAAAATTTTAGTTCTTGAATGTTTCCGCTAGGGGCGCTGTACAATCCGTCATACATTTACCATCACCTTTTTACGCAGTCACTAGTGAAGTCGTTTGATGTAAACTCACACTAAGCCATTCATTATCAAACTTACGTGGTGGCATCTGCGGGAAAGGCGGCGGCACGGCGGCGGCGGGCGGCACCGCACCCGGCGGCGTGGCGGCGGCGGCGGCGGGTTCGGCGGCGGGAGCGGGCGCGCGCAACACGTTAAGTCGGCACGTGGGGCACGTCTGCTGCCGCTGGAACCACAGCCGGAGGCACGCCGCGTGGAATATGTGGTTGCACGGCAGTTTTTTGGCACCTGCAATTTGGTATTTGAACAATATCAAAAAACAAATCTAATCTAACCCTTCAGGCCCGCGAATCGAAACACAATAGAAACTAATGAAGAATGTTCACTAATTTTGTTTTTTAGCTTTCTGTATTCTCTGTTAAAAATAAAAAATACACGTGAAAGAATTGTTTCGATACGTCAATTAGTTTCCAAGATATTGAATTTTAAAAGTGCGGGCGGCGGCCGGCCCGCCATTTTATGCGCGTGACGTCATATTACAGTGACTGGCTCATATTTGTATGGGTGGAATCTTGCAAGCTGAATTAAGACCCATTTCCAGGCAACCGATTAAGCTGAAATTTCGCAAACACATGTGATTTGGATGACCATGCAATATTATGATGACATGGAGCTGATCTGACGATGGAGCTGGAAGGTGGCCATAGGAACTCTATAATAAAACGACTTAAATGCATCGAGTTTGGGCTCGTTCGTTTTGTATTGATGAGTATTTTAATTCTATGTAGTAATCGGGGTCTAATGATGGAGCTGGAAGGTAATTCGCAATAAAACGACACAATCGCATCAAGTTTGGGTTTGGTTCAATTTTAATTTCTGTGATGGGTCTGGGTGTTAATATGTATAATAAGTTTGTATTTACAAAAAAAAAATATTTAAGTATGTTTATATCCGTTTTCTAGTGAGCGGACGCTGTGAATGTACGTCACACGGGGTCACGTGACCGTCGGCGGGACTCAATATTTAAGCGAACTTTGAATGCCTATAAAATCATAACTACTGGGTATTTTTGAATGAAATAAAAACTAATGTATTTGTAAATGTAAAAGCTTAACTGTAACATAGGTTTCAAGTGATTTTGCATACCTAGTAACATTCTCAATTACGCAATCTTATGCAACCTCTTGAGATTTGATGAAAAAACGCTTTGGATATGTGGCACTCTCTCTCCCCGCTAGAAGGCCCCGCTCTTCCTACCCACTAAAACCCGACGGTATCCTCGGAACCCAATGCGACGGAGTCGAGAGTTATTGTCCTATCTTGGACATTCATCCGGGCGCGGCGGGGCTATCTAAAAGAACACTATCCTAAAACCCTAAAAACTGTATTCGTTTTCCATTTTTACTTGCTTTGAAATCGATAAAATTATTTGAATTCTAGTGTTGCGCAGTATTTCACTGGGCAACATTGGGAATTGAGCGTCGCGTAGCGCGTTATATTTGAAACCCAGCCCTATATCCCGTAACTAGACTAGTGAATTTCACACACCGTTACACCAGACCACCACACTTTTGTCCAGGTAATACGCACTATTAAGAGAAATGCAAAGAGTCGAACAAAAAACGTATCAACGAAAGAAAATCTTCAACACAACTGACAATAAGCGGTTAAAGGTCAATGTTACGAAAGGACGAATGCTATTTAAAAATATACCTAATTTGAAATTAAAACCAGATAGGTACATGAAAGTAAGTTCTTACTCCTGCACTAAAGATCGAGTTTTAGTTTCACATCCAAGCAACACAATTCTATCCCTATAACACAGTCAGAACTTCTCTCACCTTCTGCTTTTTATTTTTAATCACATTTGGCGAGTATTAAATTTTGATCCACTTCACCTTTTTCGCGAAAGTTTTCCCGTGAAACTGAATTAAAATTGGCAACAAAATTAATACATAACTACAACATTACAACAACGATAAAAGGAAAAATTATAAATATCAACAATCAATTACGAAAATAAGTAGGCTAATAAATTGATAACAGAATGCGAGCTGTAATTAGTCTTTCACAGTTAGGTATGTATATCGTTGTGTTTTCATTGGTATTTTTACACCAACAATAACAAGCCACGTAGGTACGTAACCGGTGTTGTTGCGTGTATAACGCGCGAAAAGTATGAGACGTACATATTTTTTAAGCATTATTTATTGTTACATTTCACATACGAATTTCACCAAGCATAAGTGTACGATTTTGTAAAAGAATTTAAACTCGAATGCCTTAAAAATACTGTATAATAAATTAATTATTCTTCTTTGCCAGGCCGTTTCCCACTTTATTTGGAGTCGGCCCTCCGTATCGAGCGTCTCCAGGCGACTCGGTACGTACCGTATAATAAACGAATATAAATATAAAAACAAGTGTACATTTAGCTGTTTCTCTGACCTTGCCATTAATAAATTACAAAACTACAAATGGTCTTATGCTGACGCAACCGTTAATAAACCAGCACATTTTCAACAATACAGTATGAGAAAATTAGAGGACGGCCGTCAATAACGCCAGCTGTGGTTGCCAGTTTGAATCTCGTGATGAGCAAAATTTAAAGTAAATTAATAAATGAGTTGAGTTTCTATTTAATTATTTACATAGTTATAGTATTTAAATATATTTATCCGTTATCTCGTTGTTACAGAACGTTTTAAGTAAATAAATTAGTTTGGTTTGGGTTTGGAATGGGTAATTGGTGTTACAAATTAATATTTGTTTATTAAATGAAAGGAATAGATCCAGTACTGATGAATATGTTTTTAAATTTTAGGTAAAACAAGCCGACTTTTGGTGCAGTTGCATCGTGCCGTAATTGCTCTCAATACAAAAGGTATCAAGGTCGTGAACGACCTAATATAACTGGAATTGTTTTTACTCAGGATTTATGGAGTCCTTATAATAGACCTTGTTTATCTAGGACTAGGAGCACGAATTGATTAGAAAAAAAGACTTTCTTTGATAGTAAACAACATGCAAAAACGAAAGACACCTCTGTTTTTTCTATGGATACTTATTTCAACTCATAGATAACGATTGTAGGTACATTTGTAAGTCGTTCGAGTCAGTCAAGTCAAAAATAACATTAGTATTTTTCTACTATCCTTAAATAGATGATAAATCGCTCTTAACGCCCGAGCGACAAATAATCTACAAGTCAAAAGAAACACACTTGTCACTTCACACCTGCTCAAAAATTCAAGTCACTCGGTCATTCAAGTACGCAATCTAGTTTTATACAACCAAATCAGTAAGTAATAAATCTTGAAACAATATTATCAGAGTGCATCTCCTCGTCTGAGTACAGACACAGGGTGTTCATGTTACGAATCGCGCGCCGCGACAACACCACGTCGTTGTAGGCCTTCTTGAAGCGCCTGTGGTGTGACAAAAGAAACATCTGCTCACCAGAGTGCATCTCCTCGCGGCATATGATGCATTCGTTGTCGGCGGCGGCGAGCTCGGCGGCTGTCGCGTCTGGGTATAGGGTGTTCATGTTGCGGATCGCGCGCCGCGACAACACCACGTCGTTGTAGGCCTTCTTGAAGCTCCTGTTATGTGTAAAAATAGAAAACGTTAGTGACTGATGTGCTCCTTGATCTTCATTGGTTAATTGCTTTTGATAGTCACAACAGTTTCATAACTAAAAATATTGTTGAACACTGTCTTCAGATATGTTTGACAAATACTGTACTTTAAACTAAAATGCATTATTCATTACACTTTTTTGGGTTCTAATGATGTCATCACATATATTGTTATGCAAAGAATTTAGACACATCAATTTTAAAACTTCCATTAGAATTTCTAGTAGTTACCTATCATTTAGGAAATTTAAAGAAAAATAACTTACCTCATTGTCTCGTACATGGGTCTAAAGGCGAACAGCGGCAGGGTGTAGATGCGAACCATTACGGCCACAAAGCCGAGGTACAGAAGCACTTTGAGAAAGTTGATCGCCAGCTCAGTGTACAACAGAACTGCGGCTTTACTCTCCCATGGCGTCTCCCATCGCGAGTCGATGGCGTGAAGCACATACTACAATAAATAATACTGGCTATATTATTTAAGCCATTTAAGCAAATTTTTCATTGACTTTTAACTTTAAGACAAGGGAATAAAGTTGGTGGGAACTATATTCCCACTGCCATAAAAAGGGTTAAAATAAAAAACAAAAACCCATAATTTTTTAAACTCTACACCACACATTGAACATCAATCTATTCACTAGCACATCAAACTCGGACTGACATTTACCAGGAAAATGATAAGCAAGTATTAATTTAATTTTATTGTCCTGTAAAATAATTTTTACATCATAAAAGGTAGCCCTTCAAGTGCCACTGAAACAAGACACAATAGAAGTCAATTGCTACCATGGTCTCATTCGACTGGTAATAGGCATGTCTACTAGTAAAAAAGGAAAAATACAATAAGTTCTTAAAATCTTACCTTGATCAAAATATTGGCAATCATGATTAGCAGTATGCTGTACTCGAAGCCAAACACAAGTTGCACGGATGGCCCTTTGGAGGAGGTGACCTGGTACGCATGGTGAATAAAGTAGAAGTCTGCCTGAGCTAGCAACACCAACAGACTCAAAATTCTAACGTGAAATAGCAAGCCAATTACTGGACTCCTCTCCATCTGTGAAAGATAAGCTTGTGATATTATAATATCAATGTTATCATGACTTTGTGGTATGTATTAATATTTGAGTCAAGCCAGTTAGATCAAACAAAAAAATAACTTCTTCAAATAACAGCTGGTGCCTGTGACATTATCTGTGGATAATTAGTAGTAAAAATCTTTTTACAAGACTAATCCTCTGTCTTTATTATATAAATTTTAGACATTTTTTCAGTAAAAAGTAAACCTAGTAACAATCAGCAGCTCATTACTTTGGAATGTTAAAGAAAACAATAAATTTAAAAACCTTTCACTGTTGCAGTAAAAATGAAGTAGCTATAAATAACTTACATAGTCCACACGGTCTTCGGCAAGCCAATGGAATGCTTTCAAAAACAGCAGGAGAGTAAATAGTGCAATAAACTTTGGATTGAAGTCATCTCTAAACACCGTGAATGCCAAGCAGGTTTCTGTGATTGCATACCATGACCTTTCTATTAAATGCTGTAAAAAAATGTGTAAATTAAGAAATAGTCATAATAAATTATTACAAATCAGCAGACTGCAACATTAAACTTAATTAAAATATTTAACACAAATATTTCAAAAGATTTAGCTAACTAGTTTTGCTAACAATTAACTAAATCACTCCTAATTGGTATTGTTGTAACTATTACTTTATTGGTTTTTAATAGCTAGACTACAGCATGTTATTTAGGACTAAAAATAGTATTTTTTATATAAAATATTAAAATAAATGGGCTCACCTCAAATTCTGCAGGACGAAGGTGCCCAAAGAATATTTTCCGCAACAGCTTGCCTATCAGGAGAACAAGTATAAAAGCTTGCAAGTACATCACCTGCAAAACATTGAGAGTAAATAAAAATTGTTATCAATTCTATAATCCTTCTATTGACCAAAGGAATGTAATAAAACTACCAATAAAGACACATTTCTAGAACTTTTACAATGTACAGCCGGCCGTGACACAAAACAATCTGGTAAAATCAAGTCAACATTGTTTTGAAATGGCTCAAGAAGTAAACTATGAGAACGGTTTAAATCATACTGCTATAAGTAGAATATATAGTTAACTTACTGCCATGCTAGGATTGGAGTTAGTTAAATACACTATCGAAGGATAAAACTGCTTTTTCTGGTAATAGGCATTGCCAATAACCACAGTCGTGAGTGCAAGACTAATCACTGTTGCAAGAATAGCCTTCATTTTGAGTTCTTCTGTAATCCTGTGCACTAAAATTTTACTTTGTTAATTAATGGTAAATCCTAGGCACTCCAAAACCAATTTAATATCAACAAATACATCTTCAAAACATCTTTTCGTATCAATCGCTATGAATAAAAACTGATTTTGACGTGTTCAATGTTCATTTGTGTCACAATATTTTTGTCTATGGTGCACTTTTTTTTACGTCGGTTTAAGAATTTCAGCCCTGGACCACCATCAAATGGGCATGAGCTCCTAGCTCATTGTGTCATTTACCACATAGCTCATCGTGTTTTTGATCATGTATCTACCAATCATAGAGAGTCTTGATATTTTTGACCAATCAAATAATGCCATTCTTTTTTATGTTAATTCTTTTACAAGACAGTGAATTTTAAATGTCAAATAATTTAGCAAATGGTGTTGGTGTTGGCGTTCTTTGCTGTTCTTTGCTGAACGTTTTTACTAATTTCTATCTAAATGTGAAAAGATGGTGACAATTAATGTACGCTGTACCAATTAGGTTTTATTGTTCAAGAGTTGTTTGCATTTACAACGTTTATCAGGTAAGAATCGAGGCAACTACTTTCATTTGCCGCGCAATCTACTTTCGCTGGTGATTGGAACAAAAAGATAACGCTATAAACAATGAAATAATATGTTTTCCTAGTAGGGAACTTTGCTTATTTGTTTATTTACACAAAGGGCTACAATAGCAATGTTTTCAGCCCAGATTGGTAAGGGGATTGATCCCCGTCATGGCGTTTAATTTTCACTATGTGGATGTACACAAACAGATTTTAAATCATAGTTCTAGACTTTTGAACTCAAATACAAATAGCCTACGTGCGTTGCCTTTAATCAATTAAGCTTCATTAGTTTCAAATTTGCTGCTACATGTAATTTTTTTTTATCCAGGTTGATTCTTTGGATGTAAACTTCAGCCTCTGCCAAGATTTCTTTCCAAAAAATGGTAAGTAAAGGATGCTCTTTAGTGACTTTTATATATTTAACAAGGATTATGTTTAACAATAGAGTACACGCGCGGACTACTATAGTAGACCAGGGTAACATTTTACGCTATAACTTTTTGAAAACTTGCGCCAGAGAGCTGGCATTCCAGGAAAGCCTCGTTTAATAAATTTGTCAGTAAGCCAGTAAAGCTTGGGTCGCTAGCGTCTGCGCACTTTTCTAAAATTAGCCGTCAAAACTGCGGGTCTACTCAAAAGCCCAAAATCACTCGACAAAAAAATTATGAAAGACTTGCAACAAATGGATTTACACCGTGTCCAGGCAGTAGAAAGTCATGAATACTATGACAGATAAAAATCTAATCATATTTTTTCAGTCATTTTGTTTTTGTTAACATTGGTCTCAGAGTGCAATTTTGGTCCAAAAAATTTACAACTTTTAAATCTGTTTATAATGTTTGATCCCAAATAGTTATATAAAGAAACTTTGATTATAAAATAACTATAATAAACACTTTTATCATTTACTTAATTATTCTATTCATAAATTGCTTACAAACTGATTTACAGTGATTTTAAATTGGCTTACCAGAGTAGGCCGCGCGTGTATTCGTGTAAAAAAAGAGGCGCGTGTACTGCAGTGTTAATGCCAGTACTCATGTGATATTGTTTACTGCCAGTATCCTTATGCTTATGATATTTTATCACACAGCAGGGGGACGACCCTCCATTCTTGCCAGTTGGTACTGATGTCAGTGCCAAGTACAAGGGTGCCTTTTGTGAGGCCAAGGTTAAAAAAGTGGTTCGGAATATCAAATGTAAGGTAAGAACTGTACTGAACTACATTTTTCTATATCTTTTAAACTAGATTTATGTTTTGATTACATTAAAGAAAGAAAAGATCTTGTAGGTGTCCTGATTGTCTTTCCTAAATGAGCTAGACGTAACTACATTAACCTAAGCCCCCTTATTACAAAAAAATAGTTAAAGTTACATTTAATTAATGCCAGTGTTTGTCCCGGGTGTAACTTTTTTATAATAAGGTGGTTTGTGTTTATTGAAGTTACCTTTTGTTCATGACACTGTGTATTTGTAGGTTTCATTAAAAGCAGGGGGTGGAAGCCTTACAGTGAATGATGACGTCATCAAAGGCACCCTGAGGGTCGGCAGCACAGTGGAGGTGAAACAGGACCCCAAAAAGGACGCAATGGAAGCCGTCATCACTAAAATACAAGACTGCAGCCAGTATACTGTTGGTAAGTAGATTACCATGCATCAAAATTGGTTTATTTTTGAAGTATTTTACATGGGACATTGTAATTTATGTATGTACAGCAGATCTCTACCACTGTTGAGTAATTTAATGTGACAGCTTAAGTAAATTGGCTCTCAGTTTTTTAGAATATAACAATAATAAATTACTGTCTGATATTGACTATTGTATTATTATTGCTATAGCCTGACCAGGAACATAAAAACCCTGGCATAGAGGCGCGTCAATTGCATTTGATAGTGCAACACTGAGTACAGTCGTACCTGTGTTAAATTAATAGGCTAACTTTATGCATCAGGATTCAGGATTACGGGCTAATTTGATATTTTCACAAATTAACGAAAAAATATTATTATAGGTAACCTGGTTTAAATAAATTAAATGAAAACATCAATCGAGCTAGTAGGATTTATTTTATTATTCATCAATAATCAAATTCAGAACTTGAATATTCAGCAGACATTCTGCTCATGAACGCTTCAAACTCGGTACTTCTTTCCCAATTCCATAAAATTCAACACTTAGAAAGTGACAAAAAACTTTAAAATAGGTAGTTGAAACAAACCACAGCTAATTTTCATAGTGGACTGTACTATACGATAAACATGTCAGTCAATTTGACACCCTTGTCGGAAAAATTATTCAATGAAAATATTGTCCGAACCCTTAGTATTTCTCTTCGACAAATACTTTAACACATTGTGAACCACTTTTCTTTCACGACTATGAAAAGATTTTAGCAATTTAATTCACAAAATCAATTGCGCACATTTAAAATAAAGTTTGTTTACACTTTGACAGCAATAGACTGACATGCAAGGTGACATGACAATGAAGTTTTCAGTTATAGATGACCCACGCTGAACTGTCCCGCCAAACTCAATGACAGGGGGGCGCTACCATCGTTCAACTTTATGGTTTCCAACATGGCAAAAATCGGAACCAGCGATTCGGTATTGACGGTGGCGCCCCGCTGTCAATGTCATCGATAGGACAGTTCAGTATTTTGGAACTATACTGTTGCCATTAAAAGAAATTAGTACCATTAGTTTTCCGCAACATGGCGAGGGTTTTTATGTTCCTGGTCAGGCTATAAACTATATATTTCATTAATTCTAGTTTTTGATGACGGCGATATAACGACGTTACGGCGGTCTGCGTTATGCCTGAAGAGTGGTCGGCACTTCAACGAGAGTGAAACTCTGGATCAGTTGCCTCTCACTCATCCAGAGCATTTCTCCACGCCTGTCATAGCTGGCCGGCGTGGACGGAGAGGCAGAGCACAGTAAGATTTTAGCTACACAAATAAATTAGTAAATTAACATTGTAAAAAAAAAATTATAACTGTTTGAACTAGACTGACTTTATCTGGAATAAAGTCATAATCAAATTCTGGTGTAAACAGTTTCATGAGTGAAAATGGAAGATGGTGTCATTATGGTTGCATTAATTAGGATGCCTTCTTGCTAGATGTAGTGGCGAAAAGTCTTTGGCAGAAGATAGATGCGACACGATAGAGACAGGGTGAGAGCCAAGCAGTGACCTAAATTGCGCGCCACGATATAATCTTATCGAGGCATTTTATCGATTTTAGTCGATAATCCACTACATTTGACGTCTATAATCGTCGATTTTATCGTGGTGCACACAAGCCAGCTGCTATAAGCTCATGGCCGGATCTACCATATGGCTTTTTGGGCTTCAGCCCAGGGCCCCGTGGATTCAAGGGGCCCCACAACTAAGTCTAATATTTTACTGTTCTATACCTAATAAGGTAGGCCCCTAAGTAGTACATATTAGCTCAAGGCCCCCTAAACTGACGGTCCGGCCCTGTATAAGCTGATGATGATGATGCTCAGTTGACTATTTTCATCTCAGGTCGGACGAAAGCGAGGGCGAAGGCCCGACGCGGCGCGTGAAGGCCGACAGCGCCGAGCGGGAGCCGCACGTGGGCCGCGTAGTACTAGTAGAGGCGGCGGGCGGGGCGGAGCGCCGGCGCCCGCACCAGCCGGCCTTCCCCGCGCTCGTTGTGGCGCCCACTGCGCAGATCAAAGTCAAGGAGGACTACCTGGTGCGCTCCTTCAAAGATGGCCGATAGTGAGTACTTATTACTATTCTAAACACAATGAAACTTAGGTTGGCCAAGAGAGCGCGAGCGAAAACCCGTCGCGCTAAAGGATGTGCACTACCTAGTGAGTTCGTTCAAGGATGCCCGATAGTGAGTACCTGTTACTGTTCTAAACACAATCAAAGCAAGTAGGCGAAGTAGTAGATGTGCGCCGCGATAAGATTTTATCGCGCCATTTTATCGATTCACGCGATAAACCCATACATTTATCGACTAGTCATCGACCGCGGGAGCCGCACGTGGGCCGCGTAGTACTAGTAGAGGCGGCGGGCGGGGCGGAGCGCCGGCGCCCGCACCAGCCGGCCTTTCCTGCGCTCGTTGTAGCGCCCACTGCGCAGATCAAGGTCAAGGAGGACTACCTGGTGCGCTCCTTCAAGGACGGCCGATAGTGAGTACATGATACTGTTTTGATCACAGTCAAACTTAGGTCGGTCAAGAGAGCGAGAGCGAAAACCCGTCGCGCTAAAGGATGTGCACTACCTAGTGAGCTCGTTCAAGGATTTCCGATAGTGAGTACTTACTGTTTTGAACACAATCAAACCCAGTAGGCCTAGGATGCGCGCCGCGATAAGCTTTTATCGCGCCATTTTATCGATTCACGCGATAAGCCCATACATTTGTCGACTAAAGTCATCGATCACGGGAGCCGCACGTGGGCCGCGTAGTGTTAGTAGAGGCGGCGGGCGGGGCGGAGCGCCGGCGCCCGCACCAGCCGGCCTTCCCCGCGCTCGTTGTAGCGCCCACTGCGCAGATCAAGGTCAAGGAGAACTACCTGGTGCGCTCCTTCAAGGACGGCAGATAGTGAGTACATGATAGTCTTTGAACACAATCAACCATAGGTCAGACTAGAGCAAGGGCGAAGGGACGACACGACGAAGAATATGGACTACCGGCTACGCTAGTTCAAGGACGGCAGATAGTAAGTACCTTTTGCTGTTTTGAGCACAATCAAACCCAGTAGGATAAGCTTTTGTCGCGCCATTTTATCGATTTACGCGATAAGCCCATACATTAGTCGACTAAAGTCATCGACCGCGGGAGCCGCACGTGGGCCGCGTAGTGCTGCGCCTTCCCCGCGCTCGTTGTGGCGCCCACCGCGCAGATCAAGGTCAAGGAGGACTACCTGGTGCGCTCCTTCAAGGACGGCAGATAGTAAGTACATGATACCTAGCATAGCAATTCCTTCGGCGATCACAGGGTCTCTGAGACAACATAGATCAGCTGGTCTTCCCCGCGTTGGTTGTAGCGCCCACCGCGCAGATCAAAGTGAAAGAATAGTGAGTACCTTTTACTGCTGTTTTGAGCACAATCAAACCCAGTAGGATGCGCGCCGCCATGAGCTTTTATCACGCCAATTTATCGATTTACGCGATAAGCCCATACATTTGTCGTCTAAAATCATCGACTGCGGGAGCCGCACGTGGGCCGCGTAGTGCTAGTGTGCTTCCCCGCGCTCGTTGTGGCGCCCACCGCGCAGATCAAGGTCAAGGAGGACTACCTGGTGCGCTCCTTCAAGGACGGCCGATAGTGAGTACATGATACCTAGCATAGCAATTACTTCGGCGGTCAAAGGGTCTCTGAGACAACATAGATCAGCCGGTCTTCCCCGCGTTGGTTGTAGCGTCCACCGCGCAGATCAAAGTGAAAGAATTGTGAGTACCTTTTACTGCTGTTTTGAGCACAATCAAACCCAGTAGGATGCGCGCCGCGATAAGCTTTTATCGCGCCATTTTATCGATTTACGCGATAAGCCCATACATTTGTCGGCATAGCAATTACTTCGGCGATCACAGGGTCTCTGAGACAACATAGATCAGCTGGACTTCCCCGCGCTCGTTGTGGCGCCCACCACGCAAATTAAGGTCAAGGAGGACTACCTGGTGCGCTCCTTCAAGGACGGCAGATAGTGAGTACATGATACCTAGCATAGCAATTACTTCGGCGGTCAAGGGGGTCTTTGAGACATACATCAGCCGGCCTACTACCCGGTGCGCTCGTTCAAATACGGCAGATAGTGAGTAAAGCTGATGCCACGCTGTTATTAGATTCGAGTCTATATGTATGTAATACTAATTGCTAAATGCTGGTCTATTGAAAAATAATGTGAGCAGCTCATGCGTGTAACGGGATTTAGTAGACGACCGCGGGAAATATTGTTCATGAACCGCCTTAGTTCTATTACTTCTATTTATATCTGTTCAAATCTTGTATCTCGATTCTCGAATCTGCAGCTTTTTTGCCAATAGGACCCTCATGCCCTAGAACATTTCTAGTGCAAATCTTGTGTGACTTCTCTGCAGCTTGACTGATAGTAATTGTGAATACTCTAGAACAGTGGTTCCCAAAGTTGTCTGGGCTACGACTCGTCTAATACAAGTTCCCAAACTCGGGACCCACCTATAGGAAATTTCGCCCGCTGCCCAGCGGTTGGATGGGTGTTTCGTTCTACAGACAGGGCCCACTCAATGTTCGCTCGCCTGGGTCGCGACCTATAGTTTGGGAAACCCTGCTCTAGAATACTCTAGCTAGATGGTTTAATTGTTTATTCTCCCACAGCTACACGGTGCCCAAGAAGGAGGCGCGCGAGTTCCGCAAAGGCAGCGCGCCGCTGGAGTGGGCGGGCGTGGAGGCGGCGCTGCAGTACCTCAACAACGGCGTGCTGCCGCCGCACTGGGACCGCGACACGCTGTTCAACGAGCCCCGGAACACCTCCGATGACGTATGTTATGTACTCCCCCTCCCCTATAGTGTGTCGTAACAACAGGCTGTAGCCCTGGTCTATACCTCCTGGATCAAGAGCCGCAGTACCTCAACAACGGCGTGCTGCCGCCGCACTGGGACCGCGACACGCTGTTCAACGAGCCCCGGAACACCTCCGATGACGTATGTTATGTACTCCCCCTCCCCTATAGTGTGTCGTAACAACAGGCTGTAGCCCTGGTCTATACCTCCTGGATCAAGAGCCGCAGTACCTCAACAACGGCGTGCTGCCGCCGCACTGGGACCGCGACACGCTGTTCAACGAGCCCCGGAACACCTCCGATGACGTATGTTATGTACTCCCCCTCCCCTATAGTGTGTCGTAACAACAGGCTGTAGCCCTGGTCTATACCTCCTGGATCAAGAGCCGCAGTACCTCAACAACGGCGTGCTGCCGCCGCACTGGGACCGCGACACGCTGTTCAACGAGCCCCGGAACACCTCCGATGACGTATGACCTCATCTTATGCAGAACCACGCCTTAGCCTAGGCGTAGACCACCGACTTTTTATCGGCCAATAGTTGGGTCGAACCAGTATGGACATGTACGAAAGTGCGCACATTGGTATCGGCCGATTCCTCATACGAATTAGAATCAGACCCAACTATCGGCCGAGTAAAAGTCTGTAGTCTGCGGGCAGTCTTAACGTAGTGCACTCGACCCATTGGGAACTTTTGTGCTTCCCTTTATTTCTATCATTCGATAAGATGATTAATATTGGTGCCTGGTGTCCTTGTTCCTTTTATTTAGTGTTGTAACAACAGGCCCTGGTTTAAACATTTAAAATAACGCGCCCTGGAACACTACCGATTATGTACGATTGTTTATGTAACCTTTGTATATGAGTATTGGTTCTTTTCTCAATACCTTGGGATCTAGATTCAGAAATTGATAGTAGCCTGTCATTGTTCCAAGTAACTTACCAGTCGGATTGAATTCAATTTGCAAATGCTTTTTGTTTAGATTAATTGACCTAAACGATCTTCTGTAAAGTTGTTCACACTGTCATTTGCCTATCACCAATATTATGTGACTACAGGAATCACACGTGACTTGTTTATTTCAACAGAGTTCTGACGACGAGCCCCGCGAAGAGAAGGACCACTTCGTGGCGCAACTATACAAGTTCATGGACGACCGCGGCACGCCGCTCAACAGGAACCCCACGATAGCCAACAGGGACATCGATCTGTATAGATTGTTCAGGGTAAGTACTGTCTATAGTCTTGTCCGTGAGCACGTAGAATTTTGTCCAATGACCCCTAGCTACCCATCCTTATCGCTCGCACGTAATTATATTGCTGTCGCGACTGTGCGACGGGCGCCCGCAGTGAGTGTGCGAGCGCGATAGCAACATAATTACGCGTGAGCGATAAGGATGGGTAGCTAGGGGTCATTGGACAAAATTCTACGTGCTCACGGACCGGGCTTTATCTGGTATATTTTCGCGCCTATCTCACCACCTTGGGGATGAATACATCGTGACAGTGACATACGTCGCGAAAATAAATCTTTGAAAGGGGAGAGATAGGGGATGAAAATCAAAAAGATATATAAGTTCATGTTATGCTTTTGGCAAGAAACTAAGTGCTTCTGATCTTTTGATACTCCAAGAAGTTCTACCTGTATATGTCAAAATTCGCGCGGCGAAATCACAGATTGAATCTAGTAGTAAAGGAACATGTATTGTTTTGTTATTCAGGTTGTGCAAAAGCTTGGAGGATACAACAGAGTGACAAATCAGAATCAGTGGAAGACGATAGCTGATAAGATGGGCTTCCATCCAGTCACAACAAGTATCACCAATCTTTGCAAGCAGGCTTATAAAAAGTAAGTATGTTTGTACTAAAAGTTGTGTTATTCTAGGTGAGATAAATCATACCGTTTTAATTCAATTAAACTAGCGCTTAACTCAGTGAGTGCCTGAGGTATAGGAGCAACATAGGAGGGTGATTTTGTGATGGTCAAACCGTCAAACGTCAGCGAGATTTCAGATTGTATGACGTCACGTCATAATACGTCAATATCGCCCTTCCCGTGCCACTCCCAACCTCAGGCACTGACAGAGTTAAATGCTAGAACTATAGTACTCTGACTAAACAAAGTTTTCGAGACTACAAGATGCTGCTTTACTAACTCAAACTTTGGACACGGATTGTATTTATGAAGATATGATTTCAAGACATTACCTTAGTAGCTTTGATAATAAACTTTACATTCGACGCGACCAGAGAGTGCAGCAGCCGATTGGCTATCGCGCTGAAGCCGCAAGAAAACTCACGTCGTCAAAGTCAAACTGCAGTCTTGTATTTCTTCCGTAAAGATAGCATTCGGATCAAGACGACCGCGACGAGAGACCACGACCCGAGACCGCGACAGGCAACCGGTCGCAGGTCGCAGGGCGACAGCTACTTACGAATCTTCGCGACACGAGTCGTGCGACCCATACGAATCTTACTAATTCTATTAAAATTTCGTCTTCGTGCGAAGAAAACACTGCCATTTTGCATCTGTCGCGTCACGGCACTGCCTTGTGAGCGACCGAGTCGCGCGACGCAAGTAGCCGGCAGGCCACGCCCACACGTCGCGCGACTCGGTTGTTTGCATCCGTCAGCACTTCCTATTAATTCATATAAAGCAGTGGGTCGCGGTCGCCGGTCGTGGTCTCGAGTCGCGGTCTCGCGTCGCGGTCGTCTTGATCCGAATGCTGCCTAGGTTCCTAACTTTCTTGTCGTCGTAACTCCAGCCTTGCATTTGTTTAGGTTCCTGCACAGCTTCGAAGACTTCTACCGCAAGCTGGGCGTGACGCTCGTGGCGCACCCGCGAGGCGCGCGCACGCCGCCCGCCGGCCGCTCGCTCATCCGCGACCGCGACAAGCAGCCGCCCTCCTCGTCCGCATGCTCCACGCCTACCGGCACGCCCACACTAGTATGTGTAGTTCTTAAGGTCAGCCGGCGTGCAGCGATGGTGATCAGATTTAGGGTTCAGCCAAACCAACGCGATCAGCCGGCGTGCAGCGATTGCGACCAGACCTCAATGCATTGATTGCCATCGCTGCACGCCGGCTGATCGCGTGTGATCGCGTTGGTTTGACTGAACCTTGAAATGCATTAATCGCCATCGCTGATCGCGTTGATTGGGCTGAACCTTTACAACTCACGTTACGAAGGCGAGTGAGTTTTATTTGTGTGTGTACGTGTACGTGTACATGCACATAACGATAGTGTAATGTCTATCAAAACTTGGAAAACGAACAGTAGCGAGCCACCACATGTAAAGCTCACACGCCTTCGTGAATCGCAACAACTGTATACACTCACACTCATAAGATGCATTCGTCACCGTAAGATTGTTAAAACCGATAAATTACAATCTAACTCGCGAGAATTAGAGATTTACAAATCTCAGTATGAACCTGTTCAAAATCTTTCGACAGTTTACAAACTGTCGAAAGATTTTGAACAGGTTCATGCTTACAATTTAAAGCATTATTTTTCGGTAGATTACAATCTATCGAAGTGTTAAATTGTGAAATGTCATGCGTCGGAATGCACCTTGCGCCGTGGTTTTTCCAATCTCACGGTGACTCACGGTGGTCGCATGTCGTTATTTGTATGATATAAATAATGAGAGGAATATTTACAATTTTAAACAAGTTTATTGCTGAATACACAAAAATCTTTCTTTTTTACGAATTTTCTAAAGCTGAATTAGGTATTTTTGTAATATTATTTCAGCTCTCTTATTTTTTTCTAGCAACGTGGAAAAGATAAAGACTCAGATAAGAGCGAAACAGAGAAGAGTGACAAAAGTGAAAAGGAAGATAAAGTAGACAAGGTAGAAAAAGAAAAAGTGCCGAAAGAGAAACCACGCATCAGTGATAACGAGGATAGCGCCGATAACCAGCCACTTGTGACGACTACACCTAAGTAAGTTTATAAGGATAGGACTACAATCAATGATATTATATAAAAACAAAAGCAGATATGTTATAAGCGCTCGCGCTGTGAATACTCAAATACGTCCCAATTGGGACGTCTTGTGTTTAGTCTTCGTGTGGCCTGCGTCGTGCGCAATCGCGTGCGTACCACACCGTAAGTTCCTGTGTTCTTACCAAAATAAATAAAAAATGCCATCGTGTGTGTTTCGAAAGTGTACCAATTATGACTCTAAAACAAAATACAAGGGATCTCTTACCACATGTGATTATGCAAAATTATTTAGTATTTATATTTTCAATTATTTATGCAAACAATCAAGACGCCATGCGCCATGTTCAAGTTAAGAAAGAGAAAGCGATCTTGTTTTGACGTTAGAGCGATAAGGATGCGTGCGCTGCGGACATAGATTAGTTAGTGCAGAATCGTTAAAACTATAGCTTTCTCTTTCATTTGCGTGCTATTTCGTATCTTTTGTTTCACTTATCAGTTACATTTGTCAATGTGTGTAATTTGGAATAGCCTCGGCACGGATTAAAATCGTAATTTCTATGAACGTAACATATCTATAGTTCTATAATATCATTGACTACAATCAATTACTTTTAACTAATGATTTTTTTTTATATTAAAGATTCATACTACAGTTCATTATAAACACTGATACTTTATTTCAGGGTCGAAAAAGAAAAGGAAAAAGAGAGAGAAAAAGAAAAGGAGAAAGAAAAAGAGAGAGAAAAGGAAAAGGAGAGAGAAAGAGAGCGTGAGAAAGAGAAGGAAAAGGAAAAAGAGAAAGAAAAAGAAAAGGAGAAAGAGAAAGAAAAAGAAAAGGAGAGAGAGAAAGACAAGGGTTCCACCACCAGCGAAGAGAAAGCTCCCGTGGTCAAATCGCGCTCTCAGTCGAAGACACGCAGCATGCTGCCTGTCAAGCTTGACTCGCACGATAAGAGGACGCCCAAGCGAAGGCCTCTGTCTTCTAAAAGTAAGTAATTATTACAAGCTTTTTATTACTTTCGCATGTCTGGTGTCTGTCGTCAAATCTTGCAACTTAAAATTGACCCACTTCCCGGTTTTCTATTGAGCTGGAATTTTGCATGCATGTGTAAGTCGGATGACAATGCAATATTATGATGACACGGAGCTGATCTGATGATGGAGCTGGAAGGTAGTCATAGGAACTCCGCAATAAAACGACACAGGCCTATCGAGTTTGGGCTCGTTTAATTTGTATTGACGAGAACTATAATCCTGTATGGTAACCATTAGGGTCTGATGATGGAGCCGGAAGGTGTCCATAGGAAATTAGCACTGAAACAACACAACCTCGTCGAGTTTGGGCTCGTTTAATTTTTATTGACGAGTACTTTAATCATAGATGGTAACCATCAGGGTCTGATGATGGAGCCGGAAGGTGTTCATAGGAAATTCGCACTGAAACAACACAACCCCGTCGAGTTTGGGCTCGTTTAATTTATATTGACGAGTACTTCAATCCTACATGGTAACCAGGGTCTGATGATGGAGCCGGAAGGTAGTTCAAGGTAGTCATAGGAAATTTGCAATAAAACGACACAATGTCATCGAGTTTGGGCTCATTTGATTCGTATTGACGAGTACTTTTAATCATATAAATTGAGTAAAGTAATAAGTTGATGGGTTTGTTTTATTTTATTCTTTTTAGAGCATTAAAAGCTTGTTTTTGAAAAATATTTTTTTATTTAATTTTTAATTACTTAACTTACAACAGCTGTGCAGTTATGAAACCGTGTATTTATTTATTTGAACTTGAGAAATGTACTGTGGCGGACTTAATTTGACATTGCCGCGGTCTTATGCCGGTCAATGTAGGTGTCTATGAAGAGTGCAAATAGTATTTCATTGTTTAGTCTGACAGATTTTTAAAATATGCAGACTGTTGTTAGTCTAAACCGATGAACTATAATTTTGTCGTTTATTTTACTGTCATGAGATATCTGACGTGCAGTTAGATGTAAGATGTAAGTAACTATGGTAACTTACTTACTTCTGTTATGTAAGCAGGCGAGAGTACAGGCGCGGCCATATCGCGGGCGTCGCGTCGACCACACGTCTCCACAGACAGCGACAGCTCGGGACGAGCCTCAAGGTAAATATCCACGCTCTTTGTGTCATATCATAATTCATAACCCATACGAGATGTTTTAGTAATAAAGGTTTCTGTTTTTTTTTTAATATAACATCAAAAAAGCATCAGTTAGCACGTTGTAAAACCAAACTGTTGGTTTGTTCTATTAATAATTTAAAATGTGTTAACACGTGACAAGCACGCACGCGTTCAATATTACACGTCCATAGCCTGTACGTGCCTATAGTCCTTCCGAGGCGTGTACGATTCGTGTACGTGCGCAGGTCTGAACACACTTGGCTAAGTTCAGATAGTCGCCAAACAACGCGCGTAATGATATTCTGTTTTATTATATAGGACCGAAGAGACAAAATTAACGTCCTTGTTTATATTACTTTCAAATAAACACATCTTCTAGAGCTATATTAAATTGCATTTTACTTGTCAGATGCGGGCCAACAAAGATGAAGATGCAAAGCCGCCGCAGCCAGAGTGCTAACTCGGCCAGCAGTGGAAACACCATCGCGTCTAACAGTAGCAAGCGCCCGCGCAAGAGGAAGAACACTGAGTGAGTACACCGCCGTCTCTCTCACTCGTACTGCAGCCGACTGGCGACAAAGCGAGATAGATGTAGATTCTTCTACAGCAAATATCGCAATAGCACTCACAACAGCAAATATATTTTTGTTGCTAAATTTCCCCTATCACAACTGCATAAAATACCACCATGTTTCACTTAGGCCCAGAACACACGGTGAAACGCAACTGCAACGAAACTGCAACTTTCTAATGATTCTCAACGGACGCTATGGCAGAAACTTAGATGCAACTCAAAAGTAATTAACAGTTGCAGTTTCGTTTCAGTTGCGTTTCACCCCCAAGTAACACAAAACACAATTATAAGAAGCGTACAACAGCATGAACCTACGTGCAGAGCAGTATATGAGCAGCATATGTAGCACTATATCAGCCGTATAAAAGTCTATAAGTGACTTGTAAGCGCAATTTGGGCCCCAAATAATACGGCTTTGAGCATTATTAAATATTATTAGTGCTGCTAACCAGCGCTTATAATGTTATTGAAGACAGACATTAGTAAAGTTGTTAGACAGCATATTCTAATGTAAAAAGCATTTTATTAGATGTTAGTACAGCTTTGAAACAGCTTTCAGAATTACAATGCCAAAGTTACGTTTTATTCTAAGGCTGAACGTTTTATTTTGTTTGTTTGAAAGTATTCGAAAAAACTTATCGCATTTTATTGTCCGATTTGATTATTTTTCGTTTAGAGTATTGCAGTGCAATGGTGTTGTGAGGAGATGTTTTAATGTCTTTATTTAAAATAATTTATCATAAGGTAAGTATCTTTTTTTTTTGTTTCAAGAATGAAAATGAGCTGGGAGTATTAGTCTTATGTGAAAATATATATATGTTTGTGGTTTATAATTCACGCGCCCTCACAGAAATCCTTTTTTTAATAAAATAGGTACAAATTTAGAATCGACATATGACACTTTTTGTGATTTTTTTAACGATTTGATTAATTTTAACTTATAAAATTGCTTCTATCGATACTCCGCTTGTAAGAAAAGGATAATAAGTAGTATTTCATGCATATGTGTATTATAATTTTATTTTCTATGTTAGAGAAAACAGAAAGCAAATGGCGTCAGATAATATTAATGTTTTAAACTTTCAACTAGTGTCTTTTAATGTTGTCAGTCTTATTATAGTAAAAAGAAAATGGTTAAGTCATTCAACCTACATATAAAATATCTAAGTGATATCTTTAGCATTACTGTAACACTTTTTAGGTATGTTATAATGTTCATTAGGTTTAAACGTCATAAAAATGGATTGCTTTAGTGTTAATCAGGGTACCGAAACAATAATTTAGAATCCTTTAATCACGTCATGATCCCCTACTCCACGTCTTTCAATTTTATCTGTCTCCAATTAGGTAGGTACCTAGTTTGACAAGTGTTAAGTATAAAATCATTATCACTACAAATGTAATTTGTAATGAAACACGATATAGCTACCTATCTTATTTTTCGCTCATTGTAATAGTAATAATTTAAAGGAACTTTTTGTAACTAGTTAGTAGTGTTGCTGTAGTCGTTTTTTTAAGGGTATGCGTTATACGGGTAATTATTTAGAATTCAGGTAACTACTTCTCTATTAAGTCATAAATAAGCTTATTTGTTTTTTTTTCAGATGCCTTTTAAAATAGTGCAAACGACCGAAAGGGATGAAGGAATGTTCTACGGAACTTCTTGACTCACACAACAACCGATTGTACTGTATTTTGTGTATGAGGTGTATCATTTTTTGGAACACGTTTTGCATTTCTTAAACCAAATATAAAGTTTGAATATTCCGTCTTTATCTTTCTCTTTACTCCACCTGTTCTCTTAGGCTGAGTTGCACCACCTAACTTTGACCGTAACTATGACGATAACCGATGTTTTTTGTATGGGGTTTGACAGATTTTTGACGTTTGTTAAAGTAAGTTGGTGCAACCCGGCCTTAAGTCTTTTTCCACTGTTTATTCATGTCAATAACGTGACACGTTCGACATAAATTTTCTAATGAATATACAGGACCTACTAACGCACAAATGAATATAATCATACGGCTCGTGGTTTTATGGCCAAATTATGACCTAAAGTAATAAAATATTTTTTTTATTTATCTAAATAGTGCTAAAAGCTTTAAAGTAACAATAAAATAAGAAGATAACAGAGCTAAAACTTTAGTAAATGTTTGGCTAATGCTGAGCAGTAAATAAGCATAAGAAAAGATCATAAAAATGCGTTCAATCTGTAAAATGTGTTAATATATCTGAATGCACTATAGAATATTTCGACAACGTTTATTTAATGCATTAGGTTTTCTTATTTACTAATATACGGTTTTAACCTTTGTGTTAGTGTAAATGCTGTTAAAGGTGCTGTATATTAAAAGTAATTAATGTTTTAGTATGATTATAAGCCAATTAACTTATTTTTTTTAGACCATATAATAGCTTCATGCATTGTAAATATTACCGCATTCTACTCAAAAGCATTTAAACTAAGTCAAAACTGATTTAAAGTGATAGTCTGACTTTAAAACGTAAATCAATCTTAACTTCAGTGAATATACAGATTGCGTGTTACTTGGGCCGTCTGTTCTGGGCTTTAGAGATCCGTTATCTATACTAAAGGAGCGCGCGCACGGGTGACTCACTGTGACTGTCTCGTCATTATTACGTGCCTCCATACATCTCCATGGATTTGATATAATGACAAAACGTGCGCGCGCTCACTTACCCATGTAAACCTGTTTTTTTTTTTAAATACTGTTATACAATACATTATTGTTTTCTTCGATAGGCCGTCGTCTAATGAGCCGACTCGTTCTGGTGGAACCAATGTGAAAGCACAAGTGGGAGACAAACTAAAAGTATACTATGGACCGACGCAGTCTGAATCTAAGGTAAGATTTTATTTTTAAACTGATTTGAGTTTATTTCGTAACTAAATAGAATTTTCTATTTCTTACATAGTATAAATGTTTATCTGAATCTTTTGTTTATGTCTATCAACTCGAGGCTTCGATTTCCTAGATCGGTGCAGGGGCTCTGATACCTGTCTTTATTGCTATTTCTTATACCTTAAGTTTTCGATTCGCACATCCAAATTAACATCATAAAATTCACCCTGAATAGGGATGATGACTGGGTAATTAAATCGAAATTCTATTTAGTCCATCAGACAGATAATTAGAAAATATTAGACTCATATTTTTATTTTTTTCCATAATCCAATAATTACAGTATTATATTGAGTTGAAATGTCGCGTGACGTGACTTTTGAGTAAAAATTCTACTCAAGCATGCCGTATCGCGCCATTTCAACTCGATGTAGCACTGATAGTATTTAATTATGAAAGAAAATAAAAAATATGAGTCTAATATTTTCTAATTATCTGTCTGACGGACAAATAATTGAAATTTTGTCATCTAGCCTATTCAACATTCATAAAAAGTTTCTCTTTTATGTTACTCAACTCAAACGTTGTTGCACGTATCGTTTAATACATAGTCGCAACTTCATCAAAAGGTGACGTACGAGGCGAAGGTGATCGAGGTGTCGCCGGAGGGCATGCTGCGAGTGCACTATACCGGCTGGAACACGCGCTACGACGAGTGGATCAAGCCGCAGCGCATCGCGCTAAACGTCACGCAGCACGAGGCGCGGAATAAGAAGGTGCGATTTTGAATTCGGAACGTTTTAAAAACAAATGAGGAGCAAAAACTTTATCGAAGTAAATACGCGCGTAGCTTATTTAAAAAAGGAACGTTTTAAGAAACAAATGACTAGCAAAAACTTATTCTTTATGAAAATAAAATAACCCTTTTATTGAAGACTTACAACTTTTTTGTTTTACAGAATACCAGTATTAGCAGGCGCGTGAGATCAAAAAGAACTGAAGGTAATAAAATTGTTCTTCACATTACTGCTTCTCTCTCACTTGCGCATTTTGATTTTCACTATCTTTAATGCGCTTTAAATTTTCCAGAATCTTCAGCACGATCCGACACTGACAGTGACTCGGATAGTGACGCAAGCGTTAAAAGGCCGCCTAAAAAATCTTCGGATGACAAAGGTGGTTCAAAAAGTAAGTATACAATTACTTTGCCTTAACTTCCATATCGTCATTTTTATCAAATCTCAACAACTCGATATTGTTACAGCTCCATCCCGATCTAAAGATGCAAAATCGAGTGACAGCAGTAGTTCAAGTAAACCCCGCAAGAGGCCTGTGAGGACAATATCAACTCCTACCTCGGTTTCGCCAGCGAAGAAACCTCGGCCATCGACTAGCCACCAGGGTCGGGACTATGATCTAAACGAAATAAGATCAGAGTTAAAAGGCTTGCACTCGGTCAAGCAGGAACCTGAAGAACTGAAGCCAGAACAGTCCGACAAAGACCCGCTCGTCCCAGCTCAAGCAGCCGGTCCCTCCGCCGAACCCCCGCAGCCTGAGAAGCAACCGGAAGACGTTTATGAATTCAAAGAGCCCGAACCGTTCGAACTGGAATTGCACGATGAGAAAAAGAAACGCACACATCGCATATTTGACGACATTTCTCCCAGCAAATACACTTCAACGTTATCTAAATCGCTCAGCGAGGAGATATCCGAGGACCCCATGAGGCCGCGGCCGTCGTCGCTGCGGTCGCCGTCTTTGTCGCCGTTCAGGGACTTTGGCGCCACGCGGGACGCGCCGGGCAGACAAAGTCCCGAGGATGACTCCAAAGACGGCCTATTCTCTCTTGACGACGATTCGTTCCCCGGCGACGGTAGCTCGGGTCCTATCTTCGAAGGATTCACGCCAGCCAAAAACCAGGAAACGTATTCCAAAAAGAGCAAAGTGTCAAAACTGAGGGAACTCATAGACGATTCTCCTGATAGTCCAGCAGATGACGAGCAATCTTCTGAAGACGAATCCGAAGATATCACGATGAAGGAGGAAGATGAAGAAGATGATCGTGAGCCGAGCCCCATTGCGCCTGAAATGGAGCCTCCTAAGACACCGGAGCCAGAAGTGCAAGAAGAAATCAAAGAACCAGAGCCCGAACCGATAAAGCCAGAAGTGAAAGAAGTTACTCCTGAGCCTGAAGATGAGGTTAAGGAAGACAAATTGCCAGAACCACAAAAAACACCGCCAATGAAAAAACTGGAACTTCCCAGCATAAATATCATACCCATTTCAAATGTAGACAGCAATCCTTCAACGGAACCTAAAGTTATTAAAGTTGACAAAGAGGAACCTAAAAAAGAAGATCCAATAAAACTTCTTTCAATACCACTACCGCAATCTGAGCCTCCAAAAGACAGCATCAGTCCCAAATTGAAGATTGAAAAAAAACTAGATCCAGAACCAACTGTGGGTCCCTCGAAACTGGAGCCTCCTTCCAGCCCCCTCATAGACACGGAGGAGGACAAATCCGAGCCCGATAGTCCTGCCCGTATCGACGTCTTACCTGAACCGCCACCCGCATTCCTGTTGCAATCTGAAGGCCCTAAGATCGCCGAGAAACTCCTCAAGGCGATCAATAGCGCTAAAAGGTTGTCCATGTCGCCGCCACCGGTTGAGGACCGCCCGCTCACGCCGAAGGACGTGTTAAAACTGTCGAAGCCTGAGGGCAAACTATCGCCCGTCGCGCCCGAACTTAAGACTGCTGCGAACAAGCCGCCAGAACCGCTGAAGCCCTTGGCTAGGGTCGACCCTCTTAAGAAGTTCGGTGCGACGGAGTTACCCGATCCCGTGTTCGGCGAGCCGTCGAACATGACCGACGCGAAGCGAGACTTGGCGGACGTGAAGAAGGTGAAGCCGAAGGAGCCGACGCCTCCGCGGCTTCAGAGCCCGCTGAATTTACTCGAGCGTCGGAAGAGCGTCTGCGTCGACCCGCCCCAGGCCAAGACCAGCAAAGTGCTGAGTGACACGATACAGAAGTTGTCGAGCCAGATCAACCAGTCGGCGGCGACGGTCGCAGCCACCATCCCGCTGCCGCCGTTCCCGGCTGAAGACAGGAGCGAGTCGAGTGATTCTGACGATTCGGATAGGAGGTAAGTATCAACGCTAACAATTTATTTATTCAAAGTATACTTGCTCCCCTACATTTTCAATGTATTTTAAATGTGCCACGCGAATAGAATGTGCTAACGTTATTTACCAGTAAATAGTCCTGATGTAGATACCTTCACTACTTGAGTTTCGTTAGCGATCAAAATATGGCTACACAAAGTTGCAGTGACACCATCACCATATCCCACAATGGTAAGAGGTGAAATTAGTCCCGTAAATCCCGTAATGTCAAAATTATTGCCATTCACAACCTTAGAAGACAACCTCGTATGTACCTGATATCTTGGACTTTCCCTGGAAAAATTTACTACCTACTGCCCAGTTTAGTAACCTTTGCTTGCCAGGCGACTGCTCTGAGCTACAAACCTTAGATAATCTGAACACCTTTTATTAACTCAAAACTATTAGGTAAATCCTGATTACTTTATACCTCCCATGTAGCAAGTAAACCTTGTGGCGCTTGATCCCTTCTCCAGCATTTTCAAGTATAGCTTTTTCAGGTTAATAATTGACAAGCTATCGGTAGAGGAGTGGGGAAGCGGGGGTAGCTCGGAGGCCTCCCGCGGGAATACCGGCGGGACGGCGGCGGCGAGCGTCATTCCGGCGCCGCCGCCTGCGCTCGCGGCGGTGGCGCGCACAGCGCTGCACGCCGGTAAATCGCCGGGCGAGTGGAGCGCCGGCGAGTCACTGCTCATGCTCGAAGACGCCTGCAAGAACGAACGCAAGCACAGTGAGTATACACCACGTGTGGGATTTATTAGGTACACCAACAAAGTCACATACATAATACAGTTCATACATTTTAACATGGTTTAACACATGATACGTATATGACCTCAATTACAGGTATACACAGCATTTCTTTTTGCAATGTTAGGGTAATTATACACTAGTAAAAACAAAAATCAATTGAATAGAGTCTAGAGTTTAAGCACCGAACAAGAGTGGGATGTTATTTTTACGATGATTAAGAAAATTGGTTGCAGGTATTTGTGCCTTTAGTAAGGCGGTGTATTTGTGGATGAATTAACATCACTTAAAAATACTTGCTTTGTTTTGTAGTATACCGTGAGGTAATCCACATTTTTTTATTTCCACATAACAAGCCTTAGATATTCAGTAAGATTGATTTGAAAATTATGACCTGTATTATGTCTTAAAAACTTGATTTTAAAGCTTATTTCTTGTTCCTTACATCTTACTATTATTTACTTACAGTATACGTGCATGCTCTCTTACATGGATCATTTATTTTTCAATAATCCAAATATGATCAATGAAACGAAACATTTTACAAAGCAACAAATGGTACAACAACACTAGTGATTCGCGCACCCGCAGGCGCGAACGTGGTGGTGGCGGGCAGCGGGCGCGCGGCGCCGGGCCCCAGCGCCGCGCCCGAGGACGACAGCAACCTGTCGCTGCTGCTGTGCGAGGAGACCATCCCCGGCTCGCCCGCGCCCGACAGCGAGCCCGCGCCGCCGCGCCAGCGCCTCCACATGCCCTTCGCGTGCGCGCCGCCGCACCACTCGCACTCCAAGGGTAACTGCAGCCTCCCGGACCACAGCGACCTGTCGCTGCTGCTGTGCGAGGAGACCATCCCCGGCTCGCCCGCGCCCGACAGCGAGCCCGCGCCGCCGCGCCAGCGCCTCCACATGCCCTTCGCGTGCGCGCCGCCGTAACCTGGTTTAAATAAATTAAATGAAACCATCAATCGAGCTAGTAGGATTTATTTTATTATTCATCAATAATCAAATTCAGAACTTGAATATTCAACTGCAATGTCTGCTCATGAACGCTTCAAACTCGGTACTTCTTTCCCAATTCCATAAAATTCAACACTTAGAAAGTGACAAAAAACTTTAAAATAGGTATTTGAAACAAACCACAGCTAATTTTCATAGTGGACTGTACTATACGATAAACATGTCAGTCAATTTGACAACCTTGTCGGAAATATTATTCAATGAAAATATTGTCCGAACTCTTAGTATAGATGACCCATGCTGAACTGTCCCACCAAACTCAATGACAGGGGGGCGCTACCATCGTTCAACTATATGGTTTCCAACATGGCAAAAATCGGAACCAGCGATCCGGTATTGACGGTGGCGCCCCACTGTCAATGTCATGCACAGGACAGTTCAGTATTTTGGAACTATATTTCTCTTCGATAAATACTTTAACACAATATTGTGAACCACTTTTCTTTCACGACTATAAAAAGATTTTAGCAATTTAATTTACAAAATCAATTGCGCACATTTAAAATAAAGTTTGTTTACACTTTGACAGCAATAGACTGACATGCAAGGTGACATATCAATGAAGTTTTCAGTTATAGTTCCAAAATACTGGACTGTCCTGTCGATGACATTGACAGTGGGGCGCCACCGTCAATACCGGATCGCTGGTTCATATTTTTGCCATGTTGGAAACCATATAGTTGAACGATGGTAGCGCCCCCCTGTCATTGAGTTTGGTGGGACAGTTCAGCGTGGGTCATCTATACTATTGCCATTAAAAGAAATTAGTACCATTAGTTTTCCGCAACATGGCGAGGGTTTTTATGTTCCTGGTCAGGCTTTACATCGATATCGATAAGTGTATTCCAATGCTTCATCGTTTCTACAATGTGCACAATGATTGATCAATGTGCACACGGTTGTATCAAAGTTTTATTTAATTGTAAGAGTTATCTTTTTGACCCAGAGATTTATAAAGTAGTTCAAGCGGACCCAATGTAGACACCCTACAAATGAAATATGGAGGCTTAGCTTTGATATAATCCCGACATTATCACGTCCATAGCCATGAGAAATAAACATCGATATCAAGATTAATTTTTGAACGTGACCAGTCGAGTCATGCTTCGTGCTATCTAATCGTCTCGGTGCTTGGTCGAATACATTTATTTGGTCGATCAAGAAATAATTTTGAAAAGCATGTATAGAGAAAGTGGTATGAGAATTTTATTCAATAAAATATAATGCGAACAAAACTAGTAGTCTTCTTTGGCTGGTAAAATATCTCGTTATAATAAATATGTACTTATAACACATCAATCAAACAGTTTCGAAAGTTATCTTGAGTTAGGTTTTCGAGGTTTTCTACAAATCCTAACTTTAGTTTTAGGTTTTTGTAAAACTGAGTTTTCTTAAGTTACCGGTGCGGTGTTAGATTTTCGAGTGTTAGGTTTTCTAATTATAAAGATTTCTAGTGTGAGGTTTTCGGTCCGATAAATTTCGGAAGTTAGGCCTTCAAAAGCTAGGTTTTTATAAGTTAGATTTTCGAAAGTACGGTAATATTGATTGTCTTTTTGGTGTGGCAGCTTGGATTAGGTAGGCTCTCTAAAGCGAAATTAATTATATTTATTTGTAGTTGCACATGTCACATATTTTGCAGTTTACATTATTTTTTAATTTATCTACTGACTTGGATGCCCCCTACAAATTAATATGGATGTCCGCCGTGCGTTGAAAGGCTGAATAATAAAAAAGCTTTCGGTGATTTCATAATTTATTTGTAATTGAGATCACATGCAACTTAATAAATTTATTTTATCACAAACCAAACAAACTAAGGATCACAGGCGCACACAGCACACAGACTAATTTGTACATAAAATAAATATGGTAATATTAAAATTAAATATAATACGCAATAAAAATCCATAAGAAAATAGATAAAGTAAAGTTTAAAAAATAAACGTCTGCTGATAAAGTGATGTGATTATAAAACCAAATATGTTGGAATTGTATTCCTCTATCTTAATTGTATGATTGGAATAACCATAATTTCAATGGGTTTAAGTTCTAGGTTTCGGGTTACGTTTGTAGTACATAGTTTTTCTAGTCTTATTCTACCTATGGCCGAAGCCTAGTCGAAGTCCTCGTCGGAGTCGGTCTTGAGCACGCTGTCGGAGCCCGAGCCCGGCTCGCTGTCCACTGCTATCTCACTGCACAACAGATTATTTGGTGCTATTAGTCAAACCGAGGATTTGATCATGCAAGCTGAAGAAACTGATGAATGGGATTGAGTAATTATTGCATTTCTTAATATTTCATTCTTTGGTCTTGTTCTTATAGGTATAGGTACTTATCATTGGGAAAATTAACGGACCCAAGTAAGATTATTCGAATTATTTAAGTTGTCGAAATCATATAAGATTTATCATGATTAGTTATTTGCAAACACAATTACGCTGTTCTATCTATGATTAAAAATTATACTATGTTTTTTATGTAATGAAGTATGTTACAAAATGTTAGAATTTTTGAATGATGCGCGTAGCTTCGGTATGAACGGATATTACTAAAATATAACAGTAAGCTAGCGATTCATTAAGCATAAAACAAAATGTGTGGCTTGTTATCTACAGATATTTTATTAGTCGACGAATGGCTATAGTTTAATTAACAAAAGCTTAGCCAAGTCATTTGCCACATGGTTCCAAACCACATAAAACTTGCCTGTCTGCTCCGAGGTCAACCAAACTAACTTCAATTATATTTCTGTTGAAAATATTTTACATTTAACATGTTGTTCAACCTAAACAAATATCAATCGCTCCTTATGAATGCATAAAATAGAATATCAATTGAGTGCTTATCTATCTTTTATGACGTCTTAGTTTCATGTTCACAAAACTTAATCGAGTTGGATCGAGATTTCCTTTCTACACCCTTCGGTCATATTTCGCATTAATTAAACTAGGTTTCATCCTTTTTTATGGTGAGGCATTAGCACCTCATTCCATATTCTAGCGCCTAGAGCGTTTGTTCCACTCACTACTCCAGAGACGGCAATGATTTATCTACCATACTAGAGATATCATATTTAAAGCGACGATAATCATAAAGTCCGTATAATTAAACAGTTCCTAAATCACGGAAGCAGTCAGTTAATGTTAAACTACTTTCGCATCGAACATAAATTCAGATGCTCTTCAGGAAATAGTCTTTGAAAGTCGGAAAAAAATATAGCACTATTTTGAATATTTGTATAGCTTTTATAAAGAACTAGCTGACCCCGCGAACTCTATTCCGCCTTAAAGGCAATAAATAAGCCATCGCAATTTTTCCTTATTTGCTCACCGTTTAGACCTACCCTGGACAACGCAAACATTTTAAGGCGATAGGTGAGGCGAAACTGCAAAATAGACCTCTCTTTGAATCCCTACTCCTCCGAAATGGATGATCCAAACAAGAAAAAAAATTATGTGTGAGATGTATAATATCTTAAACTAAAAAATTGTTGTTCGTTTTTTTTGTTACAACTATTAGTTTTGACAGAAAAAAATCTTAACTTTCTTCTAATTTCACCAAAGAAATTTCCTACTACTCCTAAACGGCTGAAGCGATTTTAATGATTCTTTCACCAAATGATAGAAAATTTTATGATCTAAAAAATTGTTGTTCGTTTTTTTTCAATAATCATGTATTACGTGTCATGCATTCAAAATACCCTGTAATTTCCACACGCGGGCCGCGCGATAGCGGGAGCTCAGTCTTTCACTAGCGTTCGCACGGGGAGGCTGTGTCGCATTTCGGCCCGCTCCGCTCCTTTGTTTTTTTATAAAGAATTTATAGCGCAGATGGTACACTCGGTACTCAAAGTAGTTCGGCGGCTGAATTAGTGATCTGAGTACGTCATTTTAAATAAGTATAGGCATTATATAATTTTTAACATAATTTAAATACATAGATACACAAGATGCTAATTATCTATTTTTCTACATTTATTTTGTCTGATTATTTATCTATTTATTCTAGATTTATATAAATTTATAAGATTTTTTTTTCTTATGTAGGTATTAGTAGGTATCTAGTAATAATAAAACAACGCACTTAGGTAAAGGAAATCACAAGACAACAAAAATACCTACAAAGGATTATTTAAATTCTGTAATTAGCAAAAACGTATTTATTATCAATTTCCAGGGCCGTCTTTAACCTATTAGGGGCCCTGGGCACTTAGAGATCAAGGGGGGCCCATATCATCTGGAGAAAGGTCTTTTGAGTAGACAGGGGCCCCCAGTGCCACCAACTTAGGGGTTTTCCCCCCAGATTTAGGGGGTAAATAAGTGAGATTGGATTTTTAGGGGTCTAAAATTTTTTAGGGATTTTTTGACTCTTTAAATACATATTTTTAAATTTATAATATTATTATTGTTATTTTTTTAAGATAAATATACAAATGGTAGCCAACAGAGACATTAATATTTATTTCTTGACTTGAAATATTTAATGTATTTAATAATTTATTGGCTATAAATCTCATAATCACGCCTCTGAATGTCCGTTATTTAAAGTTACGCTTCCCCCGAAAGCGTAACTTTATAAAGCGTCTACTGTAAATATTTTTTAGGGCAAAAACTCAATAATTAAGGCGATTTTAGGGGGTTTTGACACAACTTTAGAGATAAATATTTTTTAGAATTGGTAACACTGGGGGCCCTCTCGGTCGCGGGGCCCTGGGCACGTGCCCAAAGTGCCCAGTGGGAAAGAGGGGCCTGTCAATTTCTTGGAAATGTGATTGGGTGATGTGATTGACATCACTTTTGTACATTTTGCGTTTCGATTGGTGTATAGGCTCCTTAAGAGCATTTGACGATTTGCAAGTACTAATTTAATTAGTCTAAACAAATAAAGATAATTTTGATTTTGATTTTGGTAATTTATAAGGTACCTCGTTGGTCCATTGGTTTGTAGATATGAGTTTTTTTTATCTCATTGGCCCCACAAAATATCGGAATTATTCCTAGGGAATTTTCGATTCATCTAGCTCAATCGTCTCGTCGCGGATAAGGTTAGGTAAATAAATTGATACCACCTATTTCGATCCCTGATAATAATATAAAATATACAGGAGTTTGGTAGAATGTTACACAAACTTCGTAAGTAAGGTCATTTTGAATACAAGTTCGCCCATTTGACCCTAAATGAGCTACTTTTTTTATTGATATTTATGATTTATTTATTATTTTCCGAAATTTTACCTAAAACTGCTTCTTTTTTTCTCGCGTGTTTTCAACCGATTTTTTTATTCGGTGTGAACATCTAATATCTCTTTATTCTAATAAAAACATTTTATATCCAGACAATGATTGGGTAGCTAATTACGAGCCGCCAAAGTCAGCCATCTTTTCTGATATACTGCTTTTCATTGCTTTTTTATGTGTTTTGTTTCAAAATCAAATCAAAAATAATAACCGCATAGAAAAAAAAGGATTTTTTGTATGCGGCTTGATTTTTCGGCTGCCGTGATCACAAGCATACTGGCAGCTGGCGGAATCGTCCGTTCGGGTGGGCTTAAATATTTTAAACTTACCCTCTTATTGTCATTGTTACACTATAGTGGCGTTACCTCGACACACAGTAATCGTATTCGTACTTGACATGTAACTCATATAAAAATGTCGCTCAATCCGTGTTTATCTATTTTAGTTGAAATAGAACGCTACNACTCGAGCGACTGCTGTGCGAGGAAACCATCCCTTCCCCATTGCATTACAATAAATATAAACATCTACATAGGTGGAAATCAATCTACAGCGGGAGAGATACTGCAGAAGACCACAACGCAAGCACTACGGCTGAGGCTACATAACGCTAATTTATACATGCTTTTCCCTGTACTCGAGTGCTTTCCCATCTCACTTTTGTAACTGTATCAAACAGTAATCTGTAGACGAGTAAATGAGGCCATTTTTAAATTTGGCAAAGTACGAGAAAATGATAACATACTTATTTATTAAACATTTTATTACCCAGAGAGAAAATACAAAAGGCGAACTTATTCGAAATTCATTTGTTACCGTGTTTGCTAACATACCAACACCACTTCACAGAAGAGAGGCGTGCGGAAGGCGCGGCGGGCTTAGGCGCGGGCGCGGGCGCGGCGGCGGGCGCGGACGCGGGCGCGGCGGAGGGCGCGGGCTGGGCGCGGCGCCACGCGCTCGTCGACAACACGCCGCCCACCACGCCCGACAGCAGCCTCGATATGTCGCCACACAGGTGCCCGTCAGGCCGCTTGTAGACGTCCGTTTTTTTTCACCGGATAACGGACCGTGTTTTTCACCGGATTTAGCGGTGGTGTATGGTTTATAATGAACGTGTGCACATGCATCGGACATAGGTCCGGCGAGAAAATTGACAGCAAACAAAGGATAACCGTTTTTTGACGGTCCGTCGTCCGGTGAAAAAACGGACGTCTACAAGCGCTCTCACTATTATTCGATATCTATAAAAGCAAAAAGTCACTGATTGACTCACTCACTTATCACGAAATCTCAGAAACTAAAAATGCTAGGAGTCTCAAATTTTGCATGGGGGTTCCTTTTAAAACGTAGGTGGGTCGTTCTACTTTTAAGGTCTTAACCATGAAAAAAAATAGAGAAAGCTATTTAGTACATTTCATACGACTGAAATGTAGGAAAATTACCAAAGATTCGGTATCTGTAGACCAGCAGCTCAGTTTTTTATCAAAACTTATATTTTTTTGCGTTTTACTAGACTAAGATGGAAAAAAATGTATCCTTCGTCACGAAATTCAGTTGTTTAAAACTCGATAAATTAAAAGAAATTTCAATAGATATTTGCATTTATTATTACAAAATCTCAGCTTAAATCAGTCTTGGACAATTGGTAGTTAATCGTTATTTAATCAGGTAACAATTCCATAAAAATCAACAGTTTGTCCCTTTCGTCACATTTACACCTTTAAAACTTAACAAAAATCAATTATTTTTCTCTTTTATAAAGTTATATTGAAAAAGTAGTATTACACACTAAAAACCAAGTATTACACGACATAAAATGAGTTACAAAAAGAGTTTACACTCGCATTTTTGTTGTTTAAGAGATAATATTTATTAGGGGACGAGATCAAACTCTTCGTTACGAAGAAGACGTAAATGTGATGAAGTAGACATCTAACAATTAATAATCAATTTAACTTGAAAACTAATGAGTGTCTCAGCCATTTTTCATTAAGTACAGGCATATCTTTGCTTATTACTAAAATAGATAATGAAAAATATAAGGAAAATCAGCAAAAACCTACACAAATAGGAACTGAAACTAAGAGTATTAAGGAAAAAAAATCATTTCAAAAACTGCTTCAACTGGTTTACTAAACGAATACAAAATTCTTATACCTTTTTCTGAGGTGTTTTTAGTATTCTTAACATATTATCTAACTGCACAAAGGACACATCGTTTAGATGTAGGATCACCTGTTACGAAGGATACGTGTGACGAAGTATACAATTTTCCAAAAAGATCAATAATAATCGTAAATAACGATAATTTGGATCGAAAACTATACTTTATCTTAAAGATTACATAAAAACAAATCATGTTTACAGTAAACCAATTTAAAATTCGTTAAATAAATACCAAAAACCGCTGTGACTAAGGATACGCCCAATAAACACACGCCGCCCGTTTTCGTGCTTGATGTAAAAGAAGTGACAAGCTGGCTATGTTAAACACTTGATTTGAGTTTCGTTCTATACTCTATGGTCTATGGCCTTTCGTTTTACTAAAAAACGTGATCTACTCACGTATTTTTTAAGAACTTATTTTAATATTTGACTGTTCGTGACGATGGATACTCCAATTTTCGGGACAATCTTTCGTCACACCAGAAAAATATATTTTTACAGATAAATAAAATTAAACTTTGTAGTTACCATGTTTAACAATGTATATCTCTTTTTATTTAAAAATAATTGTGTGGCTTCAACAAATTATTTCTAAAAAACGTAATAGTTCTAAGCAACACCTAATGGGGACATGCCGTTTTAGCTTTGTTATAAAAGTTTGAAGTCATTTTTTTAACACAGTTAAATTGTAATTGAAACTTAGTGTAACTAGATAATCTAAACAGGTGTTATTAACTTTATTTAAATAAAATAAATGATAGTTTCTTCATTTTGTATTAAGTATTAGCCTTCGTTATTGTGGGGACAATCTTATTTTTGTGACGGACTCTAAAAGTAGAACCACCCAGGTGCTCGCTAAGAACGGATTTTACGGAACTCCACCCCTAAGGGGGTAAAACGGGATTCACATGTACCTACAAAGTCGTGTGCGGCCGCTACATTATTATTCGATTTTTTTTCCATTCATCATCATCATCATAATTTCAGCCATAAGACATCCACTGCTGAACATAGGCATACCCCAATGATTTCCATGATCGACTGATAGCGAACTGCATCCAGCGCCTCCCTGCTACGTTTATAAGGTCGTCGGTCCACCTTGTGGGTGAACGTCCTACGCTGCGCTTAAGCTTTCCGGTACGTGACCTCCACTCCAGAACCTTGCTGCCCCATCGGTCGTCTATTCTGCATTTTTTTAAATCCTACTTTTATTATTGTTCCGTTGTAAGTGATGTCAAACATAACATCAAAGTGTCGTTATTTCACTAGGCTACACTATGTCCGTGGTTCATTCATAAAAGTTGCAGAAGTGGGATCCGGTGGAGGTTATTGTCTCACTTTACTTTTCCAGATAGCCTGCCTATACGTACAAAACTGATCCATTGGTCAACTAGATGTCTAAAATGAATCAATTCATTATTTTACAGAGAACGTCGTATGTCAGAGCGTGATAGCCCCTCGGAGCGTAAGGAAGATGAAGATGAAGGAAGGCCCAATGATATTTCCCTTGATATAGATAAACCACACGGTGAGTAAATCTATTGTTGCTGTCTTCAATAATAGGTGGGCAGTATAATCTTGGATAGTTGACGTCATTTACGTAATTTCAACATACCTTTTTTGGAACTAGTTTTGAATGAACTGTAAAGTAGCTGAAATAAAATACAGTCAACTGAATTGAAAAAGTTACGTCATAGGTTCGTATTTGACAGTATTGACAGACATGTGTGTAAAATGTATAGATGACCCACGCTGAACTGTCTCACCAAACTCAATGATAGGGGGGCGCTTCCATCGTTCAACTATATGGTTTCCAACATGGCAAAAATCGGAACCAGCGATCTGGTATTGACGGTGGCACCCCACTGTCAATGTCATGCATAGGACAGTTCAGTATTTTGTAACTATATGTGATTTGACTAACAGTCTCAACCCCGTTGGAATGCATTTTTTTTGACTCAAAAAAGTGCACGTTTATTGTATTGCAGTCCTAATTACCATATTAATTGTGATTGTGTGTCAGCAGGCGTGCGCTCGCGCAAGGCGTCTGAGAGCTCGCTAGGCGCGGGCGCCGGCGCCGCGACGGGCCGCACGCGCGCGCGCCGCTCCCGCCGCGACACCGACGACCACGCGCCCGGCTCCCACCACACGCCGCTCAAGTACAACTTCTACGTGGACCTGGGTGAGTTACTGTCTTGGGTAGCTTCAAACACTACGCAAGGCGTCTGAGAGCTCGCTGGGCCGCGCACACCGCTCCAGCCGCGACACCGACGACCACGCGCCCGGCTCCCACCACACGCCGCTCAAGTACAACTTCTACGTGGACCTGGGTGAGTTACTGTCTTGGGTAGCTTCAAACACTACGCAAGGCGTCTGAGAGCTCGCTGGGCCGCGCACACCGCTCCAGCCGCGACACCGACGACCACGCGCCCGGCTCCCACCACACGCCGCTCAAGTACAACTTCTATGTGGACCTGGGTGAGTTGCTTGCCTTGGGTAGCTTCAACAACTTAACTTCACCTACATAAGGCATCGGAGAGTTCGCTGGACACGAGGGCCGAAGTCAACAACAGAAGTAACAAAGTACAGAAGTTGTTGAACAACTTCTACGTGGACGTGGGCGAGATACCTATGTTTCCTTCCTACTTACCTTCCAAATTCTCTTTTATTTTATACCTCAGATATACTACTCGCTACGCCACTCGGCTAACTTCTGTCTTCTGATTACTCAGTCAGATACAGTGCTCAATTTTTGAAACGCTTCGAGCGAAGCGAAATTTGTATCTGTACTATCTTACTTCGATTAATTTCGGTCTCTCCGCAAGTCATCGATAGATAGAATTAGTCACAAACTGCATACACAATCACGTACATCGTGTTAAAATTACTTGTTTTTTATTCTCCTATGTAAAATTGGTGATATTGTAGATCCTTCGTGGGACTGCCCGACGCGCATCAACGTACTGACGTCACGGCTGGCGGACCTGCGCAAAGCATACCATTCCGTCAAGGCCGAGCTCGCGGCCATCGACCGCCGCCGCAAGAAGCTGCGACGCAAGGAGAGAGAAGGTAAGTTCACCCTTTTTAAGGCTGTCTTTATTGCCACTGTAATTTGAACATTATTCACTTAATATTATCTGGTCGAAACCTATGACATGTGTACTTGGTCTATCTATTTCTATTTACATCGCAAAACAGCACCTATTGTAACTGCATAAGATATTGATTGATATACTGTTTTCCGTTCAATAAAGAGTATTTTACTGACTATACCCTTATCACATAACAACATCGGATCAATTTAGATTCTAACACTACGTGTGTTTTCTTTTCAGCTGTAAAGGCAGCAAAGGCTGCGTGCTCATGATGAAGGCTGTATTAAGCCCACTAACAAGACATGCTGGATCTCAGGAGCGTTACTTCAGTCGTTTATTCGTTTTAGAATAAATAGACGGTCCGCACAAATACAAAGTGTAAGGAAAAGGTTACCAAAACAAGAAAAGTGAATACAGACCATTATAAACTAACTTTATCGAATTTAATATCTCGAGATCATTTTTATTCTCTTTCAATGTATGTATAATGATACTGTATTCGCAGTGCCTAAATGGATTAGATTGCGTAATTTATCAGATTGTAATTACTTATTAGTGTATTGTGTTCCGAAATACAGTGTGAGTCACGTTAAAGTGTACATATGAAAATAGATGAAACTAGACCTATTTTTATCGACAAAAAAGCGGTCGAAAATTTTTTGAGATTTTTTTTTAATTTTTTATAGAATTTTTTTTCTTCCAATTACTTATTGTAAAGAAAACGTAATAACTTTTAAACTAAGCGGTATATCCTGATAAAATAAAAACAGTAATAATGCTAAATAACAGGCGATACTAAAAAAATACATACAATACACAAAAAATGCCAACAAATAATAAAAAATGATACTTTTTGAAAAAAATCTGCTTAAAAATTCGTGTTTTTTTGGTTATTTGATAAATTTCTCCGAAAAATGCCCCTATAACAGGTAGTTTTTATTGTTTTGTATTATTCTCTATCGTATTACCTTTGTAAAACCAAAAATTGCATGTTTCTATCCCTGTCACAACATTTGCTATGATCGTTTGAACTAAGACTCTCCGGGCGCGCCATTCAACGCTTCGTTAACAACAAAACTGAAAATGGCTCTAGATTTGTAATTTTGATAAAGACAAGTTAGATTTCAAGTGAAAACAAAAGATTTCGAAGTAAAATAAGCATTTTAGTTAAAATTAAAATTGTCCCTACCTGTAGAGGAGAATAATGTTGTGGTAGGCCTATGTTCAAACTATCATAGCAAATGTTGTGATAGGGATAGAGACATGCAATTTTTGGTTTTACAAAGGTAATACGATAGAGAATAATACACAATAATAAAAACCACCTGTTATAGGGGCATTTTTTGGAGAAATTTATCAAATAACCAAAAAAACACGAATTTTTAAGCAGATTTTTTTCAAAAAGTATCATTTTTTATTACTTGTTGGCATTTTTTGTGTATTGTCTGTATTTTTTTAGTATCGCCTGTTATTTAGCATTATTACTGTTTTTATTTTATCAGGATATACCGCTTAATTTGAAACTTATTACGTTTTCTTTACAATAAGTAATTGGAAGAAAAAAAAATCTATAAAAAATTAAAAAAAAATCTCAAAAATTTTTTGACCTCTTTTTTGTCGATGAAAATAGGTCTAGTTTTATCTATTTTCATATGTACACTTTAACGTGACTCACACTGTATACTCCGTGCATGCCGTTGCATAGTTGATGTTATGTTCTACTTCAAAAATATTAATAAGCATGGTTTACCACAGTTACATCATTTGGCCAACCTATCCCCTACACCCTGTATAAGAGATCGTATACGTGCTGTGATTTAGTGCTCCATTGTGAATGAATAAGACGTTATAAATAAGAATGAATAAATTGGTGTGATAAAGTGGGTGATCTACGAACTTTTGTGGATGACTACTGACTTATATCACTGTGTTGAATGAAACTAACTTTTGGTTGCACGGTGCATCGGTGTTTTAAAAATATATCGCCTATAATTTTTGCAATAGGCAATTCAATGATTGTTATCCTTTTATACATAATGTATCAATGTCGAACTAGTTTCTAAGGATTATAAAGTTGAAAATATTATGCTTGAATATATTTTAATTTGATGAAGATTTATTTTTGTATTTATAATCTTATCTTAAATTGCGTATAGTCGATTTATTATAATTACTAATTCAAGAAATTCATTATAATTTTTATATGAGCATGACTTGATAGTGGATAGGACGATTCTTCATGATAATTATTTGTTGTGATTCCACATCTCACATAGTTAATTATGACTTCAATTGTAATATTGACTATAATGTGATTATGAAAATATAAAAAAATCTTGAAATTATGTATTTAGTTTATAAAAATTATAATCTACCACAAAGTTTGCTCTACTTTTTTCTAACTTTATCAAGCATCCTCAATATTACAGTCGCAAATATGCGCTCACTTCTGAAGACTGAAAGATCGAAATAACAATACCATGTTCTAATGTGACAAGTATATTTATTTCCCAAAGTATATTGTAGTGTTTTCTTAGATTTATCAAATTTTAATAAAAGTTCTTCATGCAATACAGTTTTTATTTATCGCATCAATTACAATGCACTGAAAAATCTGTCCTTTTAATATACCATACTGTTAACGCTATAATTAGTATTACAAAAATGTAGTCCATTACAATAAAATCCAATTTAAGAGCGTAGATGCATCGGAATCTATGTTATTGCTTAACTAAGTTCTAAAATATAAGATTGATAAGTCCTGTACTTAACGGTACATTATAACTAACCACGGAACGATCGTATTACATAGTGGCAATGTGTTATATTAAACACAGCGTAGCAGCAATAAGTGCTTTATTTCATCGAATTTTCAATAAAATTCGAGTCAATAATTTGACATTACAACCACGAAAGCGAACATTCGGCCGTCTTTACCCATTTAGACTGCACATAATGAATGTGTAGCTTTACCACACGTTTCCTATCGGCTCAGCATACAGCCCAACCAAGGTCTTATAGTGAGCGGTTTTTAATACATTCAATGGACCAGTATACCGAATAGAAGTCGATTTCTGGTCACCTAAAAGCGGTCAAAAGATATTGGTAGGGCTATAGGCGTACTTGTGCAGTCAAAGTGGCCAAAAAGTTCACAACAACCTTATTCCAATATCGTAACAATGAGATGTTACGAACTCTCATTGGCTACTGTGTGTGTCACTATTTGACGCTGACCGTACGTCGGCCTCGTTCGAGTGGTTGTGAGATCAAATTATCGACAGAACCGCGGGCGCTAGTAGTAGTTAGGGTACTGCGGCCAGGGCGCGTGGTGCTGGTAGGGCCCGGGAGGTTGCTGGTAGCCCCATGGCGGTTGGTAGGGCTGTGCGTACGACTGCTCGTAGGACTGCGCCGTGGCGGCCGGCGTCTGGTAGTACGAGTTGCTGCTCGTGGTTACTGCGCTGGCCGGCGTCGCCTCTTTTTTCTTCACGTCGCTTGCTGATGCACTGGAAGCAAATCGAAATATGAAGGCGTCTTAAAACTTCTATTTTAAAACTGGGTAAAGTAGTGAAAGTTTAGTTATTACTTTTATTTTTGGTATTTTTTTTAAAGAATATTATAAATAATTTGCAGTGCACATAATAATCCCGTTAGCCCCTTGTGTAAATCTAAATAAGGTTGTATCAAGAATGGGTTATTACCAGTCCAGTGGCGGCGGAGTTCGACCCAGCTTTCCTTGGATCTCGCCTCGGGCAATACGATACCTAGGCCGTTCTATTCTCGCTCAAAAATATTGAAAAATACATTTCTGATTTTAAAATCTGTCTACTAACGTTATGCTCTATGGATACGCGATAAACTCTAATTTTATTTTTGCAGGTAACCTTTAAAAAGAACTTTTACACGTTCTAGTATTAACCCCACCGTTGTTTCGGGACAATAAATTATATGTGTATATGAATTTTAAATAAATAAATGGACCAGTGCTGAAAAATCCTACACAAGTACACAACCGGTGTTTTCCTTCTCCATACCTGGGCGGTGGCGGCGCGTCGTGCTTGTCCTTGCGCGCGCGCTTCCGCATGTGCTTGGCGAGCGCTCGCGCGTGCGTGTGCGCGCGTCGTGCGGCCGCCGCGTCGCCCAGCTCCTCGGCCAGCTCGCGGCGCCGCCACGCCATGCTCGCGCTCACTTCCACCTCCGCGCCCTCTTGCCGCTCGTATGACATCACCAGCTCTGAACAACACAATGTTGATTTTAAACTTTCGCGTTTCATTTCAATTAAAGTCAATTAAAAGTAAATAAAACATTGCGTTAAGACCCGTGTCTTACTATTTTAACACAATGTTGAATCAGTATGTACTACGAGCACGAAATGCTCTGCTCGGCAACGTTATTAAATTAGACTGGAACGACATCTGAAGCCTCGCATTCACTAGAGGACAAATGGTCTGTAAGTGCACGTGTCGTCGTGGCTGACGCACAAGCCGTGCATGCCATCATAGGAAAAAAAAAAGTGCACGTGACTTATTTGAAGAAATTTTTTTAGAAATTTTCTGCTTGATAAAAGGACAGGTCTAGCGCATAAGCACGAGATCTTGATATTGACATATTATGACATGATGTGACAGAGCATACAAGTCTAAAGCACATCTGTAGTCCCCCATGCTGCTCCCATACATCAGACACTGACTTGTTTAAGCACTAAACCTATAGCTTTCTAATGTGAAAAAATAGTTATGTAGTAAATAAATTACAAGTGCTCCGTCTTTCACACATAAGACAGCTTTTGCATCTACGAAACGCGAAACAAATGATTGTGCATGTTTTTTACATAACTAGACCCACCTTCAAGCTCCTCATAGGGCGTTCCAGGCGTGTGCAGCGCTAAGTCAAGGCGCTGTAGATGCAGACGCGGGTTGAGCGGATCACGCGCGACCGCCGCATCAAGCGCGGCGCGGGCGTCGGCGGGCGCGGCGCGCGCGTGGAACAAGAATCGCGCGTATTTGACCGCGAGCGCAGAAGCCACTGCCTTGCTTTTGGCGGCCGCTATGTAGCCCTCGTATAGTTGTGCGCATTTGTCGTAGTCGCCGCGCCGCCGTTCGAGGTTCACGCGTCTGGGTAGAAAAGTTATGTAAGCTAAATATATCCATTTCTACATTGTGTCATCTAGTCCAAACGCATGGGAGATGTATGATAGTAAGATAAAGCTCGGTTCACACGGGAGCTGTCATAAAAATTTTAAACTCTGCCGTGCCGTGGGGACCAACACTAAGTGCCACGTTCACCATCTCGGAGTAAAATGTCAAGTAGGCTACTCATTGCTTAGTCACTGAAAAGACTTATTTTTATTTTCTAAATAGGGTTTTATCAGGAAGAACTTCTTAGAACATTACTGTGAATGGAAGCTAAATGTGTCGAATGCAGTGCATATCGCAGACTAGGGCCACTCGCTGTTTCTTAAATGTATTTGCGTTGTGATCCTTTTGCTGTGACTATTATGACCCGTGACGGTGTTAAGGTTGGCCGTTCTTGTGTAGATATAGCGACTAACCTGTACTGTATCTGCACAAGATTAGGGCAGGCCTTCTCGATGCGGTCTAATATCTCGGCCGCCCTCGCGGGCTGTCCGTGCGCCTCCTCGAAGTGCGCCCAGTGCAGGTGCAGCCTTATAGATTAGTTGTCTCTACTGACATACTTAGGCATTATGAGCTGTCAAAATGACTCTTGTACCCATTTATTGTTTTGAAGGTACTACTCCTACCTACCTACCTTCAACGTAGGCTAAAAATATGTTGACTTTTAGAAAGTTATGCCAAAAAGTTTTTCAACAACCTAATTTAAAATTCGACTGTACCCGATCTCCATTCCACTCCGTGCGAGGTTTTTGAATGATGGCAATGGCGACTGACCTGTACTGTATCTGCACAAGATTAGGGCAGGCCTTCTCGATGCGGTCTAATATCTCGGCCGCCCTCGCGGGCTGTCCGTGCGCCTCCTCGAAGTGCACCCAGTGCAGGTGCAGCCTTATAGGTTAGTTGTCTCTACTGACATACTTATTTATTATGAGCTGTCAAAATGACTGTTCCATAGATTTTGTACCCATTTTTTGTTTTGAAGGTACTACTACCTACCTACCTTCAACGTAGGCTAAAAATATGTTGACTTTTAGAAAGTTATGCCAAAAAGTTTTTCAACAACCTAATTTAAAATTCGACTGTACCCGATCTCCATTCCACTGCGTGCGAGGTTTTTGAATGATGGCAATGGCGACTGACCTGTACTGTATCTGCACAAGATTAGGGCAGGCCTTCTCGATGCGGTCTAATATCTCGGCCGCCCTCGCGGGCTGTCCGTGCGCCTCCTCGAAGTGCGCCCAGTGCAGGTGCAGCTCAGGCTTGTCGAGGTGGTGTACGGTGCACGCGCGCTCAAGCACCTCGCGCTGAACCGCCACCAACTCGGGGGCGGTCTCCGCGCGTTCTTCAAGGAACTTTATCAGCTGGAACATAGAGGCGAAATTGGGACACTCGTGTTACGTGTAGTTAAGGTTTATATTAATACGGATAACAATTCTTCAAGGAACTTTATCAGCTGGAACATAGAGGCGAAATTGGGATATCCGGTCGGTGTTCGTAAGGTTCACATTGGCATGCGCTCCTCAAGATAAAGTTCAAATTATAATACTCGTTCGGTGCAATAAAGGCTCACATTAGCATGTGCTCCTTCACGAACATTATTTGCTGGACATAGAGACCAAATGGTAATAAGGTTCACATTAGCACACGCTCTCCGCGCGCTCCTAAACACATTGATGGACAGTAACGTCCACGGGCGTTCAGTAGTAAAGAATGATACGACAGAACGACTATATACGTCCTAATTTTTACTTGTTTTACATTGAAACTGCGCCATATGCAATAGTATGTGAATAAGTAGTGTCTTTTGGGAAGTGATTTTTAACCTGTCCACCAAAGTGTAAGGAACTTTATTAGCTGAAATTGTAACTCCTGTCGTTGTAGTTAGGGCCTTCCCATTGTGCATACGTTTTTGTCTTCGTCGAAGCGTTTCTCCCACTCCAGGTGCGCCTTCCAGTTCAGTGCTCAGACTCACNTGTTTTCGCCGAAGAGATTTAAGGTCCCTCCCAACCCGAAGATTTCTATATCTTCTTCCCTGGAGGTAAACGTCAATGTCATCTCTTCTCTAAATATAATGAGACCGCTCGGACAACGAGCCCACAGCGTGGTAGGGGTGGGGTTGCCCGCTCTTTTGTTTTTTACTACTACTACGCTGAATATTGTGTGCGGATTGGGTTGTCGTACGGGGGTACTACACGGTAAAATAAATCTCTTCGGCGAAAACAGGATAATTCAGATCGAACTTCACTTGGTAAGTTCGTTTGATCATCCAATAATATTGTCTATTTCGGATATTTCGATTATTTGTGGACATTTTGCGTCCCGGTTGTCATTTTGAGAAGTTGTCATTTTGATGACTAAGCCATATTATGACGTGACAAAGATCTGACGTTTCACTGATGTTTGACCGTCACAAAAACACCCTCCCGTGCCGCTACCATACCTCATGTATTGACTCATTAAGGTGCTATAGTACTGCACACTAAAGTCTCTTCTCTAATATTAAGGTGCCCTTAAGAGCTACGAGTAAGTTACCATACGCCATCTCTTATCGCCATCTGAACGCCATTGAACTCTAGTGCAAGTTACATTTACCGCCATCTATCTCCCGCGCCATGAACTAGTACGCCACACACTAGCAACGTTTGGTCGTGCTAGCATTTTGTGTAGAGGTTCTCGCCGCAGCCAATAGATGGCGTTGGACGTAACTTAGCACGCGTTAACGCCGTTCACCTGTAGACCACCCATGTTGATGATCAGTCACCACACACTATAGTCTGGTCCGTGAGCACGTAGAATTTCGTCCAATGACCCAAACGCGCGTAATTATGTTGCTATCGCGCTCGCACACTAACTGCGGCTGCCCGTTGCACAGTCGCGACAGCAATATAATTACGCGCGAGCGATAAGGATGGGTAGCTTGGGGTCATTGGACAAAAATTCTACGTGCTCACGGACCAGGCTTTAGACGCCCGAGCTCCGGCGCGAGTTTTTTTTTTCTGTAAGTAGGCTTTAAAAAAGCACTTTTACACGTCCCAGTATTATTATTAGTTGTATATAACGCACAGCAGCGCCGCGAGGTACTTGAGAGAGCCTGGAACGCAGGCCGCGACTTGTATTTAACGCCATCTAGCGGCCGCGGCTGGAACCAGCTCCTACCTGCAGGCCGCCCATGTTGATGAAGTCGATGGAGAACTTCTTGTGGCACAGCAGCGCCGCGAGGTACTTGAGAGAGCCTCGAACGCAGGCCGCGACTTGTATTTAACGCCATCTAGCGGCCGCGGCTGGAACCAGCTCCTACCTGCAGGCCGCCCATGTTGATGAAGTCGATGGAGAACTTCTTGTGGCACAGCAGCGCCGCGAGGTACTTGAGAGCTTCGAACGCGAGCCGCGAGTCGCGAGACTCACGCACGTTCAGATAGCCAAGGATCAGGCCGAGGGCGTTTTGTTCGAACACGTGCGATAAGAACTGTTGGGAAAAGCAGTTATTAGTGATTACGTGTAAGTAATACCTATAGCGTAGGTACACTATGCGCGAAATTGATCGAAACAGATGTAAACACGCATTTCAGTTAGTTTCGCGTTTCTGTTCGATCAATTTCCCGCATAGTGTACCTGCGCCTTTATAGTCTGCACTGGCATCGAACCTTGGGCGACGTGATGGAAGGAATATCGCCAGATACACAGGATATTATTTTTATCTCATGAAAGCGGTTAAGAAGACGCCGTAATAATGAGGGCTATCGTTTTAGCGCTCACCAGTTAGCGCCACTGTAGAGTAAGGTCCTGTCACTTGCTAGTAGCGAAGACAGTGACAGTGAGCGCTAAAGTGGTAGGAGGACTATCGCATTTGCACTCATCAAGATGGCGCTACTGTAGAGTAAGGTCCTGTCAATCGCCAGGGGTGCCAACTGTTAAGTATAAAAACGATAGCCCTCATTGGGTTATGGCTTTTTTGTTTGACACTACCAATCAATTGATATACTTTAAACTGTCAAAACGAGACTATCATGGAATTTGTAAGAAAGTACAAGCCGATGACGTCACTAATTTGCCAACTGTATGAGGGAAAAACCTCATTGAGTAAAACATCTTACAGTTGATTTAAAATTGTGTGTGTGTGGAAGTAGGGCAAGCTATATTTGGGACGCGTATACTATGTGCCCTAGAAGGGGCCTATGTACTGAATAAACTATTTGAATTTGAATTTAGCTTTCAAGACCACAATGAAGTGTGTTTGAATGTCCTATCATATTATGTAATGTAAAAAAGACCCACCTCTTGATATTCCCCCATGGGTGTTAAATAACGCAATATCAACATCTGTTTCGTCGCGTCCGTCGGAGGGTGGATTTGTATGTTACCTGGAACAGACGTATTTTTATATTATAAGCTCTCATTTAACCTTAAGACACTTCGCAAACAACCGAAAGACTCGGTCGAAACGTCAGGCAAATACAGGTAATATTTGTTACTTATCTGCGTTAAAAACTGTTTGAATAAATTAAATTATCCAATGAACGAAGCGAAAGTTTAAAAATAAGTATTAAAACGATAGCCGTCATTGGTAGTTCTCTACGTAACAAATGTGAACCGATCTTTTTAACTCAATACTCGACATGATGCCGACATTATGCCCCAGTGCTCGGGCGAGCAGGCTGCGTTCGATGACGTAGCCTCGGGCTACTCACCGATGACGTAGGTCTCCATCTCGACCCAGCTGGAGTTGAATGAGGTCTCATGCGGCAACGGCGACATATGGCCGGTTCCGACGTCATTAGGTAGATCGTCTAACAACTTCTTGCATAAAAACAAACTAGCAACATTTTGAAAATTCTCAGGCGAGCAGGCTGCGTTCGATGACGTAGCTTCGGGCCACTCACCGATGACGTAGGTCTCCATCTCGGCCCAGCTGGAGTTGGAGGAGGTCTCGTGCGGCAGCGGCGACATATGGCCCGATGTCTATGTCATTATTTAGATGATCTAACTTCTAAGCCACTTCTTGCTTAAACACTGGCAGCAAACTAGCAACATTTTTTTCTTGGGACTGGCAACACCACTCACCGATGACGTAGTTCTCCGTCTAGGCCTAGCTGGAGTTGGAGGAGGTCTCGTGCGGCAGCGGCGACATATGGCCGGTTCCGACGTCATTAGGTAGATCGTCTAACAACTTCTTGCATAAAAACAAACTAGCAACATTTTGAAAATCCTCGGGCGAGCAGGCTGCGTTCGACGACGTAGCCTCGGGCCACTCACCGATGACGTAGGTCTCCATCTCGGCCCAGCTGGAGTTGAATGAGGTCTTACGCGGCAGCGGCGATATATGACCCTATGTCTATGTCATTATTTAGTTAGATGGTCTAAGCCACTTCTTGCATAAAAACTGGCAGCAAACTAGCAACATTTTGAAATTTTTCTTGGGACTGGAAACACCACTCACCGATGACGTAGGTCTCCATCTCGGCCCAGCTGGAGTTTATTTTATTTTTTATTTATTTGGAAAACAAAACAGATTACATTCTTACATGGTTTAAACAATACTTAAATGTAGATATAGAATAAAATGTGACCCTAAATATGTTGGAGGAGGTCTCGTGCGGCAGCTCATCTCATGCCCCAGTGTTCCGGCGAGCAGGCTGCGTTCGATGACGTAACCTCAGGTAGGAGCTGGTCCGAGCCGCGGCCGCTAGATGGCGTTATATACAAGTCGCGCCGGAGCTCGCCTAATGTTAATATTTTTGGCATTGAAGTATAAATAAATAAATAAATAAATAAAAAAAACTATGTTACTCACCGATGACGTAGGTCTCCATCTCGGCCCAGCTGGAGTTGGAGGAGGTCTCGTGCGGCAGCGGCGCGGGCGGCGGCGGGCGCGGCGGCGGCGACATCATGCCCCAGTGCTCCGGCGAGCAGGCTGCGTTCGATGCTATGGAAGAACAAAAGGATGTTAAAATACAGTTTTGGTTCGTGAGGAATTGATAGACAAGGAGTGGACCATTCAATAATATAAAATATTCTTGAACATTTACACTGCGCCTCTAGTCCCAAACTAGACAAAGCTTGTGCTATGGGTACTAATATCATGCCCCAGTGCTCGGGCGAGCAGGCTGCGTTCGATGCTATGGAAGAACAAAGACATGTTGGTAAAATTTTGGTGCGTTCGATGCTGCGGAGAGACAATAACTATGTTATTGTAGTTTTGGTTCGTGAGGAAATGGAGAAAGGGGATGGGAGATGGGGGTGGGAGGTTTAACGCTACTGTCAGAGTGTGTTAATATCTCATTATTTCATGAAAAGAATGGGGATGATGCGGCGACGACATTATGCCCCAGTGCACGGGCGAGCAGGCTGCGTTCGATGCTAAGACAAGAAAATAAGTATGTTACTATACTATACAGTTTTGGTGAGGAATTTAGTGAAGGTAATGCAGATAAGAGGGGGGGAGGTAGAGCATTCAATAATATAATATTATGAGAGGAAGGGAGGTCCGGCGGCGACATCATGCCCCAGTGCTCCGGCGAGCAGGCTGCGTTCGATGCTGAGACAAGACAAAGTATGTTAAAATACTATACATATAAGATTTTAAACTTTCGCGTTCCATTTCAACTAAAATAGTAAGACACGGGTCTTAACGCGACGTTTATTAATGAGTTACATTATGTAACTCATTGGAATTGAGTAAAGGTGACAGGTAATGCAGATAATAGGGGGGGAGGTAGAGCATTCAATAATACAAATATTCTTGAACATTTACACTGCGCCTCTAGTCCCAAACTAGACAAAGCTTGTGCTATGGGTACTATTATCACATTATATCATGAGGGGAAGGGAGGCGCAGCGGCGGCGACATCATGTCCCAGTGTTCCGGCGAGCAGGCTGCGTTCGATGCTACGGAGAGACAATAACTATGTCATTGTAGTTTTGGTTCGTGAGGAAATTGAGAAAGGGGATGGGAGATGGGGGTGGGGGGTTTAACGCCACTATCAGAGAGTGTGTTAATATCACATTATTTTATGAGAGGAAGGGTGGTCCGGCGGCGGCGACATCATGCCCCAGTGTTCCGGCCAGCAGGCTGCGTTCGATGCTATGGAAGAACAATAGTATGTTAGTAAAATTTTGGTGCGTTCGATACTGCGGAGAGGCAATAACTATGTTATTGTAGTTTTGGTTCGTGAGGAAATGGAGAAAGGAGATGGGAGATGGGGGTGGGAGGTTTAACGCTACTGTCAGAGTGTGTTAATATCTCATTATTTCATGAAAAGAATGGGGATGAAGCGGCGACGACATTATGCCCCAGTGCACGGGCGATCAGGCTGCGTTCGATGCTATGGAAGAACAAAAGTAGGTATGTTAGTAAAAATTTGGTGAGGAAATGAAGAAAGGGGCCCCTCCCCTTTCTTCCTATAGGGGTGGGGGTCATATGACGCTACTGTTCAATAAAAATATTGTTAGAGAATCATGTGTAAATCAAATAAATAAATAAAATAAATAAATAAATAAAATAAATAAATAAATAAAATAAATAAATGTGAATAAGGAGGGCACGGCGGCGGCGACGTCATGCCCCAGTGCTCGGGCGAGCAGGCTGCGTTCGATGCTGAGACAAGACATAATAATATTTTTTTCTGTGACATAAAAAATTTCACGCGGACGATGCCGCGGATAGCTTTTTTTATCATAATTTAATTTTATCAAACTTACAATTGCTGAAGTTTTTTACGGGCGTCTCTGGGTCCCGCGGGTGCGGCGCGTCTTCCACCAACATGTCCCCTCCCCCTCCCTCGTCTTTGTCTCGGTCTGTGCAAACAAAATACAACTTAATTGTGTCATTAATAGAGCCTATGTTAGGTTTGTCTAAACACTAGTTTGTACTCTAAACAATTACAACCCGGTCGAGTTAACTGCGCACCAGACCATGACGTCACATCGACGCTCTAGTACGAAAGGGGCGAACGCGGGGAGATGAGAGAAACGCATTCCAGCGAGGTGCGCATTTAACTCCACTGTATCGTTTGCAATATCTACGTGCGTGATCAAAGGCAAAGTCAAAATTTCTATATTTGTGTAGACTATTTAATAGTGCTTACAACTCGTCAAATATTTAAAGAAAAAAAGAAAAATAAAACGGTGTGGAAATCCTTAGGAGTGTTGTGTCATTTAGCTCAAACACAGTGTTCGACCATAAATATTGCACATGGATCTTTGGAAAGAGACAATCGGCTCATTTTGGCTTCGTAAAGCGCCATCAGTGTCACCATGACGTTTTTTTTGACGTCTGTTCTACTGTCACGTTACAGTATAGTCAACCAAAAAGGGTAACTAATATAGATGACCCACGCTGAACTGTCCCACCAAACTCAATGACAGGGGGGCGCTACCATCGTTCAACTATATGGTTTCCAACACGGCAAAAATCGGAACCAGCGATCCGGTATTGACGGTGGCGCCATGCTGTCATGTCAGTTCAGTATATTGGAACTATAACCCAGTATTGATAGTAGTGCCCTTCTGTCAATGTCATATCTGGGACAACAATACCTCTCTTGTCGGGCGCGGGCCCGTTGCTTCGCCCGTTGTGGTCGTGGTTGCGTTTCTTGTCGAATCGCGCGAAGTGACGAGTTTGACTCGGCGGCGTGACGGAGTTCTGGCAAGGCTGCGGGAACGAGACAAAAACTTAACTATATTTCTAACGCGTAACTTAGTCAGTTCCTGAGTGTGGGAGCGGCACAGGAGGGTATTTGTGATGTCAAACGTCAGCGAGACTTCAAATATCATATTTAGCTAATATCTGAAGCATATTTGAAATATGATTCAGATATTCGCTGAAATTAGAATAGAATAGAATAGAATAGAATACCTTTATTCAGCATTAACATTTATATGCATACATGTAGGTACAGAGGTAAAATTACTGAGCCATGCTGAAAAGGCGCCCGCTCAGCGAAAATCGTGACATGACACAAGTCGTCAAGTCACGAAGCTGGTTTTCAGCGGGTACCAACATAGAGGTTACTAATCTACTCCAGTTATGCGCCCTTTTTTGTGTCTGAAATTGACATAATGATGTGGCAGAGCATATAATACCAACTGAGTTTCTTGCGCAGCTTCTTTCTTTCTCGAAGCAGTGGTAGGGTTAATACTGGGACGTGTAAAAGTGCTTTTGAAAAGCCTACTTGAAAAAAATAAAATGAATTTTTATTTCATACAAGTCTGAAGCAAATCTGAAGTCTCGCTGACGTTCGACGTCACAAAAGCATAGCAAACCCTCCCGTGCCGATTCCGTACCTGAAGGACAAACTAAGATATGCGCTAAATCTATACACATGTCGTAAAAAAATCTACGATATCGTGGCTCGATACTACACTCGTTACAAAAAGTTGCTTTATAGCTATTACTATAATTATTATTGCCAAAAATACATTGCTCACCTTATCATCCAGCGTTTTGTTTCTCAATTCGTGTAGCCTCTTTAGCATTCTCGGCACCAACATAGCGTTCAGATCCCTGTAAGAAAAACACATTTTAACACCGTGCAAAAATATTTCAGTCACCACGTTTCTGAAGCAGTATTTTTCATAAACATCCACGATTTCACTCACGTAAAACCTGAAAAAATTGTAGACTTCAAATTTTCAGCGTGCCAATAGGTGTTAACGAACTGCCAAATAGTTGCAATAAACGGTTCTGTTACGTCACATCTCGCATCTATTTTTATCACATAGTGTTGCTGTTTCATCTCGCTCGCTCAGTCCTTTGTCGCTCTATTCCGCTAGGTATATGTGACCATTTTCTCGACCAACACCTCAAGAGAAATGGTGGTGGCTGAAAACCAGCGCTGTCTAGGTCAGGTAGTCCTTGGCGGCACATGCTGAGCCACCTCTATTTGCTTTTTCTTTTAGCATATAAGTTATTTTAAGCTTATAATGTAATTCTGTTTCTTGTAATTCCTTTTATGTGTAAAAAGCACAATATTTGACTCAGAAATTTTGGACGATCGATTCGTGGTATACAGGGATCGCGAAACTAGCGGTTTTCATAGGCACAAATCGGGTGGTGGGGTACTCATTGCTGTGACCAAGCGTCTGCATTCCCGCCGGATGCATCGGTTCGAAAGCCAATGCGAGGATCTTTGGATAGAATTAACCATTTCTAAAAATAAAAAAACTGTCAGCATACTTTTAATCTGCAGTGTGTACCTTCCACCTCCAATTAATAAAAGTATATTAGACCACTTTTTAGATAACACTAACAGAGTCTTAGAATCAAGCTCGAATACATTAATCCTCGGGGACTTTAATCTCAGCTGCATAGATTGGACCGATGAAACTAAGCTGTCTGCTAATCAACTAAAACCCCCTTTGGAAATTGCCCCGCTTGATTTCTTGGCTCTGAATAATTTGAAGCAACACAACATGGTTATAAATGATAAGTGCAAGATTTTGGATTTGGTTCTCTCTAATCTTGGCCCTTTGAATGTTTTACGCTGTAGTTCATTGCTTACAAATATTGACCAGTATCACCCGCCTCTTGAGTTTGAAGTGTCTATTAGTAACTCTGCTACTATGTCTTCATGCACCATTTCGGAAAGACCAAACTTTTTTAAAGCGGACATTACCAAAATTAAGTCATATTTAAATTCAATTCCATGGGAGGGCAATCTGGCAGCTTGCAACTCTGTCGATGAAATGACAGATAAGTTTTACAGTATTTTGAAGGAAGCTATCTCTACGCACGTCCCCAAATGTAAGCCTGCCACGAAGAAGTTTCCCCCTTGGTACACTAAGGATCTGATTCGCCTCATACGCGAAAAATATAAACTCAGATTAAATTATCAAAAGTATAAAAACCCCTTAGATGAGCTAGCCTTTAAAACATTAAAAAAACGATGTTCACCAGGCGGTGGCTAGGGCGCGCTAGGGACGCCCTGTATACAAGACGGCTCACCGGAAGTTGGTCGCAATCTCTTGCACCTCCATGGCGGCCGCCAGTAGTCCGGTCGCGTAGCACTGCAGCGGCTCGTCTAGTTGGTGGCCCAGTTCACTAGGCGGTGGCTAGGGCGCGCTAGGGACGCCCTGTATACAAGACGGCTCACCGGAAGTTGGTCGCAATCTCTTGCACCTCCATGGCGGCCGCCAGTAGTCCGGTCGCGTAGCACTGCAGCGGCTCGGGCGAGTTGGTGGCCCAGTTGACCAGGCGGTGGCTAGGGCGCGCTAGGGACGCCCTGTATACAAGACGGCTCACCGGAAGTTGGTCGCAATCTCTTGCACCTCCATGGCGGCCGCCAGTAGTCCGGTCGCGTAGCACTGCAGCGGCTCGGGCGAGTTGGTGGCCCAGTTGACCAGGCGGTGGATGAGAGACTCGTTGTCCTGCAGAAATAAACTTTGTTATAGGTCTCTCTTAAATGACGCCGTATTGCGAGGAACATCACTCATCGTGATTCACAATGACACGGTAATACTATCTATACAGTATTCCAACTCGGCCATATTTTTCAAATAAATGTCAACAGTCGCGCGGTACGTCACAGTATGACAACATGCGATAGGGCTGCCCACCTACAGTACCCAGTTTAATTACATCTGCCTACTTAGAATTTCTATCTAGTTTTGTGATTGTATTTTTTTATTTAGTTAGACAAACAAAATACTTTGTGAATGGAATAGGTTAAATGTGTGTGTTGTTTTGTGATTAGTAGATTTAATTTATTTAAAACTACTTAAATAATTTTGAAACTTTAATAATCATAATGATCTGTGACGTTAATTTCGGGCGAGCGAAGTCTTGGGCAAAAGCTGGTTTTATACAATATAATTTTTATTTCAAATCAAACTGACTGAAAATGAAAATTTGACTAGTTTTTGACCAATTTGACCGTAAATGACTGTCAGTCAAATTCAATCAGTTTTGTTATTTTTAACACTTAGCTACCGACGTCCATTCGGCACATTCGCGACATCCCCGACTTTTGCATACCGAGCGCATACCGAGATTTGAATTTCGAAAGAAAATTCTCGTTTCGTCTGTTATATGAAGTTACAATACTGTATGATATTATTACCGTGACAATGATGACCACGACCATGATCTCATAAGGAACCTTTTCAGAGTTAACTAGACTCAAGATAATGTTGATTTAAGACCTTTATAGCTTAATTTACTAGCATAATGTAATATGATCACACTAGCAAACAGCTTTGTTAGTTTATTCAGTTTCCAGGTAAATTTGTTTTTTTTTTTACACGACCACTCTGACAAAATTGTACCGACTGAGAAGAATAGGTCTCTCTCCCGTGCCCCTCTCATAACCCAGGCACTGACTCAGTTAACACGTTCACAGTCTAATGACTCCAAAGGAGTCACGTGTGTGTCGAAATTATACGCTTATAACTCTAGCTGGCCGTCAGTTCTGCGCACTATGTGCCCTGCCCATTGCCACTTCAGCTTGCTAATCCGTCGAGCTATGTCAGCGACTTTAGTTCGTTTACGGATTTCCTCATTTCTGATTCGATCTCGCAAAGAAACACCAAGCATAGCCCTCTCCATAGCACGCGTAGGGAGTCATATTCCATTAATAAACTCTACGGTGTATATTTCACAGGACGTTTTAATATAACTGCGAACATTGTCACAGACGTATAGTTACATACCTTAGTTGGACGTACTAGTAATTTTCAAACATTTTGTTCTGGGACAGGGAACGTGTGTGACCGAAACGGAAGGGGTGATTTTGACATATTATGACGTGACAGCAGAGCATATGAATCTGAAGTCTCGCTGACGTTTGACGTTACAAAAACACTCTTCCATGCCGCTCCCATACCTCAGGCATTAACTGAGCTAAGCTCCCGACCAGTACATAGTTCGTTTCAGTCAAATGGCGTCCACTGCTGGACAAAGGCCTCCCCCAAGATTTCCACAACGAACGGTCTTACGCCGCCCGCATCCAGATAATTTCCGCAACCTTCACCATATCGTCGGTACATCCCGTCTAAAAACATCGTAAAGATTTTATCACGGCACGCATCCAAGCCTGACTGATCATCACTTTCCATCAGGTGAGATGTTGACCAAGAGCATCCTCGTCGTTGATAAAAAACCTGACCTTACCTGGAAGACGATCATCATATGGAAGAGTGAATACGCACTTACAGGGCAGACATGTACCATCTTAGATTGCATCTCACTTAACACCAGGTGCGATTGCGGTCAAACATCTTGTTAAGCATAAAAAAATAAAAAAAAATGTCTAGCTAGGGTATCTATTCTGCGTGATGCGTGAGGCGCCTGAGGCTATTATCACACTGCACCGCGCTCCGCCGCGGTACGCGGGACGACAGATTTAATCATTGTACACAAGTACCTTAGTTTGTATAGAAAACACGCGCGGCACAACACACTGACAACGAGTTTGCGCGCGGGATTCGTTATATGTCGCCACGTGGACCGCGGTGCAGTGTGATAACAACTGTCTACAGCATTTTTGCGCACGGGTTATGCATAGCTTATTTTTATTGCTTTGTAACCTAGAAATAATAATAACAACAAAAAAATGTTCTGAATTTGCTTTTATGTGTAAAAAATAGAAAAATTCATATCAATGAATGTATGAAACATGAACATAGAGATGATTCAATTTGTTGCCAAATATTTTTTTTTCTTTCTTTCTTTCATTCTTTCTATTTATTAAAACATACCAAACATCCATTTAAGATTCATTCTCACAAGAGAAAATTTAAAATAGTGTCCAAATATTTATTAAAAATGAAAAGTTCTAATTTCCTGTCATGTTCCATAGAAGATTTTTCTCATAAAAATCTAACCCTATCATGCTTTTAGTATACTGGCCTTGGTAACGTCGTTTCTCAAATCCCACTATATTTTGATGAAAGCGTGCCCCTTGTTCTTGCGAATAAGCCCCCATAATTATCTATAATTATATCCCAATTAGAATGGGACGTGCAAATTTAGAGACATTCTACTATGAAGATGGAAAATTCAAATCGTTATAACTTCTTAAAAAGCAAATATTTTCGATTTGTAATCGCACTTTTTTATATAAATTTGCTTATATAATCAGAATATAATAAGTAAAATCCATGCGCAAAAAAATATTTTTTTTTTGTCGACCGGTGTAATCGCCTGAGGACGTGACGTCACCTGGAACACGACGCTCATCTCGAGCCCGGGCATAAGATCGAGCGTGAGGCGGCAGGCAGCTATGTTCAGCTTGAGCACGTCACGCCCGGTTATGTTCTGACGCGAGTAGTAAGTGTCGCGAACGTAGTCGTTTACTAGCTGTGAACAAACATTTCAAATTAGGTAGGATACTATTTTTTAAAAGAATGTTTGTCATTTCTGTTGCACAAATGACCTTCCAAACGCCTCATTTTAAGGCTTATTCCCAAAGATCCGCGACTCTATTCTTCTTAATTTTTTAAACTGAACTGTCATTTTTTAAAAACGATAGAGCTGTTGCCTTTGGGAAAAAGCCTATTTTAGTCTTTAGCTTCTCGCATACATTCAAATTAATAAAAACAAATTATAGGACTATGTAAGCCCTTAAAATTTAAGATGTCTGCTAAAGACATTAATATTAAAATTGCTGTTGAATTATGTGATTACTTAAGCGAAATTAAATAATTCATGCGGATATAAATAATACAGTAGAAAATGTTGAGTTAACTGTCCAACACCGGATTTTCTGTAGTTTGTTAAAATGTCGGCTACCATATAACTAACTTTACATTAAAGGTAGCCTTTCGAACTAAGCGTCACAGACGCAGCATCTTAGCTTTGGTCTTAAAGGTAGTCTGTGACGCTTAGTTCGAAAGGCTACCTTAAAATCAAGTTACAACATTTTTACAGTTTAAATCACCTTAGTCATAAAGTTGTCCTTCTTGAACATGACCTTGAGCGCGTGCCCGAGCGCGCACTCGGGATCGGTCCGCGACGGGTGCCGCTCGTCGAACGGGTCCGGGTCTTTCTTCATGAAGTTCTCCGTCTCTGCTTCTATTATCTCCGCTATCCTGGAAAGTTAAAGAGAATATTGTAAAAACAAGCTTACATTTCATTTAATTATTGGGTTATCGACAAGTGACTAAAGTTGACGGCCGATGAGGCAAAAAGGTTCTGGAGTGTAGGCCGCGTACCGGAAAACGCATCGTGAGACGTCCACCCACAAGGTGGACCGAAGACATCATAATGGTAGCAGGAAAGCTCTGGACGCAAACCGCTACCAACTGGGTAACATGGAAAGCATTGGGGGAGGCCTATGTTCAGCAGTGGACTTCCTATGGCTGAGATGATGATGATGACTAAAGTTTGGATGTCTGGATGTTTGTTACTCTTTCACGCAGAACTACTGAACGGATTTTGATGAAACTTTATAGTATTATTGTTTACAACCCAGAACAACATATAGGCTATAATTTATGATGATCTGTGACAAACTAAATTTCAAGCGGGTGAAGCCGCTGGCAAAAGCTAGTACAGTATTTTTTAAATTTTTCCTGTGTTGATAATTTCTTCAATTAGTCGCCAGACTATAATCAGATTTGTTGAGTGTCTTTTTATTATAAAAGAGCGGCTGGCCTATGCCAAGCTTTCTCTTAAACTACATGGTTTCTTTTTAGCCTTTAGTACAGTACAGTAATAAACACAACAAAAAAATTATAAGAACACATTTATCGGTTTCAAGCTTTTATAAAAAAAAAATATTTTAAAAGACAAGTGATTCACAGACAAGTTGTAACATGTCTCAACATATTCATACCTACTTACGTAACATTACAATAGTTTGTTTACATAAAACAGTGTGGTGTTTGGGAACAATAAAATTAAATTTTAACAAGTGATTAACAATGTAATGGTTGAAGGAAAGGTTTGCCAGAGGTATGAAAGCAGATCAGAGACTTGTGGGCTGATAGAGTGATCAGGCTGTTAATCAGTTGGTAAAACATGTAGAAAAGTGCACTTTTTACACTAATTTAGTATCGACAGATTCCTCATACAAACTGGAAGCCAACCAAACTATTGGCTGGCTAGAAGTCTGTAGTCTGTAGGTGTCTTATCATCATCATCAGGTCATTTAGTCAATATGTAGTAAACAATTATTATCCAGTTGCTAGTGGGTAGACACAAATTTAATTTTGAAATTCTGTCTGTGATTCCAGCTTCAATGAACGTTTCTATGATTTTTTTATTCCAGGAAACTGAAATTTTAATGATTTTACCCACATTATTGCAAAATAATTTGCAACAACGTAAAACTGATAATCAAAATGGAACTTAACTTTCAAATTTTCATTAAACCACAGCAATATAACAATAGTCTAAATGCTATGCTATGGTATACATAAGCATAAGGTACTTCTGGGCTGCAAACCAGTTGAATTGGAATTTTATTCTTATTGAAATCTAACTAGGTAATACCAAATTGATGTACATCACATTAGAAACCTTTTCGTTAACTAGACTCAAGTTAAGGTTGATTTAAGACCTTTATAGCCTAACTTACTAGCTTAAAGTATCATGATCACACTAGCAAACAGCTTTGTTAGTATATTCAAAGTTCTCCAGGTATTTTTGTTTTTTTTTAGATATATTATCAATTTTATGTATTTGAACTAGTAGTTTATACCACGAAGCCTATAAATTGCAGTATTTTAAGTAGATTTTATGCCTCAATTGCCAGTAAGTATGGTTTTAAAGAAAAAATGTGCTTAACATTCCACCAAGTTGTAATACCTTGTTAAAGTCGGTATTGGGTCATAGTTTGCCGACTGATGCTGCTCCTCCCACTGCCTCAGGAGCTCCGTCACCTCTTGGGCTGGTGCTGAATCCATTTCTTCAAAATATAAACTTTATTCAAAATCGTATAACCTAAAACGTCACTCGCACCACAACACACGGTAATTATACTTCGGTCCCCAATCAGCAATTGGCTAACAATCTATATGCTTTTTTACAATGCATTGTATAAAATTAATTCCTATAGTACAACTAAATTCGTTATAATCAAGCGTATTGTCTTTTATACCGCGCACTCCATCATCAAAATTTTAATTTGGGGATACCATCATACCATGAATATTTTTAATTTTACCCACCGCCCAGTTGATTTCCGTATCATTGTGACGTCACTTATTATTTTATTGCACCACATGGTGAAAAATGTAAATAGTAATAAGTTTAGGATACGGATAATTATTAAAAAAAAAAACATTTTTACTAAACATTTAATGCCACACATATGTTTAACGCTACATTATTAAAATTACATTTCCATACTAAAAGTCTTCTTCTTCTTCTTTGTCGTGTTTTTTCGCCACAGGGCACACTGTTCCGCCAATATCACGTGTGCGCAGCTTTTACACGGTGCATAAGTATTTTGAGAAATGTTAATTTTCAAAAGAATCCCGCATCATCGAGGTTACCGTACCGGTGATCAGAAGGCCGGGTTCTACCTTGGCCAGCGTTTAAGCCTAGCGATCCAACGCGGAAACGCTGCCAGCCTTTTGGGCATCGCTAATCTCACCGACAGATCTGGGGATAGGGATACTTTTTTAATTTAACTTTTATTTTCCTTTTTTGTAAATATTGTATTTTATTATGTATACAGGGTGTTAGGTAAATGGGTATATGAGCCGACACTAGCCCATGTTAACATGGTCATATAAATGGTATGGTGAAGTCAGAAAATTGATATCATCATTTTAATTATTTTAATTTTCATACAAATCCGATTTTATAAAATTTATTTTGTAATAATTTGTATAAATGGTATATTTATATGAACATGTTAACATGGGCTAGTGTCGGCTCATATTATTATACCCATTTACCTAACACCCTGTATAGTATAGTTTTAAGTTTGTAAATTACCTGTACAAATTTAGTCTGTTGTTCTGAATAAAAAACCCCCTTCTAAGCAAAATACCTTAAACAAAAAGACATCACAAATAAGACAACATTTATACATAAAAATAATTCATAAAATAAACATGCTTATTACAAATTAATTTACTAATACTAAATTTTTATTTGATTTGATTGATAACTAACAAGAAAGACATGATAAATACAAGGAAACCTTTATAGTAAGGAAAAGCTAAGTGCTAAAATATTTTCTTAAAGATTTTTTCTTTTGCGCACGCAGAAGTCAAACACTGTGTTAAAAGCTCTCTGACTTGCTGACAAAGATCCGCAGTTCAATCAACCACCAAAAATAAGATCTAAATATTTTCCCCTATTTTGGGGAATTATATTTGACGTGAAGCCCTGTGACGAAACTTTTTTTATAACCTAAGATCAAATACCTCATGCCCAAACCAGAATTAGCATCTACAAAATTAAAAAAATAATATGTTTCGTTCGTAAATTTTGGCACGTTTATTTATATACCTTGATTTTTTAGAATCCAGCAGAGATGTAAACAAACACTTTCATACACAATTACACCATAATCACTTACGTGTTCATAATATCATACACATTATTTAACAAGCCCATGAAACCAACTTTATTTTCACGTTTATACAAGTAAGAAATCAATCTTTGAAACAAATTATTTTAGCAAAATACGTGGACGATGAGAATTTGTGAGACTTGTCAAATTGACTTGACGTTTAAAATCATGTGTTATCTCCATATTGTCTATGACTTGTCTCTGACACATCAGTGCCGTAACCTGTGAGTCATAGACAATAATCTGTAAATTTAATCGATATCAATTTAAGTATTCACTTATTCCGATTACTGATTAATTTTAAATAAAAAATATACGATACTTTGTTTAGTTTTCCAGCGATAACTTCGACAATATTGGAGATAACGTAAATTTATTTTTTTACTTTTAGTGTTTACTTTTTCGGAGTCAGTTTAATTTTTAGTCGGTTTTATTTAAACGAAATTATTTTACTTTTTTATGCAATTAATGCTTACGTATTGTTCCATTGTTTATTTTTAAGAAAATAAAAAACTTCTTTCAATGAGGGTTTTCGCGATTGAAAAATCCGCCAGATGGCAATACGTAGACGCAAGGTCCAAATGCTGCATGATTGACAGATATGTCAAAATCCACCAATCACGCAGCAAGCAACAGCAAGCAACAGAAGTTTAATAACTTTACGGATATCATTGATTGTTTTACTGTCCAGTGTGTTTTTTGATTACATCTGTGCATACAGTTTGTTTCCTGTTCTCGAAAATTTCATAATCAGTTCACATTCAATGTTGCGACTTTGTTGCATATTTTTAGTATTTTGACGATCACCCGGCGATGATACGCAAGTACTACAACATTTCACTTCGCGATTAACGAGAGGTTTTGTCGCATCACTAGTTCACAGACTAAATATATTTTTATGTCAGTTGGCCATATTTGATGACATTTCTGCTGATTTCTAAAAAATTAGACTGTACTTCAAGTTGAGTTATTTTTGAACGAAAATCTGTTCAAATACTAATTTTAAAATTATTTAAATGTTGCGCAGTCTTGCTTGCTTGCGGAATGTAGACGGTTAAACTGTTCAATTAAGATCAAGTTGAACCTCATGAACGATGGTTCATTTGTTTTTATCTAATTTTAATTATTTTAAAGCTTACTCTTTAACATTGTTTTAAAAAATGAAACTTAGTAGCGCGGAAGCGTGCTAAAGTATTCGAATGTAAATGTCAATTTATATGTCACCTTGACAGTGACAGTAGTGACACTTGATGCAAGCAAGAGCGCTAAAAATTTTTTCTGTAATATTTGTTTACACTTTGATCGCAAATTTGTTTAATACCGCTGGCAGAAATAATTAAAAATGTCCATGTCTAGAAGCAGCCTTGGCAGCCACGACAGAAAACTAAGATATCGAGCTCTGCTAGATGATTTATCTACTCTTGGTCCGTGTTATTTATTTGTAAACAGTTTGCATGCTATTTTTTAAACGATATCTTGTTTATCAATGATAAAAGTGATCTGAGAAATGTTGATGCAGTCCAGATCAGTGTATACTAAAATTATTCATACTTTTTGAAGTAGATCTGTAAGGATTTTAAATTGTTTTTCAGAGGATGAAAACGACAACAATGTGCAACGTATGGAGAAGACTGCTAATGCAGTCAAAGAAGTACAGTCCCTTCTGGCTGAGGGTGGAGTGGAAGAACGCGTGAAACACCCAGGTTAGTTAAAGTTGAATTTTTAACTAGTTTTAAGTTTGATTTGCACCTGAAAATTTTGGATCATAAATTATTTTTTCTCAGGATTAGATAGCTACACCTTAAAGCTAGATGTTTAGATAGTAATGCACTAATGCTTCAGTAAATTGGCACCATTGATTGATGCTCCTAATCAATAAAATACAAATTTTGAAAGAGAGGAAATGAAACTTTTAAACTAAACTTATTGGTTTTTCTTGCAATCTGGTTTTGTTCTTGTGTCCGGTCATAATATTTTAGTTCATAGTCTTCTGACTCATTACTAATAAAAAATAAAAATAGTTGGCCGAGTTAGGGAACATTTTTGCATTTGAGCCTTAGAATTAATCCTTTTTGTTTGATTCATACTTACACCAATTAAGTACATGCTAAATAAGCTCACAGCATTAAGCTTGATGCAATCACTACCTTTACATACCAGTTCATTGCAGTTTTCCTAAAGGTTCTTCTTTGCCTGGCCCATTTTATTTGGGGTCGGCCCTCTGCGTCTCCAGGCCGCTCGGTCGTGGATGGTCTCACTGTTTACTTGGGCTTCTTTAAGGTCCTTATTTACTACGGACATCCATGTAATTCGAAGTCTTCCTCGTCCGCAGTTTTCCTAAAGGTTATGTTCATCGTATTCCAGGGGAAGGCTACCTAGACTCCCGGGTGCTCCGTGCCACCAGCGACCTGGCGGTGCGCTGTTCGGAAGCCGTCAGCGGAAACGCCAACACTTACGACAAGCACGAGCTGGCTGCTCATATTGTAAGTGCCTGATATATTAAACACTAGTGCCGCCGCCCACGACTTCGTGCGCCTTTTTTTTTTAAAGATTATTAGTACTTTCCAACAAAGAATGCATGGGCAAAGAAATAGATAGACGAATAACAAACACATGGAAGAGATACTGGTCACTAGCAGAGGTAATGAAAAACGGGAACCTAAAGATGTTCCACAAAAGGAAAATATTTGATGCCTGTATGCTACCCTGCCTCACATATGCTTGCCAAACCTGGTCACTAACTAAGCAACAACTTAAAAAGTTAAAAGTATGCCAAAATAGTATGGAGAGAAGTGTATTGGGAGTGAAACTTAAACACAAGATAAACCTAAGCACAATAAAATCAAAAACCAAATTCAGAAGTGTTGTTGCAACAATTAGAAAGTTGAAATGGAAGTGGACGGGACACCTAATGAGGGAAAAGAAAGAGAAATGGACAAGAGCCGTAACGGAATGGTATCCCCGTGAAGGACAAAGAAGCAGAGGCAGACAAGCGAAAAGATGGGAGGACGATATCCGCGAATTAGCAGGGCCATTATGGCCACAAATGGCTAGAAACAGAGAAGCATGGAGATCATTGGAGGCCTATGTCCAAGGACAAACTGGAGATGAGTGCAACTTAATTGTAAAATGAAATGTTAATGTTGTAAAAATACCTTGTAATCCAGTAATAAAGGCTTATATTATTATTATTAGTAATTTGCTCTTGCGCAAATTACTAGCCCCTCGTGCTAAGCTAAATATGCTTGTGTCACTAAGTGAAGCAGCAAATCGAATGCACAGCGTTGAATAGAGCTCTGTGATTGATTCATATGTCACCCTGTGCGTCCACGCACACTGTGAGACCTCATACTAATGTTTGTGATTACAGGCGATAGTAACAGCACTTGGATGGAAACAACTGTGCTCTTTCGTCACTCATAGCATTGTCATGGTAATGATTTCATCCAAAATCCCGTAGTACCTTCTTCCCTTCTTATTTGAGGGTCGGGTGGGCAGTGCCCACCTCGGAATGGACTAGTCAAAATCAAAAATCAAAATCAAAATTATTTATTCAGTTTAGACCACAAGTGGCACTTATGAACGTCAATAGAAAATAATAAAAAAAAGAAAAGGTAGCCCTTATGGGGCACTTTACATGTCTCCTTATCTTTTGGGCCCTACCAGCGCTTCGAGACAAACATATGGCAAGTGCTGAGAAGAAACGCCGGATCAAACTCAGTCACCACTTATTGCCAGGAATTATCTAACGGTAAGAATAGTCAAATTTAAGTACATCAAATATGTGCAGACTGAACTGACCACGCATCCTTGTCATCAATATAGTCTCGAACCTTGTAGTACCCTTTGGACATAAGGGTATTTTTTATATGTATCTTAAATTTGTTAGTGGCCAAAAAACAAGATTTAATCCCTTTTTGTGCCTTTGGTGCCTTTAAAGGGTAAAAAATTTTGTAAGTGTGCGACACGCCGGCCACGATTATCTTTCTTTTAAAATGTAAATCTACTTTATTCCTAATTCCAGCGTGAAAACCCAGACTTCTGGGACTTCGCGTTTCCGCGTGAGGCGCCGCCCCTAGCCTTTCTCTTCGGGACGTTCGCCCCCACGCCGCCCGAACAGAGGCCTAGGGCGCCGCGGCGTCGCGTGGAGAAACAACAGGCCGCTGCGTTGAAGGCACCAGAAAACGTTGAAAAGTAAGTGATATAGGATGAAAAGTAAGTTGCTCGCAAAATTTTGTGGGTAGATTAAGACAACATTAAGCTATAGGATACACGATTAAACTAATCATTTCAGCCACAGGACGTCCACTGCTGAACATAGGCCTCCCCTAATGATTTCCATAATGACCGGTTGCTAGCGGCCTGCATCCAGCGCCTTCTAGCTTTATGAGGTCATAGGTTCACCTTATGAGTGGACGTCCAACGCTACGCTTTCTGCTACGTGGCCTCCACTTCTGAACCTTGCTGCCCCATCGGCCGTCAGTATCAAAATTTTATATTAAAACATGTTAACAACATTTTCAGACTGGAAAAAACCGAAGAAGGCTCAGAAATGGTTAGCCGCGTGAACCGGTTCATCATCAAGAGCTACCGGGCCGGCGGCTCGAAGCCTCTGAGCTACTTCCACCTGGTGCTGGACCCGGCCAGCTTCAGCCGGACCGTGGAGAACGTCTACCACCTGTCCTTCCTGGCGCGCGACGGGATGCTGGCTTTGGAGAAAGGTAAGTGACGCGACGCTACAATCTAGTGACAGTCGACACCAAGAGATGGCGCTGGCTCCTACTTAGTACGGCGCGCTACCCCGCACCTACAATCCTGCATCGCGGTGACGAAGTTTTTTATCCTGCCAAGTATATATAGGAAGACCGAGATGGTAGTAATTGGACCTTGGGCACAGCATCCGCTTGGAAGGAAGCACTAACACTTTAGCTTCCTTATTGTAGTTGAACATCATATTCCACAGACGCATGTAACTAAGTTACATGAAGCGATGGAGTGGCTCGCCCGTATTCACAAACGATGTTTGCTTAAGTGAAGCAGCAAATCGGAACGCACAGCGTTGAATAGAGCTCTGTGATTGGTTCGTTTGTGACCCTGTGCGGTCCACGCGCACTGTGAGACCTCATAGTGATGTTTGTGAATACGGGCGAAGTCTTACCGACATTCACGCCACGCTGTCGTCCAAAAGGGACAATACATATTAATAAGTAAATTTCATTGATAAATAAAAAAAGACCCAAAAAAGACTAAAGGAAAGCTCGGCCTTTGGAACCGGTTCATCATCAAGAGCTACCGGGCCGGCGGCTCGAAGCCTCTGAGCTACTTCCACCTGGTGCTGGACCCGGCCAGCTTCAGCCGGACCGTGGAGAACGTCTACCACCTGTCCTTCCTGGCGCGCGACGGGATGCTGGCTTTGGAGAAAGGTGAGGCTGATCTTGACCAACAGATGGCGCTGTTCCCTACTCAGTACGGCGCGCTGCCCCGCGCCTACAATCCTGCATCGCGGTGACGAAGTTTTTTACCCTGCCGAGTATATATAGGAAGACCGAGATGGTAGTAATTGGACCTTGGGCACAGCATCCGCTTGGAAGGAAGCATAACACTTCAGCTTCCTTAATGTGGTTGAACATAATATTCCACGGACGCATGTAACTACAGTTACATGAAGCGATGGAGTTGCTCGCCCGTATTCACAAACGATACTTGCGTAAGTGAAGCAGAAAATCGAACGCACAGCGTTGAATAGAGCTCTGTGATTGGTTTGTGTGTGACCCTGTGCGTCCACGCGCACTGTGAGACCTCATAGTGATGTTTGTGAATACGGGCGAAGTCTCTTACCGACATTCACGCCACGCTGTCGTCTAAAAGGGACAATACATATCAATAAGTAAATTTCATGGATAATAAAAAAAGACTAAAGAAAGCTCGGCCTTTGGAACCGGTTCATCATCAAGAGCTACCGGGCCGGCGGCTCGAAGCCTCTGAGCTACTTCCACCTGGTGCTGGACCCGGCCAGCTTCAGCCGGACCGTGGAGAACGTCTACCACCTGTCCTTCCTGGCGCGCGACGGGATGCTGGCTTTGGAGAAAGGTAAGTGACGCGACGCTACAATCTAGTGACAGTCGACACCAAGAGATGGCGCTGGCTCCTACTTAGTACGGCGCGCTACCCCGCACCTACAATCCTGCATCGCGGTGACGAAGTTTTTTACCCTGCCAAGTATATATAGGAAGACCGAGATGGTAATAAGTGGACCTTGGGCACAGCATCCGCTTGGAAGGAAGCACTAACACTTAGCGTCCTTTTACATGAAGCGATGGAGTGGCTCGCCCGTATTCACAAACGATACTTGCTTAAGTGAAGCAGCAAATCGGAACGCACAGCGTTGAATAGAGCTCTGTGATTGGTTCGTGTGTGACCCTGTGCGTCCACGCGTACTGTGAGACCTCATAGTGATGTTTCTGAATACAGGCGGTTTGTTTGTCTCTTACGACATCCACCCTGTCGTCCAAAAGCGACAAATACCTACATAAGTAAAATTTCATGGATAATAAAAAAAGACCAAAATGACTGTAGATGGTTCAGAAATGTTCAGACTTGGGAACCGGTTCATCATCAAGAGCTACCGGGCCGGCGGCTCGAAGCCTCTGAGCTACTTCCACCTGGTGCTGGACCCGGCCAGCTTCAGCCGGACCGTGGAGAACGTCTACCACCTGTCCTTCCTGGCGCGCGACGGGATGCTGGCTTTGGAGAAAGGTAAGTGACGCGACGCTACAATCTAGTGACAGTCGACACCAAGAGATGGCGCTGGCTCCTACTTAGTACGGCGCGCTACCCCGCACCTACAATCCTGCATCGCGGTGACGAAGTTTTTTATCCTGCCAAGTATATATAGGAAGACTGAGATGGTGTAAATTGGACCTTGGGCACAGCATCCGCTTGGAAGGAAGCAGTAACAACTCCATGGCTTCCTTATTGTGGTGGAACGTCATATTCCACAGATGCATGGTAACTACAGTTACATGAAGCGATGGGAGTGGCTTTCTCCCGTATTCACAAACGATGTTTGCTGAAGTGTAGCAGCAAATCAACGCACAGCTTTGAATAGAGCTCTGTGACATATTCGTGTGTGACCCTGTGCGGTCCACGCCCACTGTGAGACCTCATAGTGATGTTTGTGAATACGGGCGAAGTCTTACCGATATTCACGCCACGCTGTCGTCCAAAAGAGGACAATACATATTAATAAGTAAATTTCATGGATAATAAAAAAAGACCCAAAAAAAGACTTAAGAAAGCTCGGCCTTTGGAACCGGTTCATCATCAAGAGCTACCGGGCCGGCGGCTCGAAGCCTCTGAGCTACTTCCACCTGGTGCTGGACCCGGCCAGCTTCAGCCGGACCGTGGAGAACGTCTACCACCTGTCCTTCCTGGCGCGCGACGGGATGCTGGCTTTGGAGAAAGGTGAGGCTGATCTTGACCAACAGATGGCGCTGTTCCCTACTTAGTACGGCGCGCTGCCCCGCGCCAACAATCCTGCATCGCGGTGACGAAGTTTTTTACCCTGCAAAGTATAGCACTACTATGCCAGCTTTTCCGTCTTGGGTCACACCACGCGCGAGGAATGGATGTCACAATCCACATGGCTGATCAACGACCGCAGAGAGCTGCACCTAAAGTTAAACAAGTAAACGTATACCACCTGTCCTTCCTGGTACGGGACAGAATGCTAGCTTTAGAGAAAGGTGAGTCATCGTCAGCATTTCAGCCATAGGACGACCGTCAGACAGATAATTAGAAAATATTAGACTCGTATTTTTTATTTTCTTTCATAATTAAATAATAACAGTGCTACATCGAGTTTATATGGCACGTTACGTCACTTTTTTTACTCAAAAGTGACGTCACGCGACATTTCAACTCAATATAATACTGTAATTATTCGATTTATGAAAGAAATTAAAAAATACGAGTCTAATATTTTATTAATAACTGTCTGACGGACTAAATAGAATATCGATATCATTACCTAGTCATCATCATCATCCCAAATCCTTATTGAGAAAACATAAGGTTCAAAACCAATGAACAATATTTTTCTCTATACCAGTTAAAGGGTTAAGCTTGTTACAGTTTATCAACAAATGTTGTCTAATGAATATATGGCTTTAGTTTAGCTTCGCACAATCAGCATTTTTTACTGTTTAACTATAACAAACGTCGAAAATCGGTCAAAATCCATACAAAAACACCGGTTATCGTAACAGTTACGGTTAAAGTAATATTTTTGTTTGCAGACGACGAGTGGGGGCTGCCATTCGTGACTCCAGTGGCGGAGGCCGCGCAGCAACAGACCGATATTTCAGAAGAGAACCAGTTCATCGTCTCCATAGACATGCAGAGGTGGCAGGTGAGCGGAACTGGCACTTTTGTAGTTGTAATAGAGGTTATTTTGCAATAAAAAAATTGATGCGATGTTTTGTTGACAGAACAACGTATGCAACGTTGCCCGCATCCAAGTTGTTGGTCGGACGTTGTAGATATCCTTGGGGGGAGGCTTTTGCTCAGCAGTGGACGTCATTTGACTGAAACGAACGAATTGTTGTAGATAGTCCATGCGAGGCTTGTTTAGTACATGTACGTACTTACTATGTAACTATTAGGAAGCAATTCCTGTAGGTGAACGAGAACGAACTGTTTCGTCTGAGTCATTCAAATCGGTCTTTTGGTTCAGACGAGACGACTTTTGGTAAGTTTGAGACGTGAGATTAGTGATATGCGTGCGTGAGCAAGACGGATGCGGCTCTGTGACAGTGTCGCGAGTATTTTGCGATATGTAGGCACAATGGGCCTTATTAATAAATGTTACACCCTAGTTGAACTCTGACTTAAGTTGTCATTTAGTATGGAAATGTCATTTTAATCCAGAGTTCATCCTAGGTGTAACTTTTTTATTAATAAGGGGGTATGAGTACTAAAAAAATTAAAACAAAGTCTTTTTCAAATGAATAATATTTTTTTTTTGTTTTAGGAACTAATAGAAGCGTTTGACATAAAGAAACCAATGATGGTGCTGAAACGAAAGTAGCTGAATCGCTACTCCTTAATTATTATGTGTAGCATTAAGTTTGTTAATTCGTCTGTATTGTAAATAATTATCGATTAAAGTGATTTTTGTACCACCGAAGTATGACTTTCAATTTCACACTAGCTGACCCGCACCCGGCGAACTTCGTACCGCCTATATTCATCAGAACTAATGTAGGATTATAAAAATGTTTTATTTTTCAAATCGGTCTAGTATTTTCGGAGTCTATTCCCTCCAAACAAACTATCAAATCTTTCCTCTTAATAATGGCGCAAGTACACTATGCGACACGTAATAGTGTGAACACTATCTCTGTTACTTTCGCGTGCGTCGCCCATACTTCGGTGTGCGGGCTAGCGCTTCTACTTGGACAATTTTCCGCATAGTGTACTTGCGCCATAATAAATCTCCTTTCCTAGTAGGTTAGTAGTAGTTTCGCACGATTTTCCTTCGCACGAATGTGCGAAACGTCCCCTTTCAATAATATTTTCTTTTTAGTAGGCGTTTCGCCCGGATGTATCAACAGTATTAAAAACGGGTGGGAATCGACCCCTTTGAGAACTAATAATCACATACTACTAGTTCAAAAAAGAGTCGATTCGCACGCGATTTTAATACTTTTAATACATCCGGGCGAAACGCCTACTAAAAAAAAATTATTGAAAGGGGACGTTTCGAACATTCGTGCGAAGGAAAAACGTGCGAAACTACTACTAACCCTTCCTAGTCGAGGCTGGCGTTTCTCAACGTGTGTCATCGTTGTTACCTTGGTGGTAAAAATATATCCCATCAAAAACAATACTTGTCAAAAAAAACAAGTCTCGCAACTCAGTTGTTCTACGGTAAAAAGTTGTGAGATCCATGTAATACCAAGTCCAGGCCAGGAAATCTTTAACGTTTTACATAAATATATTGACTTGGCCATCGCATGAAAACACGTGTAAATTAAATTATTTAGTGCGATGGCCAAGTCAATAATTTATGTAAAACGTTAAAGATTTCCTGGCCTGGACTTGGTATTACATGGATCTCACAACTTTTTACCGTAGAACAACTGAGTTGCGAGACTTGGTTTTTTTGACAAGTATTGTTTTTGATGGGATCTCATTTATTTTTGTATTTTGTAGACAGCAGTTATGTATCTAGAAAACTGGACCGAAATTGAAAAATTTTACTCGACTTGGCGGTTGCACTACCGTGCCCCCAGATCTCATTTCTTTTTGTATTTTGTAGACAGCAGTTATGTATCTAGAAAACTGGACCGAAATTGAAAAATTTTACTCGACTTGGCGGTTGCACTACCGTGCCCCCAAATATTCTAGTTTTTCCTTGATTCATACACCAAACACTACTTATATTCCAAATTTGAAGCTTCTAGGTCTGCTAGAAGTGCCTTAGAATTTTGATGATCGGTGAGTCAGTCAGTGAGTCAGTGAGTGACAAAATTAAGTAACTTTGACCCGTTATAATTCTTAAACTGCTGGTTCAAATTGAATGAAATTTTAAATATACCGTGTCTTTACAATGCCTGCATAGCTAATGAAAATTCAGCCTTCTAGTTTTATCCACAACGAAGTTACAGGCAGTCGAAATGGCCTGAATTGCTTCGAGAAAAGGATGGTACGGCCGTGCCGCTTTTTTGCTCGACTTGGTGGGGGCACTGCCGTGCCCCCAGATAAATATAAAGATGATTGTTAATAATCACATAAAATGTAACTAAGATCAACTTTTGGACTTAGACATATTTTTCATTTTTAGTGTAATAAAGATAAAACACGATCTGATTGCTCAAAATATATTTCACATAACATAACTTCGATAGACCATAGACTCCGTCAACAACGCCATAATCTCTTACATTACTTGTTACAATTAGAGATGGGTAGTGGGTAAAAACCCATTTCACCCGATTGGGTTAAAACTGGGTGATTTGGGTAAAAACCCGGTTTTTACCCATTATCACCCATTCTGGTGGGTCAAAACAAAAATAGCGTTTTTTAAAGTGAGAAGTGGTATGTGTTGCTAAGGGGGCGTTCTAGTGTTACGTAATGCAATCTGGGGGAGAGGAGGTCTTGAAAAACGTTACAATGCGTTACAGTGGCGGAAGGGCGCGGTTCGATTTCAAGTTTTTTTAAAGCAGAAGTACTTTGTAGTTGGTGTTGTTATTTGTAACTTTATACCGTAATGTCATCAAAGAGAGAGTTTGGCATCTTTGGCATTCCCCCCCTCCATGTCCTTGCCATGATCACAAATTATGGTGTTCCTACTAAATTTATTCTAAATCGGTTCAACGATTCTTGTAATAACACCATTCTATAAAATAATTGGTCACATCATCATAACGTGATCAATTTTACGATTTGGCCACGATATAAATGCATATTAGTGTTTAATTTAACTTATTACTTATTAATCAATAAACTTAAATGAGAAAAATTCAATAAAAATAAAGAAAAGATACCAATTGAAATAATTATAAAATTATTTGTTTTCACCCGGTGTAAACACCCACGGGTGGAATGAAACGTGTTTTTACCCTCATGTGGGTTTTTACCCGGGTGGAAACCCATCTCTAGTTACAATACACCATTTATATACAGATCGTTTCATCCACTAAGATGCGCCCCACCATTCTCAGCTAACGTTTGAGTGTTATCGGTACACGTTAAATGATCCATGAGTGCACACGCACACTACAATAATGCCGCTCGGATCAAACTCCCCGCACCCCGCGCGACTGAGACCGAAAATTGGTGGGGCGCGTCTTCGTGGATGAAACGAACTATACAGTCAGCGTCAAATTTCGTGACACCTAAGGAAGGCAAAAAGTTCAAAACACGTCTTTGTTACAATTGGAATAAGGTTGTGTTGCCAACTTTTTGGCCACTTTGGGCGTCACGAACTATTTGACGCTGACTGCTGACTGTACCGTGAACACGCATTTACCTACAATAGTTTGAAATATTGACGCCATTATAATACTTAAAAGTAAAGCAATAGTAACTAAAATCGGCTGACACAGGAGCCTCATCGATTTAGCATGCCTCTGCAGGGCTCCTACCTAAGTAGGTATACGAAGTTTCGAATGTTTCCGTCTCTTTCACGCCAAACGCGAGTGACAGTGACAGATCGACCCGAAACTACGAAAATGGCGCTGAGTAGTCCTCTGCTTCGCTTTAATGAATAATGGGAGATAAAGGCTTAAAAACATTAAAATAGAATCATAAGAGATCAAAATTCATAATACCGATATTAATCGTACGGTATGTATTTTAAAAATGTAATAGTTTGTAATAATCTAGTATAGTTCGCTCAACGAAAGTTGAGGTCATCATAACAAGTAAATATTTATATCAGTATACACTATCTGGGCTGATGTCTCGCTTGCAGATTAATAAAGATCAGGGTAGCGGAAATGTATTCTTTAAACAATAAAATAAAATACAATAAAAAAATATAGTTGAATTCGAATGTGTTGTTTGTGTTCTGTATTTCAATATTAAGTTTCAACCACACCAACGCGTGCAGATCGCCATCGCCGGCGCGATCATAGGCCAATGACAGGTCGCACGACCCATTGGTGTGGTTGAAGCATTACAAGTAACGTGTTTGCCTCAACTTTCTTTGAGCGACCTATAAGATTCTGTCACTCGCTATTGGCGCCAAGTGGTGATCACTGAACGAACAGTAGGGATATCGTATTTTCATTTATAAAATCTTGATCACACGTATCGAGTAAACTGGCGAGACAGTAAAATGTTTACTTGGTCGAGACAGTTGGGTGAGCGAGTCACATACTCGAGCGCTCGACCGAGCAATCGGTGTAATGTTCATACACACCGAGTACTCGGCCGAGAGCACTGTCTCGCCCGTTTTCTCGGTACGTGTGATCAAGGCATAAGTTGGCGTCATTCTCTGGTACACACTAGTGACGTAAACGGATGAGCGCTAATATGAAACTAGCTCATATTAACTAAAGGAAGACAAATGTTCATATTTTAATTCTATTTCGCCACTTTTGAATGTCATAAAATTAAAATTACTTGTAATGTATGTAAATGCGTGCACACGGCTAATATTAATACTAAGAAATAAGGATAAATACATGATTTTGATCGAAGTAGATATCATATTGTAGGGACGAACAAATACGTACTGGACGAAAATAATACTCAATAAATACATAGACTGCCAAGAAATCTACTGTAAAACAATATACACAGGATTGAATTTTGCATGACAAATGCATTTTTAAATCTAACGCTTATGTGAGTTAGTGCCTGAGGTACGGGAGGGGTGACATTGACATATTATGACGTCACAGAGCATACAAATCTGAAGCACATTTAATTTTGTAGTCTCTATGATGTTTGACGCAGGGATGTTAAGGATATGAAGTTTCGATTATGTATACGGTTACGGATATTAGAATAGTATTATACCGGTTTCGGTTACAGTTATGGATATGAAATCATTTCGGATTATCTGAAAGTTTCGGATAATTTCGGTTACGGATATTAGAATTTTAAAAATTCAAATAGCAAGATGCTGCGCGACCCACGTAGCCACTTTATGTACTACTAGCTTTCCGCCCGCGGCTTCGCCCGCGTGGAATTTTGTCTGTCACAGAAAAACTTTATCGCGCGCGTCCCTGTTTCAAAAACCGGGATAAAAACTATCCTATGTTCTTTCCCGGGACTCAAACTATCTCTATGCCAAATTTCATCAAAATCGGTTGCGAGGTTTAAGCGGGAAAGCGTAACAGACAGACAGACAGACAGACAGACAGAGTTACTTTCGCATTTATAATATTAGTTGGGATGTCGAAACCTATAATAAAGGTAAAACAGGCGGGGATATTAGATGGGGCCAGGGAATGCCAGACAAGTAACAAATATATAAAAAAAAAGATTTAGACTCGGGCCTTTATCCGAAACTTTTGAATCGGTTTCGGTTACGGATATTTTTTTATTTCGGATATCCGATAGTTACGGTTACGGATATCCATAACATCCCTGGTTTGACGTCTCAAAAACACCCTTCCGTGCCGCTCCCATACCGCAGGCACTGACTCAATGAGGGCTATCGTTTTAGCGCTCACCAGTTGGCGCCACTGTAGAGTGAGGTCCTGTCACTTGCTAGTAGCGAAGACAGTGGCACCAACTGGTGAGCGCTAAAGTGGTAGGAGGACTATCGCATTTGCACTCATCAAGATGGCGCCACTGTAGAGTAAGGTCCTGTCACTTGCTAGTAGCGAAGACAGTGGCGCCAGCTGGTGAGCGCTAAAGTGGTAGGAGGACTATCGCATTTGCACTCATCAAGATGGCGCCACTGTAGAGTAAGGTCCTGTCACTTGCTAGTAGCGAAGACAGTGGCGCCAGCTGGTGAGCGCTAAAGTGGTAGGAAGACTATCGCATTTGCACTCAAGATGGCGCCACTGTAGAGTAAGGTCCTGTCAAACGCCAGGGGTGCCAACTGTTAAGTATAAAAACGATAGCCCTCATTAGGCGATAGGCCTATAGCGCGTTCACTTCTTCTGATTATTACGTCATACATTAAAAGGGGAAATAACACCGAAAATATAAAAAATACTGACTATAACATCATTATTTAGGAAAAATAACTTGAGAACATAAACCACAGCACCAACATTATCATTTTAAGCTTAAGCGCAGACCACCGATCTTTAGTTGGCCGACAGTTAGACCCGATTTTAGTTTGTATGAAGAATCGGCCGATACTAAATCGGTGTAGTGTGCGTACTTTCATACATGTCCATACTGATTAACAGCCCGACTAAACTATCGGCCAACTAAAAGCCGGTAGTCTGCGCCTAGGCTAAAAGTGGGGATTTCTTAAGGCGAGTATAGACGAGCATTTATTTGTAACATAACAACGAGCTGCTCTATAAAATGTCTAAAGACCTTGTCACTAATTACCTACATTTTACCTGTATTCCATTCGCAAGAATGTTACATTACAATGAAATGCTCTAGTCTACAGGGTGTTGATATCAATCCTCGCCATATTTAGGGAGTTGATTAAGTAGCTTAGGGGCCATCCATAAAGTACGTCACACGAATTTCATGATTTTTTGACCCCCCCTCCGTCCTTGTCACAGGTGGTCACATTTCTGAGACCCCCCCCCCGTCCCTAGTGTGACGTCACATGTTTTGCAATTTCACATCGAATAATTATTAAATTAACAGCAGTTCCGAAATTAGTTTTATTTCCATTTAAATTAAGTACTTTTTTTATGAAATCAGCATTATATCAAATATTTGAAACAATTGAAATGTGATGTCACGNCAATTTCACATCGAATAATTATTAAATTAACAGCAGTTCCGAAATTAGTTTTATTTCCATTTAAATTAAGTACTTTTTTTATGAAATCAGCATTATATCAAATATTTGAAACAATTGAAATGTGATGTCACGAAACTTAGGACCCCTCCCACCCCTTGTCACACCATGTCACACTTTGTCAACCCCCTCCCCCCCCTCTTTACGTGTGACGTACTTTATGGATGACCCCTTATTCTGATCACGAATCAGTAAAAAAAAATTACTTTGAAGAAAATTTAAAACGAATTTTAACTTTAGTTAGTCAAAGAAAAATACCGTTTACACTACCTACTTTACGTGACTTCCTTCAGTAAGTTATACGACATGATAAGCGAGCGATCCGCGTAGCTCGATGGGTGCCGCAGTGTAAGCTATTGCAGTATTGCGAGCCACAGTACAGTGGATTTCGCACGAAAAATATTCGCTTAAAATTCCACTTTCGTTTGTAATTTTTTTTGGTGGATAATACGTTTATATTAGTCATAATAGATCACCTAAATAAATATGGCGAGGATTGAAATCAACACCCTGTATACTCACCTTTATAAAATATCTTAGAATAGAATAGAATAGAATGTATTTATTGCTTTTTCTGTGTACAGTTTGCAGTTGTTAAGGCATAAAATTCGTTACAACAGATTGCTCATATTGAGCATGCAATATTAAATTGTACAGACGATGCCACATCGAGACAAAAACTTATTTCGACGTAGTACTGGTGACTTTGCAACAAACACGTCTTCAATAGTTTATGACACATATTTGCACTCTAGGTTAGTTTATTCAGTTCATAGGCACCTCAGAATCTAAGGATCAACCCGGAAACGGATCGTCGTAACCGTATCAAATCGAGGAGGTCAGTATTGTTTGTATGGAACTCCATACTGCAACGCATACTTACAACACTTATCTGCACCGTAACGTAAACGCCTCGCCTGGCAATCCTTTTCCGGGGTGATATTCCAGTTTTAAGGGCAGTGTCACAAAAACAAAGAAATAGGCGGCAAAAAAAAAATACGTCCTTCACTTTACATAAAAAAGAAAATCTATTTACAATAATATTAATTATAATCAAGTACATGTGACCTTCAAATGCTGCTATAAATAAAAAAATAAATATACATTTGGAATTTCATAATTTTACGCATTAGTTGAACAGAAAAATATTCATAATAATATTTTACATTTATTTAACTTTTATTTGTATTATAATTGGATTTTATTTATTTTTAAGTGATATTTTATTTAGTATACTTATTTTTCTGTATAACCAACAGTCAAATACTTATGATAATTTAAACATTTAAAATAATTTAAATTTGGGAATGTCAATTTCGTCCTAATCTCCATTGTCAAGTCAGATCGATCGATATTTGATTTTTTATCGAATTATTATTGTATAGTCAGCTTTAAAAGATTTTTTGTTAGAAATCTAATGTTTGAAATTGAAAAATATTTTAATTCCGCGATTCAAACATAAAAACTATTACACTTGACATGTACTTGTCAAAATGTATAGTTGTCCGACACGAAACCGTCCCAGAGAACTGGCCATACCGAGTGATTTATTCTCCATTGGCCCACACAAGTCTGTATGAACCTCTGGAGAATAAATCACTCGGTATGGCCAGTTCTTATCCCATTTTTTCCGTTGCTCTTTAGGAATGTGAACCATGACTGGGCTACCATACACTCTTACATGGCTTAGATCTGGTTTACTGCCCGCCCACATCTCATATGGAGTAACACCTCGTTCAAGACATTGACAGGAGGGCGCTACTATCAACTGGGTTGTTAGTTCCGATTTTTGCCACGTTGGAAAACACTGAAATGTCAATTGCAGGAGGGCGCTGCCATCAATGCCGGGTTACTATTTCCGATCTTTGCCATTTGACGGTTCAAAATCGTTAAACTTTAATAATCCAATATTGATAGTAGCGCCCTCTTGACAATGTCATAGCTGAGACATCTGTATAACCACAAAGTTGATGTTTAGATAAGTACCTATATCTTTTATAAGCTGTCTATACATCAGGTTTCTATTCTTCACTTAGGTTCAGTGCTTGAGTTCTTTTCTTTTAGCCTCGAAATCTCTGCTCCTAGGGTGTCTATATTTTCCTGAAATAAACATGAAGATTAAAATTATAATAATTAATGGGATTTAGCGCTAGTGCTTTCGAATTATATTTTATGAATTATCATTCTTCATCTTATTTAGTTATAATAGATGTTATTTTTCAACAAAAAATATTATTTTTAAATAGAAACGATTCTGGGTTGGAAGAGGTAGCGTGGGCAGGCCTCCTACTAGGTGGACCGATGATCTGGTAAAGGTCGCGGGAAGAATCTGGATGCGGGCAGCGCAGGACCATTCATTGTGGAATACCTTGCAGGAGGCCTTTGTCCAGCAGTGAACGTCATTTGGCTGAAACGAACGTACGAACGAAACGATTCCTGAGTAAAAAAGCATTAGTTTGAATTAGTTCGTCAGCAAACAAGCTATACTCAACATCTAATAAACCGCACCTTCCACGACGGGAACTTTAACGATTTTCTTCTGACACAATCATGGTGCCCCAACAATATTGGTGTTATTTGAAAGCCCAATAAATATCCTTAAAGAAAAACACATTTAATTTCTTGATAAATGATTAACATATACCATAAATGTGACTTGAAAAAATACCTCATTTTGGGCCCACCTATGGGATCAATTAGACCAATTTTTATGGTTATAAAACCAAATAATGATCTCACGTGTCCTCTTTAACAGATGGATAGCGATTAATCCCAACTTAACAGTTTTATAGCCATAAAAATTGGCTTTAGCGTAACTACCTATTTTTTGAAGAAGTGACTCTGGATCCTTCCCTAGACACATTTTTTGGGTAAAAACCTTTCCTTTAATGAAATGAAGGTTAGAACTAGGCTTTTAAATGGTGCCAATATTGGTGGGAAGTGGGGATGCATACGTTTGAAAATGCTTGTCGCGGGAGGTGCGATTTATTTGATGTCGAGTGTATATTACAAGTATTTACTATACAAACTAACTAGTAAACTGCTATAGTTTACTAACTCTGTCAGAATCTGAGGTATGGGAGTGGCACGGGTGTCTCATATAGTTCCAAAATACTGAACTGTCCTATGCATGACATTGACAGTGGGGCGCCACCGTCAATACCGGATCGCTGGTTCCGATTTTTGCCATGTTGGAAACCATATAGTTGAACGATGGTAGCGCCCCCCTGTCATTGAGTTTGGTGGGACAGTTCAGCGTGGGTCATCTATACCTCAGGCACTGACTAGTGTCAGACCTATAACGTTACCTTTAGCGTGATATTTTTGAGTAGCGCGTCCTCCAAGACCGCTTGTAGCCGCGCGGTCATCTCCAGCGCAAGTTCTCTCGTGATTCCAGCGGGGTCGCCGCCCCATACAGCCGCCATGGCGCCGCCGCCGAGTCGCGCTATCTCTTTCTAGAGGGATAGTGAGACAGAGATAGAGTATACTTTATTGACTTATTGTACACCACACGAAGCAGACAGTGTGGTAAGACTCGGGACGCGCTGTCTCTTTCTCCCTTTATGAAGGGCGTGGTTAAATTAGATAATAATGGCTCATACACACAAAAGTTTCTATAAGATCCGCTATCACTTTCTAGAGGTATAATGAGACATGGAGACGGAGCGCGCTGTCTCTTTCTCGCAGGGACAATGTGTGTTTATTACAGATCTTAGCAACTATTGGTACAATAGCAACGCGACTGCAATGCCAACCAATGACAGTGCCGCAACCAGTTGCAGGTGGCGCTAGTTGCCATATACATATTTGTAGCAGTCACGTTGCTATTTTCATTGTGCTATTTCCAGCACGGCTTGCAGGCGCCTGTCATCATCACACTGCGTCTTATGCAGTCGCAATAAGAGCGAGTTTGCAACAACCATTTTATCAAGCAGCGCCCGCACGGCTTGCAGGCGCGTGTCATCATCACACTGCGCCTTATGCCGTCGCAATAGGAGCGAGATTGCAACAACCTCATGGTATCAAGCAGCGCCCGCACGGCTTGCAGGCGCGCGTCATCATCATACTGCGTCTTATGCAGTCGCAATAGGAGCGAGTTTGCAACGTCCTCATGGTATCAAGACCGCTTGTAGCTGCGCGGTCATCTCCAGCGCGAGCCACCGAGACGCGCTATCTCTTTCTAAATGGACAACGTGGTATTAAGACTCAGCGCGCTGTCTCTTTTTCTCTTTCGTCGTCAAATAAAGAAGCGCAGTTGCGGTCCCACACCGCCGCCATCGCGCCGTAGGGTATACGAATGGAAACAAGTAAATTATACAGGGCGTTTCTTTAGGCAACCAAAAAGGGCTGATAAAAGAATGAGCAAGGTGCGAAGAGAAGGGTGTCTATTTAATTAAAAACCAGCGAGGAACCACCTATGCGCCATCGCGCCGCCGCCAAGTCGCGCTATCTCTTTCTAAATGGACAACGTGGTATTAGAACGGAGTGCGCCATCTCTTTCTCACAGGGACGACGAGTATTTGTACAATAGCACCGAGTCTGCTATGCCAACCAATGACAGCGCCACGTTCAATGAGGGCTATCGTTTTTTTACTTAACAGTTGGCACCCCTGGCGATTGACAGGACCTTACTCTACAATGGCGCCATCTTGATGAGTGCAATTGTGGTAGTCCTCCTACCACTTTAGCGCTCACCAGTTAGCGCCACTGTCTTCGCTACTAGCAAGTGACAGGACCTTACTCTACAGTGGCGCTAACTGGTGAGCGCTAAAACGATAGCCCTCATTGCAGGTGGCGCTAGTTTTCATACATTGCTACTAACGTCACAAAGATCGGTAATAAGCATGCCGGAGTCCACCAAAGCGGAGACAAGACGAGCGAATCTCATTTCCACCTTTAGCGGAGATTTGAGCTGTGATATATCTCTTTCTAGAGGGATAATGAGACAAAGATAGATATATGTATATTATTTCTTCTAGCTGCTGGAGGGACAACGTGATATAAGACTCGGGGCACGCTGTCTCTTTCTAGAGGGACAACGTGGTATAGACTCCCACACATGCAATTGACTTCAATGACACTGACAGTGTACTATAGTCAGGACCCGTGAGATGCCTAGAGGATTCCCCCCTCAAGGATTCTCGCAGAAACCTTACTCCGACAACGCTAAAGCGGAGACGAGCGAACCAATCGCAAGCTGACGGCGCGTAGCGGAAACCAGAGCGTCGATGTGACGTCACAGCTGACAGGTGCGCAGTTAACTCGACCGGATTGTAAAGTTTAAAATAATTATAAATTTACCTTTGCCAAAGCCTTGACCAGCTTCAAGAGCAGCATGGAAAAACACATTTCATCAATGATTTAACAATTCAAAGTAAAAGAGTAGGCATATACAATATACAGGATGAGAGTCACTAGTGAGCGCGTAAAAAAATGACATTTAAATGTATAACGGATTATACACCGCCCCTAGCAGAAACGTTCAAGAACTAAAATTTTCATATTTTTTTAACGCACTCACTAGTTTTGAATAAACTCACACTTAGCCCACAGTAGCTATGTTTTTCTGAATAATTTCATTGCGAGTCCAATGCCATTTTACCTTTCCACCGGGACAAACTTGACCTTCATTGTTTGGGTTATGGCGATCAAGCTGCAGATCCTGGCTACACAGGAGTTGCAGCGGTGGGAACGAGAGGTGGGAATAGTCCCGTTTATTGGCAGCATTACCTTGTTGGCGTCTCTGTCTTGCGAAGCCACGGCCCCAGCGGGCATGGAACACAGCAGGTGCCTGAGCAACTTGGCCTTGGCTTGCAGCTCGCTAGTGAGTTACTTGGCACACAAGTTTAACTCCGTCTAAAGAATCTTCTAGAATGTACCTTGTTGGCATCTCTGTCTTGCGAAGCCACGGCCCCAGCGGGCATGGAACACAGCAGGTGCCTGAGCAACTTGGCCTTGGCTCGCAGTTCCCCAGTCAACTGCTTGGCATGTTCCTCCAAGAACTCACAGCGCTATCTCCATCTAAAGAATCTTGTAGACAAATATACCTTATTCTATGGAGAAAAATATACTTTATTGGCATCTCTGTCTTGCGAAGCCACGGCCCCAGCGGGCATGGAACACAGCAGGTGCCTGAGCAACTTGGCCTTGGCTCGCAGCTCGCTAGTGAGTTACTTGGCACACAAGTTTAACTCCATCTAAAGAATCTTCTAGAATGTACCTTGTTGGCGTCTCTGTCTTGCGAAGCCACGGCCCCAGCGGGCATGGAACACAGCAGGTGCCTGAGCAACTTGGCCTTGGCTCACAGCTCGCCGGTCAACTGCTTGGCATATTCCTCTAAGAACATCTCCATCTATAGAATCTTCTATAATGTACCTTATTGACATCTCTGTCTTGTGAAGCCACGGCCCCAGCGGGCATGGAACAAAGTAAATGCCTGAGCAACTTGGCCTTGGCTCGCAGTTCCCCAGTCAACTGCTTGGCATGTTCCTCCAAGAACTCACAGCGCTATCTCCATCTAAAGAATCTTGTAGACAAATATACCTTATTCTATGGAGAAAAATATACCTTATTGGCATCTCTGTCTTGCGAAGCCACGGCCCCAGCGGGCATGGAACACAGCAGATGCCTGAGCAACTTGGCCTTGGCTCGCAGCTCGCTAGTGAGTTACTTGGCACACAAGTTTAACTCCATCTAAAGAATCTTCTAGAATGTACCTTGTTGGCGTCTCTGTCTTGCGAAGCCACGGCCCCAGCGGGCATGGAACAAAGTAAATGTCTGAGCAACTTGGCCTTGGCTCGCAGTTCCCCAGTCAACTGCTTGGCATGTTCCTCTAAGAAGATCTCCATCTAAAGAATCTTCTAGAATTACCTTATTGGCATCTCTTGTCTTGTGAAGCCACGGCCCCAGCGGGCATGGAACACAGCAGGTGCCTGAGCAACTTGGCCTTGGCTCGCAGTTCCCCAGTCAACTGCTTGGCATGGTCCTCCAAGAACTCGCAGCGTTATCTCCATCTAAAGAATGTTCTAGAATGTACCTTGTTGGCGTCTCTGTCTTGCGAAGCGACGGCCCCAGCAGGCATGGAACAAAGTAAATGCCCGAGCAACTTGGCCTTGGCTCGCAGTTCCCCAGTCAGCTGCTTGGCATGTTCCTCTAAGAACATCTCCATCTAAATAATGTTCTAAAATGTACCTTGTTAGCATCTCTGTCTTGCGAAGCCACGGCCCCAGCGGGCATGGAACACAGCAGGTGTCTGAGCAACTCTGCCTTGGCTCGTAGCTGACCAAGTGAGCTACTTGGCATGATTCTCGACCCCTTATCTATAGAATCTTCTAGAATGTACCTTGTTGGCGTCTCTGTCTTGCGAAGCCACAGCCCCAGCAGGCATGGAACAAAGTAAATGTCTGAGCAATTTGGCCAGGGCTCGCAGCTCGCTAGTGAGTTACTTGGCACACAAGTTTAACTCCATCTAAAGAATGTGTTAGAATGTACCTTGTTGGCATCTCTGTCTTGCGAAGCCACAGCCCCAGCAGGCATGGAACAAAGTAAATGCCTGAGCAAATTGGCCTTGGCTCGCAATTCCCCAGTCAACTGCTTGGCATGTTCCTCTAAGAACATCTCCATCTAAAGAATGTTCTAGAATGTACCTTGTTGGCGTCTCTGTCCTGCGAAGCCACGGCCCCAGCGGGCATGGAACACAGCAGGTGTCTGAGCAACTTGGCCTTGGCTCGCAGCTGGTCAAGTGAGCTACTTGGCATGATTCTCGACCCCTTATCTATAGAATCTTCTAGAATGTACCTTGTTGGCGTCTCTGTCTTGCGAAGCCACAGCCCCAGCAGGCATGGAACAAAGTAAATGGATCATAACCGTATAAATGGAGAAAAACAACATTTAAACACGACCCTCGGTCGGTCCGGTTGGCAATGTTGAAAATAAACGCGTGCAGCGTTCGAATCGTGATTCATACAGTGACATATACATCACAGACGCACGGGGGCACTATAGGAGATGTCGGTGACGCGTTAAATTCTCTAATATGTTGAATAATTTTTCGCGAAACTAATTTTTTTCAGATGCATGCTAGTGAAAAGTTTCAAGTGTTCGTACGAGAAAACATCTAGCTACAGAGAGGCTCTCCTTACGGTATTGCCATGACGCGTCGTTTCGCACCGTAAGCTCTCCCGCTCTAACACACCGCTCTATCCATCCTCTTTTCTCTCGTTCCGCGCGCGCGCAGTCGCAGTACGTACGTTCGTTGTTTCGCTCGCTCGTCGCGTTCCAGCAGCAGCATCGTCTGAAATTAAATGTTTTGATTCGTTCACGTAAACAGTCAAAATAACAAAAAGAAAAATGGCAGACACAGCAGTGGCATCCGAGGCACCGGCTCCGGCGACGCCCGCGAAGAAACCCAAGGCGACGGCGACCGGAGGAGCCAAGAAGCCGAAAGCGAAGCCCACCCACCCGAAGACGTCCGAGATGGTGAACAACGCCATCAAANCTAAATTTAACTAATTAAGACATGACAAAAAAACTGAGGTATGTCTCGTTTCTGTCGGGTCTGGGTTTTTTTTGTATGGGGCGTGACCGTTCTTCTTTATTGGTTAGACTCAAGACCCACTTTCTGAATCTACAAAAGTAAAGCTTTCTTTCTCAGTATCAGCCTAGACATGAAATTGATCATTTATAGTGGACTTTTTGGTGGTGTTGAAAACCTTTCTTGATGGCAATTACGTCTAAATTATTCATTTCTGTTGATATGGCTTTACAAATATCACATCGCTGCTTGTGCAGAGCTGCCATTTATCAACGATATTATTTTTATATATCGTTGATAAATGGCTATGTTATCACCAAGTGTCGCATTTCGGAAATCTTAGGAACATTGTCATTTTGGACTTTAAAATAAAAAAAATTAAAAAAAATTAAATAACTGCCAAATTTTGTAAATATAACTACGCCAATGTGTTCCTTTGCCAAAAAGAAATATTTTATGTTATGTAACTTTTTTTGATAAAGTTATTATTTNATATAATACTTATATTTTATTCCAACAAATTGTCATATTTTGTATTACATAAACAAGTCTTATGTTATTTGTCAAGTCTTTAATAATAATAAATAAAAGTTGTAATAGTAGTCAAGTCTGTAAAACTGTATCAATCTGTAAAATTAAAATATTTTACTTTTTTCTAATAAGGAGGATGTTATGAGAATAGTCACATCACTAGTGTTACGCACAACACTATCTCTTAAGATGGCGTCATGCTCCATTGTCTTTGGTCTTTGGTCATCGTCTTACATTGGTTGTACTGAATGTAATGTATTTCATATTACTGAATAAACTCAAGTCGCTTCACAATATAGTCTTTCACTCATACACCAAACGCTACACTAAGGACTGGAATTCGCTAGTTGTCTTTCTTAAAAGCTACAATCCGAGCCTCTTCAAGGCGAGAGTGAAGAGGTAGTTTACTGGATAGTTATGTACCACCCTAGACTATGTAATTAGATACGCTTCATCATCATCATCATCATTTCAGCCACAGGACGTCCACTGCTGAACATAGGCCTCCCCCAATGACTTCCACTTTCCACATCGCACGGTTGGTACTGGCCTGCATCCAGCGCCTTCTTGCTACCTTTATCAGGTCTTTCTGCATAAAATAAATAATCTTTACACGTTGCACGTGCATTGTGGAAAACCTTGGAGGAGGCCTTTGTCCAGCAGTGGACGTCATTTGGCTGAAACGAACGAACGAACACGTTGTATATGTAGTGAGACCACTCTGTCCACCTCCATTATTCGTCTTCGTGGCGCAGAAAAAACTTCATTTGAATAACATAATGCAATTTGTATTCGCACTTTACGGTTATAATTGTCGCGATTGTAATATTTATTGCTCAAGCTTATGCAGGTCACACTCAAATCGTGTTAAACTTTGGTTGTTTGTTCGATGGATGTATTATAACGAATTTTTATAAAGGATGTTCTAATTTAAGAGCAATGGGACCAAAATATTTTCTCACAAACCATCGATTCCACAAAAACTAGATGGCGTTATAATACTTTTCTGAATCGCGATGGTTAGCTTTAGTTGATGAGCGTATCTTCACCTTAAAGGCCGGCAACGCACCTGTAACGCCCCCGGGACTACGGGTGTCTATGGGCGACGGTAATCACTACCTACATCAGGTAATCCGTCTGCTCGTTTGCCTCCTGTCACATGAAAAAAATTAATTTTTTTACGAATTTCAATTAAATGCTGGATCACATCAAACTTAACGCCGTGGTATCTTATAATATGTAATGGTAATGTAATAGGTGCTATATTATTATTATAATCATAGTTCAACCACCAGCTGACAATCATCATCATCATCATCAACAGCCCTTTACAGTCCACTGCTGGACTATGAGCCTCCTCCACTATAGTGGAGGGTTTTGCCATAATCTCCACGCTTGGCAGGCGGGTTGGAGATCGCAGTTTAAAATGAATAAACAAACAGCAGCTGACAATAATATGAATAAACAAACTTTTTTCGCATTCGCAATATTAGCGTAAACCATGTCCCCTCGCCTGACAGAACTCTAAACATTTCACACGATATTGAAACACCTTGCGTTGACATTTTCATTTTCCTTTCTCTGAAAGAAAAGTGTTGCGAATAGCGACTAATGCCCGTATTCACAAACATTACTATGAGGTCTCACAGGGACGCACAGGGTGACACACGAACCAATCACAGAGCTCTATTCTATTGACAATAGTGACTGAATTTCTTGCGCTGCTTCTCAGCACTGGCCCATTTATTGTCCCGAAGCAGTGATAGGGACGTGTAAAAGTGCTTTTTAAAAGCCTATTTGCAAAAATAAATGAGTTTTATTCAACGCTGTGCGTTCGATTTGCTGCTTCACTTAAGCAAGCATCGTTTGTGAATACGGGCGTGAAAGTCACACTGTATATTCACGGTGAGCTTTTTAAGCTTATAATCCGCTGCAGCGCTGCAGTTAATGCAGCTTTAATAATGAAGCTGTTTATTCGGTTCGTGTAATTGTGCTTTTTAAGGCTTTTTATCAGTTTTAAATGAGGCTCGGTGGAGTCGAGTTCACTCCATAAAACGGTTGAACAATGATACTGTTTTGGTTATTTGCTATACGTATTTTGTCTATGATTGCTGCATTTCAATAAAAAAGCTTGATATGATTATCAGCTTAGGCAGGAAATACATTTAATTTGACCAGGATTTTTTGCATAACACTTTTGTTGCGAAATCGCATCCATTGCCACAGTAACTGAACTTGATCTTTAATTTTTTTTAATTCTCTACAGTTAATTTTCATTTACTTGATAGGTACTTACCTCATCATCATTTCAGCAATAAGAGGTCCACAATTGAACATAGGCCTACGCCAAACTGACTCTACTATTTTTCATAATAATTTCACTACACGCATAATAGGGTAAACCGTATAGCTATTGCCCACTTAAAGATTTCAAACACATTGAGATGAAAAATTAAAGAAAGTATTTTAATTATCGACCATTTATGACTTTTTTCTTATAACTCAATAAACTGTTAAACAGAATATTAACAGTTTTTAGTTAAAACTTACGTAACTTAGAAAATATTGAAATAAATTTAAAATCCTCCAAAAAGTACAGTCATTGCCCATTACTTACACTAATTGCCCACATCAAAGCACAGTAATTGCCCAGTATCTTAAAACAAAATAATCAATTTTAAAATGACAAAATAGGCTTTAAATAAACAAAACAAAACATTAAACTTAAATTCTAGTAGTACAGTCTTCAAAATTTGAAAATAAATTGCGTTTGGCCTTATTAACTATATTATCAAATATTTCTTGAGCTGATGTTGATGAGTCAGAATCGGTAGAGACAGAATCATCTACTTCAAAACATAGATGACGCAAAAATTTGAATTTTATATGTAAATTTTATATGTATTTATTTTTTTATCTTCTTTGATATCAGTTCAAGTGGTTGCTCAGAATGTTCAATTAGCTGTTGGTTATTCTTCCCTAAAGTTGTATCTATTTCCTTACAATTAACATTTTCACTAGTAGATTTAACGTAGGATTTTCATTTTTTGTATTTGCGTTTGAATTTTTATCAATTTTTTCAAGCCAAACCATATTTTTCAGCAATTTATCTTGTAGATAAATTGTTGGATACATCTTGTACAGCTTCGATCGCTTTTTGCAAATTTTCTATGCTATATTGAACTTTTGGAGTCTTTGGCATACTGAAAATGAAACATTAAAAGCCATTTCAATATTTATGCCTGTAAATTGCAAAACAAGTCTAGCAATGAGCAACTTAAACACTGCTACTGCATGGTGGCAACACTCTAATAATAATTGCCCTGGGCAATAACTATACATTAACATATGGCAATAACTGAAATGATGGTGGGCAATAACTAAAAATATACAGATTTACGTGCAGTGATTACCCACCGTTAAAATGACCGTTAGAAATCAAATTTTATCAGTTATTTTCATTGATAATGGAGAAAACACTTATAATTTCATCATGACTATACACCATTAGTTGAATATTAAATAACTTGCAAAAAAAATTTAACCTCTAAGCAAGTAATTCCTTAGTAAAATTGTTAAAGTCTTTACCTGTTTGAGTAACATTTTCACCCGTCTTGACAAAATCCGCCATAACTGTTTTTTTTTAGTGTTTCCTATTGTAAATTTTAAATCTACTGTACATTGATCTCGGAGCCATCTACTTAGTAAATTCGAATCTAACTAGAGTGATTCAAAGTCAGCACCTGACAATATTATTCTTAAAGCGGGCAATCACTACCAGTGGGCAATCACTCTCTGGTTTACCCTACATGCCAGTTATTCTGTAAAACCGCCCAAAAATCTAAAGCTGCTCGAATAAGCCTTCACTTACTTCCTTAGTAACGCCTGGGAACGAGTACTACATGTATTTGGCCCGCCATCGTCTAATTTGCTCAGACAACCGTTCAGAGAGCCTTACAAGTCCGCGTGTATCCGTGATGGGCGACCATAAGCTTTCTAAAAGCTAACTGGAAAGTGTTATTTTTGTGTCCAAAAATAACAATGTTTACGGTCATGTTTAGCTGCTAAAATGAGTTTTTAAGAATTGTAGATTTAATCTTAAAATGGGAATACAAAAAAATATCTGTCAAAAACTTCAAAAGGCATTGCGCATAGAAAACTGGTTTAGGTACTCAAGTAGATTGTCTATCACGAATTTAACAAAACGTCAACTACATACAAATGTCGTGCCAATGCGAGGTTTAGACTAGCATTAAAACTTGCAGAAGTCCGCAAGACCTCATCACTGTGTAAATCTTGCAGAAGTTGGCTCATAGTTATTTTTTGGTAAACAGCTTGCGGAAGTCAACTTCTGCAAGTTTTATTGCTAGTCTAAACCACACTTATTTTCAAATCTAAACTAGGATTGATTATAATAATGGTGTAATTTATCATGACGCTACTCGTAAAATACAATTATTATTAATGCGGACCAGTGAAAAATATGGATCAAAAGTACACAAAGGAACGTAAGAATTGTGACAAGGGGGTACATAATAAACGCTTATTGTCGACAAATATACGGCGCTGTATCTTGAATGAAGCAATCGTCTAATGGTGTTCGTATAAAATTCGATCATGGCTTTTGAATTTACATAATTACGAGTTTGAATATACATAGGTAATAAATATCTACTTTTGACGCCGGCGAAAAGTAACAAGTAAGGGCTCACGACAGTTCAGTTTTGCGGGATCCTACATTGATTTGATCCTGGATTGAACACACAAGAAAGTGTGTGTTTGAAATTGGAATTCCAAATTGGAACGTATCGGTTTGTTTTGCACCGCAAACGGGATGTTCGTGTGGATGTTATTATGAAAACAGGTTTACGGGATCCTGTAAAAAACAGGTCCTGAAAGTTGCTGCAAAAAACAGGGATGTCTCCGTGAGAAAGAGCCCTCTCGTTTCAGTCGAAAGTCTCAAGTCAAAAATGTTTGACCAGTGTGTGTTGCCAGTGATGGCATACGGATCTGAGACGTGGTAACTTACTATGGGCCTCATAAGAAGGCTCAAGGTCACCCAAAGGGCGATGGAGCGTGCTATGCTCGGAGTCTCCCTGCGTGATCGAATCAGAAATGAGGAGATCCGTAGGAAAACCAGAGTGACTGACATAGCCCGCAGAATCGCTAAAATCAAGTGGCAGTGGGCGGGGCACATAGCTCATAGAGCTGATGGCCGCTGGGGCAGGAAAGTTCTTGAGTGGCGACCACGATCCGAAAGACGTAGCGTG